GTAATCAGCTCGCATCGTCCTTTCGGCACCATCATGCGATGCGCGGCTGTCCTCCCAGCACTGTCGCTGGATCGCGAGCTTCCGTCCACACTGGCGCTGTCAATCGATTGGGACGACAGTCGCTTATCTGCCGTCTTTGTGTCTGACGACCCTGCTGCGGATTCGATGCTCTCGAACGAACCATACCGGGAGTCGGCAGGGGACCGCATACGAGCCGTATTGGCTGGATACGACCGGCGGACGCCGTTTGTGGAGGCTAGCAAGCTCGAAAACCCGTCCATCGCGTTGTGGCCATCCTCTTCGCCGGGGGTGTCGCCTGGGAAGGCCAAAGCATCGAATGTGGCGAACTGACCCTCGGGCAACGACGACAGCTGTAGCCCTTTTCCCGCCTGGTACATATGATACGTCCGGTCCAGGATCTCCACAATGGCATTTCGCTCCTGTGTCCGGCCCACCATGATGCGCGGCAGTGTGAAGAATGGAGAGACATCCCTGCTGCCAATTTTCCAGTTCTCGACCTCTGTGGCGGTCGCTGCTTCCTCTTCATCGTTGTCCTCGCCGTCCGACTCTCTGGCAGCCAGCAGCCTCCGCAGCTCCACGAGGTCATGCCGCAGACCACTGACGGAATGGTACCGCTCCGAGACATTCTTGGCGGTTGCTTTGGCGATCACCCGCGCGATGAGGTCCGGAACATCCGGTCGCAAGCTCGATACGAGAGGGAGTTCCTCTCCCAGCACCGCTCTGATGATTTCCATGGGAGTCCTCCCGCAAAACGGTGCCTCCTGGACCAGAGCGCTCCACAAGAGGATGCCTAGGGAATAGATATCCGCTCGACTGTCGGGTTGAATGGGCGTCCGGCCCGTCTGCTCCGGGCTCATGTATGATATCCTGGCCGTAGCGCCGTCCTGGTTGGCCAGAGCGGACCAGGTTGCATTTCTGAGGTCGGAGCGGTAACGCCGCAGACCGGCCCCCAGGTGAATCAGCTTCACCTTCCCGGTCTCCTCACTGAAGTGGAAAGCATCCGCCCTGATCTCCCCATGAACAATCTGCTGGCTATGGAGAATTTTGATGCATTCCGCGGCGCCGATGGCGAAATCGAGAAAAGTGGAAAGCGGCATCGGCTCGTCCCGACTGCGTCGCAGCGAACTCGCGTCATTATCGTCCTTATCCGAGCTGTTATCATGATCTTCGTCACTATCATCCACCTCGGGAGCCTCGCGATACCAAGTCAGGCCGCAGTCGACGTATTTCAACAAGTCATTCGGACCGGGGCTCTCGTAGATGCAGGCGACCAGCGGTGGCTCGCGCTCTTGATCGCGACTGGGTAATCGCTTCACCTCCAGGGGCCTCAAGAGACAGTTGTATTGGGGATCGGCTACGGCGGCCAGCCTCCGGTACTCCTCCTGAGCCTTTTCCTCCTGGCCCGGGCTCTCAGAAATACGCGCCACCACTTCTATCTCACTCTCCCGGCCTTTGTCCGCCGCAATACCACCGTCGTCGCGCGCCTCGCGCGGCGGCGCGACAGCGTTTGCCCCATCGTTGCGTTGTTCGAGAGACGACGCGCTGCGAGGACGGACGGGTAGGCCTTGACGCGACCTATTGGTATCGACGAGGTGTTTTGTGCCGAAGGTATGCCTACGAAGCATTAGCACGTGATCTTTTTCGCTTACAACAATGGAGGTGGCTAACGCACCATACGCCATAGCTGGAGCAAAACTGTCTGGACTCGTCCCAGGTATAGCCTGCTAGCCGTCGTAGCCTGTCCAGCAGACCGGTAGGAGGCTGCTGAGCCTCTCGGTGCATCACTGCGATGGCGTGGGGAGCGGGTGGCTTGGGTGTTGACGGAAGATTAAAGGGATAATAAGAATTATTAAGTGGGTGGATCAATCGCCGATCTCATCATCATTCGCGTTGCTGGTCACGTTGACTGGAAGATCCGAGGCATATCCGCCAACTGTAAACTCAAAGTAACGGAGGAATCAAAGTTGACGAGATGAGCATTCCAGCAACTGCAATGATGGTCGGGTATATTGACTGTGCGATGTAGGAGACAAATAAAAAAAATTAAGGAGGCAATCAAAACATGGAAGATGGCAGCAGCAGCAGCAGCAGCAGTTAGTCAGTTGTGGACTGTGGCAGATGCAGATAGCAGATGGATGGCCCGAAAGTCTGGACAATGGAAAGGGCGCTAAGCCTAGTGCAGGCTGTGGCGCTCGGGAAGTTAAAGCCATCTTGCAAAAACCGGTTTTGGCTGCTCCCTTCCATGTACCGACTGCCAAAGTTATGCTGTCATAGGGACTTTACTTTTTTAATGGCACTTTTGTCCACTTGTTGAGTAGAATCTGTATTAGATGCACATGAATAAATGTTAATGAATCTCTATACAGCCTATATCTGATTATCCATGTTGAAGGGACCCCGCAAAGTAAATCTGACAGATTGAGCTATGACGTCTATCTTAACTTTTCAGGCGCTAACCCGTTCCTGGGACAAGGGATGGAGAAGTGGGATATTCCATGGCTCCTATTGGCTGCAATATATTCTACAACAACCCAACATTTTGATCAAATCATCAAATGCAATCAATATCCTTGGCCAGCTCTAGCAAGGTCCAGACCCTTCTCCCCTCCCTCGCCTCTCCCTCTATCTACACAGTATCCCCTCCCACTCTTTCTCCCTCACAGTCTCCGGCTGAACTTCTTATGTCATGTTTCCAAACTTGGTCTTTTCAAATATCAACTTAACCTGGTTCCTAGCTATAATCGAATAACCAGTCATCGATCTTGGTTCCCTTTTATACTTGTGTAATCGCAGTGAATCTCCGCGGGCTTTGAAAAGAATCAATTCCCGCTCACAATGCCTGAGGAAGTGGCATACAAGCCGTAAGTTACCCACCCTTCCATTGTCTGATGATCCGTGCTTGTTTCTGTGACATTAATGTGATTATATGTCTCCCCTTTTCTCTCCTAGTTTTCCCTTGTCTTTCCTTTTATGCCCTACTTGTTGATATTTGGTCATCATTCATCTTTGATAAGAGGAGGATCCGTAATGATTAGTCGATGTGCTGCCCGTCCCTTTGACAATTCTACCTGACTATGCCTCAATCTACAGACTCCGCCTGGGATCCAAAGCCCCCAACTTCCAAGCCGACACTACCATCGGTCGTATCGACTTCTATGAGTGGATCGGCAACGACTGGGTCATCCTCTTCTCCCACCCCGAAGACTACACCCCTGTCTGCACCACCGAACTGGCAGATCTGGCCAAGCACCAGTCCGAGTTCGCAAAGCGCGGCGTCAAGCTGATCGGCCTGTCAGCGAATTCGATCGAGTCGCACGATGGTTGGATCAACGACATCACAGAGATCGCCGGCTGTACGTTGACGTTCCCGGTCATTGGCGATGAGGATCGCAAGATCGCCCATACTTATGATATGTAAGTGGTCTCTTCTCTCGTCTACTGTCCCTGTCGGGCCTGGCCACTAACAAACTGTGAAATGGAACAGGCTCGACCACCAAGACGTCACCAACGTCGACGCCCGCGGCATCGCCTACACGATCCGCTCTGTCTTCATCATCGATCCCAACAAGGTCATCCGCCTCATCCAGGCCTATCCGGCCTCCACCGGTCGGAGCACAACTGAGCTGCTCCGTGTCGTGGATTCCCTACTTGCCACCGACAAGTACTCTGTCAACACCCCCGCCAACTGGGAGCCTGGCGACGATGTAGTCGTCCCCGCGAGTGTCGCCGACGAGGAGGCGCAGGCCAAGTTTCCAAATATGCAAACTGTGAAGCCGTACCTGCGCTTCACACCATTGGCTAAGGAGCATATTGTTCCTTAGCATATTTTTCAGCATTAGGTGTTATTCTTCCACCATAGATGTTATGTCTGATTTCTCCTTTCTCGGTGACTTGGACCGATCAGAAGTGAATTCTGCTACGTGGGACAGATGTGCGAGGCTTCAGCTATGACCAATGTCATTCATACGCGTAATAGTATGAAGACATTTCTGTCTATGTTTCAAAGCTGTAACTAGCAGCATAAGGGAACTTTCTCCCTCTACCTAACTAGAAATCGACCTCTTGATCATCAGTGTTTTAGTTTACATTTGTTGCTTTCCTTAGAGCTGTTGTCATAATAGTATTCCTGATATTATGACTTGGGTCGATCCACACTATCTGATCCAACCATGTGGATTATGGATTGATCCACAGGATTGCGGAGAACTCAGATCCAATGTTCCCAGTCAGGTGACCACAGTATCCTCATTACTACCCATGTTTTTACGGAGTAAGTCTGGATGATAATGGAAAAGATATGACTATGTATGGCTTTGGAGCTAGAAAGTGGCCTTTCCACTCTGTGTATTGCTGCTGTATAAGAAGTTAAGAACTGGTTAACCTTACTTGGTTCATCCTAGCAACATTTATCTTACTTTTTGTGAGATGAGGTTGGTGCATATATTATATTTATAAGGATTAGAGCGGAGCATTAAGGATAAGAGAAAAGAGATGAGAGAGGTTTTTAAATCTGGCAGCACAGCCATACCTCTACCACTGTAATATATATCTCTGCATCCCACTGCATCAGGCCCTACATAGCAGTGGTACTCTTACCCTAATGGCCAAAATAGATGTGTTAGCCCAGTAATCTACCCACAGAAATCACCTAGCTAGTAATATAAATGTTGTCTAATGAGGACACCGCGGAATGCCCCGGCACCCGGCAATGTCCATGGAAGACCAATTCGCCTTCGAATTTCACCTATGTGAGCTCCAACTACGGCCTCTATATGCGCTCTGCTCCATCTCAGAGACCCGATAACCTGCCAATACTAGGAGTAGGAGGGAAGTGTTGCAAGTGCTACTCCTGCATTCCAAACATGAAACTATTTCCACTGCACTCACGGTCAAAGATCCGCTACACAGCTGCTGGCATCGACCTCTTTCTATTTAGCAAGTTAGGAAATCTTAACTTTGCAGTTTTTTGATGCTGCTGATCACTCTGAGGCGTCCTTTTCGGGTTCCAAGAAGTGAGTATCTTGTTGACTGAATCTATCCCGAATAAACCAAAGGGCACATGCAGCAATGAAATATGTCGCCAGGCTCAGAGACAGGATAACAGATGTAAGGATAAATGGTACCTGTGAGGCAGCTGAAATGTCATACCGAGATAGATCAACGGGAGATATCGACCGGTGCGGCGAATGATAAAGCCAGCAATGAATCCCGTCACAGCCTGGATGACGGTCATTGGCATGAGGAGAAGGCCGGATTGAAGAGGTGTCAGGGAGCGGCTGGATTGAAAGTATAGTGGAAGAAAGTACCAGGACGAAACGTTGACCTAGATCCGTCAACATCGGTAAGTGTCAGTGAGTCTCTCTGACTGAGGGGTGTTCCTGGCCTGTCCTTACAGATCCATGCATGAAGCAGACAAGTAAGGACGCATTGTTGGAAAGACGTCGTAGAATGCGCATTGGGATCAAAGCCTTCTCCTCGGATATGATCTTCGCTTCGTAGACCACGAAAGCCGCCATTGTGAAGCCTCCAAACACGAGAAGACAGATCACCTTGGCGGATTTCCATCAGCTATACACACCCCCAATGTTTAGACCCAGAAGAGACATGGTTGTTAAACCGGTGACGGCCAGAGTCCCCAGCCAGTCGACTTGCCGCAAGCCGCTGCTGATTCCCGCTTGTCTCTCACGAACGTGGTCGAGGCAGAAGAACAGAACAACAAACGAGACTCCGCAACAGGGAAGGTTGATCCACCAGTTCCAGCGCCAGGAAACGTACTCGGAAAACGCACCTCCAGCAAGAGGGCCAATGCCGCTGGCAAGTCCCCATACGACGCCAGTCAGCCCAAGATAAAATCCTCGTTCTCTACCATTTAATAACCTTAATCAGCACTGGAAAATCCAGTCTCATGGATCTTGTGGTAGGCAAAACAAACCTTTCAGTAAACAAGTCACTAATGCAGATATTCACCAAAATCACTATTCCGCCAGCTGCAGCACCTTGAATCGATCGGCCTGTTAGCATCATCCCCATCATGGTGGCAGCCGCACAGATAATCGATCCAATCGCAAAGATGAAAATGGCGAGCAGTAGGATGGCTTTACGTCCCCAGATATCTGACAGATTTCCCCAGATGGGCGTCGACGCAGCGCTGGCCAGTTGGTACGCGGAGCCGATCCACACATAGCTCCGTCCAGAGTGGAAGGAAGACACAATTGTTGGGATTGCACTGGTAGCAATAGTAAAGTCGAGTGCCGCTAGGAAGAGACAAAGCTGAATATCAGATCTCAGTATAGGAATTGACCTTTTTTTGCCATGCATGACGAACCAGGAGCGAGAATAGGGCACCACTCAGCCGGATTTTATTTCGAGAACTGTCACAAGTTGGGTGGGCTATAGCTTGGCTAATAGATGTGGGATCCTGTGGCTGCTGCTCTGCTCCAGATGCGTTTTGGCAACGAAGGACAGAGTGGTGGATGTCTGCATTTCTTAATGGTGGCACAGAGGTGAGGGGTAGTTGGTCTCTTGAAGTGGCTGCCTTAGATGATGACATTTGGAAATCCATTGCTGCAGGGACGCGGAAGTCTATAGCATGATAAGCTTAGATGTTGATTCATATCTTGGAAAGCAGAGACAGAGTAACGTGAGACTATTTATTTGGCTGTGCTGGCCGAAAAACTGGCGGTGTGCCTGATAGACGTCTCTGCAGGAAATACACACCTCATCTGCTAAAGAACCACCTTGAATAAATCAATTGGATGACAATTACGGCAAGCCATTGGGACAAACCAAAAACACGCCTGTAGGTATTTCAGTATGTCGGTAATTCATGGTGTTGTGCTGGCAGTAAGCACCTAACTATTCTTAGACTTCAATTTCCCTTCCCTTAGGCGTATTGAATGATTTGAGTCAACATATAGTCAGGACTTCAATCGCCATGTCGTAGGGATATTGAATCCCCGGTCAGAGTCAATTCACGTTTGACATACGCAGCAGAAGCTGTGAGCACATGGCTCAGTAATAGGAACGGTATTTTAAACGACTCTCCGTGCCGAAGAGTAGAGCAATCAAGAAGATGAAGCACCATTGCTCTGTATGCCATGGTGATCTTCCTCACTCGGGTGAGTTTCTGTAGCATCACATGATATCCATCTGTGTCAATGAGGTACTGACCACCGCGTTTCAGCTACTCATCGCGTCAGTCTATCGCCTCTATCTCCGTTCGCTTGCCCGCTATCCCGGCCCTTTCCTGTGCCGCATCAGTATCCTACCAAGCCTGTATTGTACCTGGACAGGAGACAGACATTTGGTCGTCAACAAGCTGCACAAGGCCTATGATACGCTATCTCAAGGACATTCAATGCGATTGCAAAGGCTAACACGTTTCCATGGCAGACAAGGTTCTGCGGCTCGAGCCCAATCTGATCTCGATATGTACTCCGAACGCCATTAGAAGTAAGACACCGACTCCTTTGCGATGACAGAAGTACTTACTCGAGTAGCCGTCTATGGTCCCGGGACCGGATTTGAAAAAGTACTATATGCTTGCATTGCGGCCTGCAAAGTCCTTGACTCACACTAGCCAGGGGAGGATCTATTTTCCAGGGCCAAAGGAGAAGCAGCTTCTAGTCGTATGTACATTCTCTAGTGCGCATCCTACACTCGCTGTGTACCTAATGGCTGGCACAGAACCTGGCGAGCACAACAGATAAGCGCGTCCATGCCCGGAAGCGACGGATTATCTCGCATGCGATGAGCGAGGCAGCCATCCGCTCCTATGAGCCCACAATTCTGGACAAGACACGGCTGTTTTGTCAATTGGGTCTCGGATCCTACGACCTTCAAGGGTCCTCATAAGAATATGTCGTGGTGGTTCTCCTTTCTCACGTACGATATCATGGGCCTTGCTTGCTCTTTCGCCTTGACGCTAACCTCTCGACCACTGCAGCCGCTTCTGGCATTAGTCTTTCGCTGGCCAATGCCGAAGTACTTCCTCTTACGTGTGTCGAGATGTTCTGAGGTTGCCTCGCCCTTTCCTAGTGGAACGGTATCTGAATATCACATGCGTTTTCGCCATCTCTGTGTTTCTGCACCTCGCGATCGATGGACGAGCAGGCATCTGGCTCCCTTATAGTGGCGCTGTACGATGCTTCCTGGTTCAACCACTTGGCATCATGATCGAAGACGCTGTGCAGGAGGCATTCCGGCGTTTCAGGGGTAATACCAAGCAGTGCAGTACCCTCTGGACAAGGTTAATCGGGTATCTCTGGGTCTGGGGATTCCTCACGCTGGTGGCGCCGCTCTACAATTTCCCTCTGTTTCAGTACCAGGATCCAACCAAGAATGGTGTTCCGTTCTCGGTCATCAAGTTCGTTCGCGAACTTTCGGGGTGATGTCACCTCTCGAATATATGCCGACTTCTATGTTAAGATCAACATAGTTTACTGCTCCACTGGGCCAGACAGGCTCCAGAATGCAGCGACTATGGATCCACCCTTCTAGTGTCACTCCATAGCAGATCTAGAAAAAGCCCATAGTCGGGAAGTCCAGTCAAAATAGCAGTGATCTGTGTTCAAGTCGTGCTGGTGCAAAAACGTGCATTTGATGAGCAGAGCAGTGGCATGTATCTAGGCTCATTGATAGTATACACTCTTATCAATGCATGGAATACATAGTCACATGAATAATTGCACAGTCTGCTGGACAAGTTGTCCAAGATCTGGAAAGATGCCGTTCAATCCCACTGTACTCAGTAGGGATCAAATATCCCCATATGACTGTGGTCTAACCGGGCCGGCACCGGGAAGATGAACAACCCCGCGTTTCCGGTGGGGCTAGACCCCTCCCGCCGACATCGGGCCGTCCTTGATCCGACGCGTCTGCAAAGTTGCATCATTTATCTATCTGGTGTCCAGACTAGAGACTACAGAGCATTCAGTCTGTTACATTACACGTCAAACTACATATCCCAAAATGACATCCTTACAGCAGAGCAAACTCGCCTTCATCGGCGGTGGCAACATGGCCTCGGCCATCATCGGAGGTCTCGTGAGCCAGGACATGAACCCCTCCAACATCACCGTCTCCGAGCCATGGGATGTCAACCGCGAAAAGATCGCGAAGATGGGTGTGCAGACGACGACCTCCAATGGTGAAGCTGCAGGCAACGCAGATATTGTGGTCATTGCCGTCAAACCTCAAACCACCAAGAATGTCTGTCAGGAGCTTGCCGCCGCCTGGTCACAGCGCACATCACTCCCTGTGGTTGTCAGCATTGCGGCGGGTATTACGCTCAATAGCTTGAAAGAGTGGCTCAAGACGAGCGATGGCCGGACTGCGCATATCGTCCGCGTCATGCCCAACACGCCGGCTTTGGTCAAGGAAGGCGCATCGGGACTTCTGGCTAGCGACGATGTGACGGCAGAGGAGAAGGATCTTATCGGAACTCTACTCCAGACCGTTAGCAAGGCTACCGAGTGGGTGGATAAGGAGGAACTGCTAGATGTTGTGACCGGTCTGTCCGGTGAGTATCTTGGAGGCTCCACTGCAGATGACACATAAATCTAACACTGACTAGGATCTGGGCCTGCATATTTCTTCGCTATGGTGGAACACTTGGTTGCCAGCGCCACTGCTCTGGGTCTCTCCAAGGAGCAAGCCACAAGGTTGGCGGCTCAGACCTGCCTGGGTGCGGGCAAGATGCTGGTCGAGTCGTCGGAGGAACCGGCCCAGCTGCGCAAGAACGTGACTAGTCCAAACGGGACAACGCACGCCGCCCTCCAGACATTTGAGTCGCTGAATTTCAAGGATATTGTTGACAAAGCAGTACAGGCGGCCACATCTCGTGCGGCGGAGCTCGGAGAGACACTTGGGAAGCTCTAGACTGGTTGGCAAGGAGAAAATTAATTCGCATCCTAGGAGGAGATTCAAGACATGAATATTAAGAATGAGTCCTAATCCTTTTATGCGCTATGCCGATTCAAGAGCGAGCCGTCAACGCAGATGGCCCGTCATTTTGGCACTTAGCTTGGTATAAACCAGTCACTTGTCTCGACAACAGTTGGTTCAAGAGAAACGACGTGTATCATGTTTTTATGTTTCAATCAAATGATTCAGTTGACCAGACCACCTATAGCCATTGAATGCCTGATATTTTATTACAGATCTCGGGTGGGATGCTTGTCGGCCAACAATATAAATATCGGAATGTAGCCTATGTTCTGTCGTATACAGCCCCCGGGGCAGTTCCAAAACTACCGCAGTCCATTTTAGCGTCGGAGGTCAGGCTATACGATAGCAGAGATTATCACTTATAGTCATTGTAGTCCTCTCTGTCAGCCATAGTTCAGATCTCATCACACTACACAATCTGGCAGGTACTACATCTAGATACTTGAATCAACCCAATCGCATCTCAAAAAATAGACAAGATTTATTCCTTCGCAAGCCCTTGTGTAAGTCCATCAATTGGCAAGAAATTCCACATATACTCCTCCTCCGGCGCCACTTCAAAGTCAAATCGGACGAGATCCTCCTTGTAGGGGAACATGTATGTACTGGTTACCCTATCTTTTTGTCAGCGTCGCCTGGTCGCTATCGCGCGCCATTGCTGGATGCACATACCAATGGTGCTCCTTGCTGGCTTGGTACGCTTCCAAAGCTTCCCGGTTCTCGTGGAAGCTTAGCAGCGCAATCTCAAACCCTTTGCTTCTCTCGATTGGATCAGTGATTGACGGCCCGCCGACGACCAGCCGGTGACCCTTGACACAGTCGAGATCCTTGAGTTTCTTGAGTTCGCGGACAAAGGTATCCTTGTGCTCTTGCGTCACTTCTGGACGGAACTTGAACAGGACTGGATTATATGAGTACGACGTATTAATTGATCAACTGGAATTGCACTGACCCATATGTACGATCGTCATTGTGGCGAGTAATTGTATGACGCTCAGTTGGGTCAATTCGGACGGAAGTGTTGGTTGCGGGAGGAGATGAAAGAGTAAGGGTGACTCACTAAAATCAGTTCATCTCGGTCACTCTCCGCATCATCTTTGGTCCTGATGTCCGCTCTCCCCCGGTCTGAATTGGGACGCATGCCCCGGACTTTGTTATCCAGCTATACTTCCGGTCTTCTACTCCATCCTCGCAATTCTGATGCTCTCACTCAGACATGTATCTGAGATGAATTAAATATCCGTCTAGGAATTGAGACGTCAGAACAGGGATCGCTAAGTTACCAATACAACAAATGACAACTACTGTAGGTAACTACCGGAGTATGATCCTCCATACTGGTGCCTGGTACCTACAGCAAGCCACTGAAGGTTCTGATGCTCTCATGGACCCAGAAGTCTTTTCTCACTATCTAATGACCCCTTAATAATTATTTCGCTTCGCAGCTTAGTCTCGATTACGGGCAGGCAACCGATACTGAAAGGAGTATAGCACGTCTCAATTCTTGGCTTTTCTTTCTTCTAGCCCATTTCACTTGGCGCATCACTTTAACTATTGTGGTATCTTCCCCACTGGTTACAAAGTCTATTTCTTATGAATACCTGCCATGGGGCATTTCATCAGCAGCTCTCAACATTCCCGATACATCATAACTGAAATTTAGGTGTCAAGGAATAGAATGACACCAACACTCCTCAGCCTCCCAAGCAAGCTCATCCAGGCCATCGCGGACCACATCCCCTCAGAGCATGAACTCCGCTGTCTCGCTCAAAGTCACCCCCAACTTGACAGCATCCTAACCCCCTACATCAAGGCCCGCAAGGACCGCAAAGAGCGCAGTAATCTCCTCATCTCCGCCATACAAAATTCCAAACCGCCCCAGCTATGCCAGCTCCTGCTTCGTGATGGCGCTGATCCCGAAGTGAGGGTGCGGACTGAACAGGGCAAGACGGCGCTCCATTTTGCCGCTGAGACAGGGCAGACCGTCGTTGCGCGCTTGTTACTGTTGCATAAGCGTAGCCTAGTAAACATCCGCGATGGGATCGGGCGGACGCCTCTCATGTCCGCTGCGGAGGGTGGGCATGAATCAGTGGTGCGGACACTGCTTTCTGCCAAGTATGGGCCTGCAGATGTGACTCTGCGCAGCTGCAACAATCGAAGTGTTCTCTGGTACGCTGCCAAGGGGGGCAATGTGAAAATTGTACAGACGTTGCTGGATACCGGGAAGCTTGATCATAATGCTGCGGACGATGACGGCGTGACCCCATTTGCATGCGCGGCGAGTGAGGGCCATTGTGAGGTTATGCGGTTGTTGCTGTCCTTGGAAGGGGTCGATCCAGATTGTCGCATGTATCAAGGGAGGAAACCATTATTGCTAGCTGCTGAAAACGGGAAGGAGGAGGCTGTCAAGTATTTACTGAGTCTTGGTGTGGATCCAGACTCAAAATCTGGCCATCGGGAAACCCCATTACTGATGGCCGCCAGGAGAGGTCATCCGGGGGTTGTGCAGCAGCTGTTGGTTAAGGGAGTAGATCCAGATGCTGCTGACGGTCACCGAAGAACTCCGCTGATCGCGGCAGCTCTTCATGGTCATGCGGAGGTCGTTGAACTATTGCTGGCAACAGGCAGGGTGCAACTTGATGCAAGAGATCACCAAGGGATGACACCTTTAATGTGGGCAGCCAAATTTCAACGGACTCCTGTTGTGGAGCTCCTGCTGTCAACCGGCCAGCTGCAGGTTGATTTTGATTTGAGCGAGTTGAGGAAGGGACTAGGGCTAGTTGGCCCGCCAAAGTTGGATCCGTCTCTTGTCAGGCTTCTCGATGCTTATAAGAAACGTGATGCATAATTGAAACCAATCTGCTTCTTGAAGGACCAGCTTGACTAGGAATAGTGCTACAGATATGATTGACTTGGAGGTAACACTCCCAGATAGCCTCGGAACGTTAATGACTGATATCAGAATATCACCTTGTCAAATGCTTCATGCAACCCTCGCGTCTGTAGCCATGTTTCTAAAGCCTGCATGTCGCCCCGATTGGCTCTGTGGCCACTTCGTTCGCCTAATGAATCCGTGATTTCCTCCATCCCAGAGAACACTCTCTGAACGTCCTTCGTCTCCCGATATCTCTCACTGACCTTTTTCTGATGGCTGGGGATATCGCCCCAGGAGTGTGTCTTGATGAAGCTCATATAAGCATCAATGTCCGCCGACGCCCCCTCTAGACACAACACACCAGGTTTGCCAGCCAACACGAAGCCTGTGAGAGAATAATCAGGGGCGTGATTAACCAGATCGTTTCGTTTTTCTCGGGTTGAGAGAGACGGGAAATAGAACCAGACTCGGACGATCGGCCCGGAACTGCTCTTGGTGGTCTCAGACTTTGAAGCCCGCTGGGCTTCAAGAAAGCGCAATCCTTCATCCTGGACGTATTCAAAGGCCTCAAACAGGTCATCTGACGGCATTCCAGCGGCCAGCGTAGCCAGCTCAGCTTTAGACATCCAATCTGGCTGTCGCAGTGAGTAACTCAGTGACGGCGGCTGTGCTATATTTAAAGCATCACATTGGACCGGGATTGATATGTTGACCTGTATTGATTTTTCTCCCCCTGCAATCGGCAAACAGACTGCAAGGTGTAACGTTGAAGGAATTCCGCAGGGCACTGCAGATGGATCCTCGCACCATTTGCGGAGTTTCTCAATGCATTCAGTGGTAGACACAGGTATGTCGATCTCTCCAGGAGATGGGAACATGGCTGTCAGGAGGTCAATTGTGGATAATTGAGACTCCATCAGGTCTGGTGGTAGCAGTGATAACTGCTTTTGCGCCATTTTTGGGGACTCAAGCCGCGGACTGTATGAATAGCTCTTTGAGGGGCCGTTGCAAGATGTCCTGGAGTTTAGTAGCCGTGATTGATTGGCTAGGTCAACATTCCAGGACAGGTATGCGTGTTTGGACCTAAAAAGGAAAGATATCACCCCTGGCGCACTTAATATTGGAAAACACACTAATCTTGAAATAGGTTAACACGTGACAGTGCAGCTTAGACTGGTTTGGATTGGGTAAGGGTTGGATCCACCACTGCAGAACAGAGAAATGCAGATCCATGCACCATGTACTTTTTATGTATTATTATCCTTCCTTTTCTGCTTCTCATAATATAGCTCTTGTAATCTTATATGTGCCTTGATTTACTCTTAATAGAGATTATAAAACAAAAGCACTGATTGCAAGCATCATTCCTAGCTACTGTTCACCTGTAGCACACATGGCAATTCAGACAGAATTAAGCAGGAGGAAGAGCATTCTTGCCCAACTGCGACCCCACTCGCTCACAGCGCTAACATACACAGTATGTTCCATTCTGAAAGTATAGACCGAGATCCGGGCCGTTATTGGCGAAACTGCCCCGCTGGAGTGATGGTTGGCTTGTCGTAATAGCCCTTGCCGTGGTCCCAGCAGACCTGCCAGATAGTGTTGTCCAAGTTGACAAAAATATACGCATATAGATGGAACTGTTGCCGGCTCCGAAGCTGGTGGCGGCAATGGCGGTACGTGGAGGTGCCTTGTCAAAGATTGCGCTGAGGTTTGGGTACCAGCCTTTGTGCGGGTCGTAGGCTCTTTGGACGCGTCTGAGGTCGTCCGTTTGGAACCAGATCCTGTGTATTTCTTTTATTAGTAAGTGTTTCCGTATTCAGGGTTGCATATGGAGGTGGCGTACCGGATGCTTGGGCCATTGTAGTCAGTATAGCGGAAGGAGGTGGCTCCGATACCAGTACCGGGGACGCAGTTCCCAGGTTGGTGCCCTCCTCCCAGCCGTTGCCTAAGTTGCAGGTTAGAAAAAGACATCAAGAGAAACTTGTGATTCGACACACCATTCCACATGTACTCCTGGATTGTGTTATCTGACTTCTGGACATAACTCCGCAACTGAAACGCATCTGTTCCCGCCAGGAACACAGCAGCAATGCCAGAGTAAGGCAACTTGGAACTTGGCACCGCCCAGGCCGCTGTTGTATCATCCGCTTCCAGAGTCGTAGGCAAACTCCTGGTGGGTATTCCCTTCAGTGAGGGTGTACACACGGATCTCCATATGGTCAGTCCGGAGCAGAGCCAATGGGCAGATAATAACATACGTTGTTCAGCTCCTTGGAAGTCGCGGCGACAGGGCTGCCGAGCTTAGCCTTGCCGATGACATTCTTTTCGGTGCCGTTGGCCCGGCTACCCTCATATAGACTCTCAGGAATACTGTCATAGACATCCTGGAAGTAAACAAGGAGACGGTTGGTTGAATTGACCGCGGGAACTCTGGTGCCTATGTTTGTCAGGTCGAAACAGGAGGTCACTTAGTGGTGCTTAGACAGACCTATTAACAAGTTCATCTGCTTCTTACCATTACTCTAATAGATATTTTGATAATAAGCATGTTTAACTAAACACAGGAAGATATTGACTCGTATATGCTGGATGGATAGGTAGTCAGCTGATATATTTTCTACTACTAGCAGATACAAGTATGTCCAATGGTCTGTAATAATATAGGGTGGTGTTAAAGTCGTCACCATAAACCACTATAGTTTCTTGTAGATCACTCTAATGGATAGGAGTTTGAGATCAAGTATAGCTGCGCAGATCACTCTAATGGATAGGAGTTTGAGATCAAGTATAGCTGCGGGAAACACATACCATAGTCTAGCGAAAGGATAAAGAATAATACACAGAGTAGCTTAGTTTCAGCACAAGTGAATTAGGCACAGATGTGAATTCTTAGTTAGCCTCTGCATGATTTTGACATATACGCCAGACCACTGATCTGCATTATTATTGGACTGCGTGGTCCATACTAGGTTGTCTATATTTAGATTCACTAAATTGCTGCAGACATTCACCACAGAAGCCAACTCAGATGCTACTCTAGAGTTGGATCGAAGAGTAGTCCTGGATATCATAGCGCTACAAATGTACAAGAATGGCTCCTTCTAAGGCCCCAGGTCAAAACCATCCCAGAATGCTGCTGATTGGCAGAGGTGACTTGTAGAACACGATCGATAACGATATCAACCCAGTAAATGATTCTCTGGCTATTCAACATGGATCAGAGTAAAGCTCCCATCAGCTCTCCTCGACAGTATCGCGATAGAGATACTCCACGAACTGGTCCGGGACCTGGCCACCAGCCATTTCGTTCTCCTCTGCAAAAGTCCTGATCTCGGCCTCCTCCGTGTCCGTCAGGGAAATTTGGAGGGCACCCCAGTTCTCCTCCAGATATCTGACCCTTCTCGTCCCTGGAATGGCGAAAATATCGTTCCCTTGTTTCAACAGCCAGGCCAGTGCCAGCTGCGATACAGTACAACCCTTCTTCTCCGCCAGTGACGTGAACTGACTGGCAACCTTGACGTTGCGCTCACGATTCTCCTCCAAGAACTTGGGTATGACTTTTGGTCGCTTATCTTCACTATTGCCGACTGGCTCACCCCTGCTGAAAGTGGACGTGATGACCCCGCGTCCAAGGGGACAGGACGCCACAAGTGCCACCCCCAGTTCTCGACAGGTTGCCAAGAGGTTTGTGCCTGTTGGGCCCTCGATATCGCGTGAGAAGACGCAATACTCAGTTTGGACAGCCACGACATTGGCGATCTTGCATGCGCGCCGGAGGGTTGCGGATGACACGGACGACACGCCAATGTGCTTGATCTTGCCTTCTCTGTACTGAATAAGATTATGAACCTTCAACATTGACTAAATTGGTGACTTACGCCTGAAGCTCTACCATGGCTCTCATGGTCTCCTCGATGGGAGTCTGAGGATTGGGACTGTGCAAATAGTCTGGGGTAGAAAGCTGGTTAGCAATACTGGCCTCTGTCAGTAGACGGGGTTAAGGTGCTAACAAAGGTCAATTGAATCGACCCCCAATCTTTTGAGGCTCGCATCACAAGCTTTCTTGCAGTATTCGGCAGAGCTGTTGATCTCGTGGGGTTTTCCTCCCTGAACAAAGCCGAACTTGGTGGCGAGAAAGATCTGGTCACGCTTTCCAGTCCGTCGGAACCATTTTCCCAGGAGCTCCTCATTGTCGCCGTAGAGACTTGGCAAGTAGAGTTATTAGCAATTAGAGCCTACTGATTGATGCTGCTTGAAGACTTACTCGGATGTATCCCAAAATGTCTCTCCCAGCTCGACGGCACGATCGAGGACCTTGAATCGTTCTTCGTCACTGGGAATGGAGCCATAGACCCAGAAGGACATTCCCATCAGACCGAGCCCCAGGGCCGGAACAGTTGGACCGTTTTTGCCCAGCTGGCGGTTGACAACCATATTGGAATTGATAGCAGGCGCGATAAGTGAGGTTATATATATATATACGTTGACGGAATGAAACTGGATTGATCTGTTTCGGGATTTGGGAAGGTCGACCAAGTCGGACTCATGCTGGATACTTATAGCTATTGTCTCTACCTGGAACAAGGGAGAATCGAGGTCCTTCCTACAAGACCGTGCTGCAATCCATCGTCTGAGCCGTGAAGCGCAGCCTCGCTAACAGTTGCTTTCAGTATAGGGAAGTTGAACAGCCAATGGGAGTACAATATTGCCGAGTGAGCCTATTGTCTCAAATGACCAACCAGCGTAAGGACAGAGCAAAAGATATGTCTCACTTGATCTTCTGGAGAATGGCCATAACTTCCAGTCTGCCATGGTATCCCGGGCACCCTTTCGGGATGGGCCATGACACCATTATTAAGGATGTCCAATCAAGCGTAAGAACAGCCGAGTAAGCCAACCAAAACCGTTCAAAAGCTCCACTAGTGGAACCCCTACAAGGCGGCAATTAGTGGGTGGGGGTTTTCCTCGGGTGCACGAAGGATCTCGTCTCACATCATCTTAGTCCTCTGTTACCTGCAGATTGGTGGTGAAATTGCAGTTTACCGACCGAACAGACAGCTGGGAGTGGCTACGCGGCGCATGGGTAAAAGAAGAGTTAGGACCGGCTGCCAGACATGCCGGTAAGTCAATGCCGAAACCACGCCTGCGTGTTGCTGAGGTCTTTCTAGGATTCGCAAGGTCAAATGTGATGAGGCCTATCCGGCATGCCGTCGGTGTCTTTCCACCGGTCGCACCTGCGATGGATACGGCATCTGGGGTGGCGGAAGCTCCAGCAGGACTACGAAGCCTTTGGCTGTCACAGAGAACTCTGCATTTGTCATCAGACCAATGTCGGATTTTTGGCTGTCTGCTAGGACCAACAGTGAAGAGGACCGCTATCTTCAGTGGTTCAAAGAGCGCACTGGGTCAAAGATGTCCGGTTCATTTTTCTCAGAATTCTGGAGCGGCTTTGTCATACAGGCCAGTATGAGCGAGCCCGCCGTGCTGCACGCCGTCCTTGCCCTGAGTTCGGTCCATCGGCAAGGCATCCTGAATGATGGCGGTCTCAAGGCAGGGGACGAGGAAAGGGTAACGTTGACCCGGTACAGTAAAGCGATCAATCATCTGCAGCCTCATTTCAAGGCAAAGGACCGGACTGCCTTTCGAATAGCTCTCATTGTCTGCGTTTTGTTCATTGCGTTAGAGCTGCTCAGAGGTCATTTTGCATCGGCGCAAATCCACCTTCAACAGGGCTTAAACCTCCTCGAAGGGTCATGTCTATTGAAAAGAAAAGGCGACCTTCTTGTAGTGAATAGTCAAGAGTATGTTGATGACTGGATTGTGCAAGCACTGTCGAGGTTGCACATTCAACTCGAGCTACTTAAGCAAGTCCACCGTGGTTCTTCCCTACGGCTGCAGATCCCCTTCTTGGAATGCAAATCGTCGACATTCCCCTCCGTGAAAGAGGCGTGGTCCTGGCTTCACCACCTGATGGGAACAGTTTTTCATTTGAATGGAGAAGTTCGTGAACAATTCTGTACAGGGAGCAGTTCCCGAGCAGAGCTGCTCAAACATCAGCGATCTCTCCATGACGATCTTACCCGGTGGCTGAACACTTACAATACCACGATCCAGACTATGAAGGGCAGTATGCGCAAAGACCAGGCGCAAATCTACGGGCTGCTTCGTACATATCACACTATGATAACTATCATGGCGGCGACCTGTCTTTCGCCTGGCGACGAGATGGTCTTCGACCAGCATACCGACAAATTCCAGGAAATGATTACCATGCTGGCCCAGCTCTGGAAATTCCTCTCGATGTATTCCGCTTTTGGCTCTCGGCCGACCCAGTTCTTCATGTCGCGGTCGATTGGAGATCTGGGCTGGATTGCTCCACTATACTATACCGCCATCAAATGTCGTGTGCACCGGTTTCGCCTGCACGCTATCCGGCTCCTGGAAGGCAGCTTCCACAGGGAAGGATTCTGGGACTCACAGATCCTGGCATTCGTGGCGCGAAAGGTGATGGAAATTGAGGAGGGCGACTTTTATCTCCTTCTAGATGCGGTGGATGACTTTGAGCTGCATTGCCCTCCAGGCCAGGAAGATATGCTGTTTCCGCCATTGCCCGAATCCTGCAGACTATCTGATGTGGAAGTGAGCCTGTTAGGCGATCCTGTCAGTACAATTTCAATCCTTTGCAACCCGAGTCGCCACAGAACGGATCGCAAAATGTGTGTTGCAAGTTACGAGGTCGCCTTCGACCGATGAAATGGAACTACACGTCTTCAAATGGAGCTTCAGCAGCTTCACATAAAAGGCAACGTCATAAGATCATTGGTGGATATGATTCCGGTGATACCGTAAGAGGCTCCATTGAGTAGGCACGGGGACGAGGTTGGTCTCGATCAACAATCCAGACATGAGGCTCATTCAATATCTCCCGTCTGCCTTAGTGCTTAGTTGCATAGCGTGACTAATTATCATAATCATTGGTGGAATAACCTATGTTACAATGGAAGCATCACCGACAGAAGTCCCATTATGGTGATATCCTGGTGCTCGAATCTATCACATCGTCATCAATCGGCACAACACCTGCCGGGAACAAGTACAGGCTATCGGCACTCAGGCGCTGCGTCAGACCTTGCCAGAAGCACTGTCTCGTCGGCTCCATGACGAGAAACTCAGGGAGCGGAAGGTTCCTCTCTTCGGTAGTGGGGTGCGGTCCTCGTCCTCCTTAGCCATCGGTGCTGGGCGCACATTATCGTTCCGTTTCTTATAGAGCCACCAACTGGACATGACAACCAACGTGAGAGGCACTGTTATTGCAGCCCATAGCCACCATACTGATGCCGATTCGAACCTTGTGTTATCGCCACCACCGTTCAAGCTACCGGCGCTTAGGATTGTCTGTGAAACAAAGATCAGAAATACCACGATCGACTCCCTCCTGCAATCCGCCTGAAGAACTCACCGCTATGAACGTCCCAGGTAGAAAGACCATCGTCAGCGCAGCAATCGCATTCATGCTGGTACTGTCTCGTTTCATACTCGCTGCCAACTGGATGTTACTCGCTGCATCCTGCTGCGTCACAAGGTTATACACCAGGGCCATCGTGCTGTCTTTGCGGTTCTTGTAGTTGAGAAACCATATCTTCTGCTTCTGCATGGACTCAATAACATACGTGATCGAGTCAGATGCGCGCTCAAACACCCGAGCGGGGCTGCCCATGGCTTCGTGCAAGCGAGCATGCGTCGTGCGGATGGCAGTTGCTGTGATGATTGCGACGTCGGCATTTCCCAGATGTGAGTCAGCGTTTTGAGAGATGATTTGCAGCTCCTTTGTCAGTTCTCCTAGCTTGCGTCGGTCGTTCGCTTCGAGCCCCACGAGATGGTCGTCGACCTTATTGATCTGGCTCCACATGTATCGCCGGAATCGCTGGGCATGATATTTCGAAGCCTCGAAGGATAATGTGGAAAGAATAACGGCGAGGTCGAACGGATCGTCGAGCAGGATTCCTACCCGTTGGTCTGCAGGCGCCGTTTCGATGGTAAGGTCGAAAATGTTTTGTAGAGCTTGGATACTCGAGTCTCCTTCCTTGTGGGAGATGATATAGGTCGTGAGATGCAAAGCCGCGTTATAGCGGAGATATACTGATAGAGGTGCCCCTTGGAAGTGCAAGTTCCAGCGGGGGTGTTGACAGTAGAAGTCTGCAGATGTCAGCAATTCGATTCATCAAGTCCAATGTCTGACGCAACAGACCACAAGCTAATATGTTACTATTGCTATCGGACGTCCACCGTGTTTGCGGCGCCCAGTAGTCTGGTCTCCCAAGCAAGTTCATAATGAATGACGGATCAGCGTTCAAGTACTTGAAAAGGTCCATCGTGTTGTCCTGAGTCATGGATATCCGACTCGCAAACGAAGTATGCTTCTCTGGTATGAGAGGTACGAAGCTATTGACTGTCAGTGGGCGAAGGTGCCAAAATGTCTGGAACGTACAATGCAAGTAGCCTCGAAGGTTTTGAATGTCCAAACGGTGCATTCGTGTGCGAAGCTTTTGGAATACTCTAACCTGCCCATCAGCTCCGTTGGCCCGGTGGGACAAATGCTCCTACCTGAAGGAGTTGAGTCAATCCTCTCGAGTCGAGCGTATGCCATGCTTTGCAGTATCAGCCATCGATCAATAACTGTACGACTAAAGTTCTGACTGACATGATGTGTTCTCATTCACATCTAGACACGTGATATCGGTCTCGTCAGAAAAGTTCCGGGGATTCTTCAAATGCATGTCATGCTGCACCGCTGGAAACACATCCTGGAGGGACTGGAGGTTACCGAGAGGGTAGTTGCTGCGGTCTAAACTGAAGTTAAAGTCGAGATCCTTCGCTTCCAAATCGCTTGCTTGGGCATGACGAAAGATATCCTTCATCTCAATCGAATTTCTTCGAGGAAGCACCTTTGTCTGCGAGAATGACGCCTCCAACCGAGAGAAGGTGGCATCTTCATGGTCGGTGCTTATGGGCTGCTTATCGCCCATTTTGCTGGTGTGGACCTGCAGTTCTGTCTGTCTGAACAAACTTAAAAATTGTCAAGCAAGTGGGGATCTTCTCGTCTGGACTCCAGACTATATCTGCCGACATTGTGCAGAACCGGCTCCTCTTCTTCCCACAAGGATGAGCCTCATCACTGGAACAGTGCGCTTGAACTCGGTAGAGATTACTCTGTCCGGCCAATCTGACATGCGCGGTTCGTCTGAATGGTGCTGGAGAGTACGCCACCAACTAACAGATCGTCCTATCTGGCCCAGCTGCCTCTCAGCTGGTCCTGCCAAGAGAGAACTAATATCATCCTGTTCTCAGCCTAGCGAGTTAGCCTAGAGTAATAAACATCTTAGGAAATAATATCTTCAAATCCGGAGACATCGGATCTGCAAGGAAGAAAGGGTGAGGATATGGATTGACCCAAGAAATGCATGAATGTCACCATGGTTTTGAATCTGTCAGCCGCCAGGAGGCGGAGAAATTGAATGGATATGGATATGGACACGTAGTAAGCACTAAACCTCGTTCGAAAGTAGCCCCGGTCTTGCTATCATTCTTCTTATTGCCCTGGTTTCCTTTCTTTTCCTCAATCAGTCAGGAACTCAATATTCGTAATCTGGCTGCCACCAATCCTGGTTCTGCTGCTTTCCACGTGCTATGGCGACTGAGGTTGACTATGAGGCTCTCCTGGCGAGGTTCGACGACCTGGTTGCTCGAAAAATCATATACTATTCCCCGCCAACAACAATACGGCTGAATGATGCGGGCTTTCCTGTGAGGAACTCCGGCATTAAATCGACATTCACTAACTATATGTCGACCCCAGTTCGAGTTCTATATCAGTCCTTCACTCCGCACAAAGCCGGCTAATATTGGGGAGAATTTCCACTCCAGTGATAGTGCATCACCCGAAGGCTTCGGAGCAGGCAGTGATATTGCCAACGCCGACCCAGGCTTGCTCATTACATCCATTAACCAGACTCATCTCCTCGTAATCAACAAGTTTTCTGTTCTCCGGCCACAGTTGCTCTTGTTGACGTGCGACTCCTACCGGCGGCAGCATGAAGCGCTCACCGTGGAAGACTTTGCAGCGATTCATAGCGTCCTGAGCTCGTCCAAAGAACGCCATCTGGTTATCTACAACTGTGGGCCGATAGCAGGCGCAAGCAGGAACCATAAACATGTGCAGATTTTGCCGCGCCCTGCCCATCTGTTTCCCGACGACCCGAACTTTGACCCTGAGGTGATTCCATTTCAGTATGGTCTGCGATATCTTCGGGATCTGGACTTTGAAGATCCGAACTACCCCTCAAAACTCTCGGAGATCTACCAGGAACTGTTGGCAGAAGCGAAAAAAAGGCCTGGAAACTCACCCGACGCAAACAATGGAGGGTACTTTCCACATAACGTCGCGTTGGTCCGAGACTGGATAATTGTCATCCCCAGGCGCAGTAACAACTTTGAGGACATCACTGCCAATGCGACGGGAATGATGGGCTCTGTCTGGCTAAAGAACGAAGACGAGTTGGATCGCTGGAAACAGGTTGGACCAACCAAAGCTCTGGCTGGTTTGGGATTTCCAAGAGAGACTGAGAAGAAGGGCTAGCGTGGCATTATAAACATTGGTGAATGCATTTCAAGCGGCATTAAACTCCTTTGGCAATCCGACTAAAATAAATATAGAATGCTCACCCCCAACGAGACAAGCAGATCATCACAATATCTTCATGGCGGCCTCCGCCAAGTGTACAGCCTCCAGTTCCTGATTCTTGATGACTGAAATCAAATAGTTCGTCCCATATTCCGACACAGCGCGGACGACCACATTCTCTCCATATCCACAGTCCTTCTCCGTAGAGGCTGCTTCAGTGTATTCGGCAAAGCTCTCCCTGGTGATTTCATCTTCTTTGGACAGCAACACCCGGCTGGCCAAGTCTCTTGCCTCCTGGTACGTCAGGAAGACACCCTCAATGTCAATATCGCGCACTCTGCTGCCCTCGTCGGCGCTGTATTCGACATTCGCCTGTACCACGTAGTACAATGGCTTGGTGACGTGGCCCTCAATGACCTCGTCGACGAGCTTGTCGTCCTTCGGCGTCGTGATGATATGAACCCGAAATTCCGTCCCATCGGGCGCAACAGCAAAGACAGCTAAACCAGATCGCTCGGGAAGATCTCTGTTCTCGAATACGTCCGGCTTGGTCTCGTACGTGGTGAACCACTCCTTTTCGTAGCCCGCGTCAAACAGACAGCGGTATGCGGCAGCTTTGGCAGCTTGGAGTTTTGTGTAGGTGCCCGGGATTCGGACCTTTTCGACAACGTTGTTTGGGTTTTTTTGAAGGTGACTGGTCGTCAGAAGAATGTGGAATAGTTGTTCAGTAGTGTCGTTTGAGCCCATGGTGGCGACAGTATTGGGGATATGTGGTGGTAGATCTAGAATGTACGCAGGTATTACCGTACTCGTTGTGGATGATTACTTTTTAGGTCGCTATCCCAACTGCTTTTATATATTCGCTACCTTGCACAAGTTTCGTCATTTTCGCCTTTTGTTGAGTTTCATGTCGTGGGGTGATGTGACTTAACGATGGCATGTTATGCATGGCATGATGCTATTCCAAAATAACCCGGATTCTAAGGATTATACCGGATCATGACTTGGATGATTCTAAATGTGATCATAATTCTTCGGCAGAACAAGTTGATGATAAAGTTATCCCATAAGGATTTTTGAAACACTTTTCCATTCATCATTCGCAGAGCCGGGCAATTATGGTCATAGCTCAGTTTCCCTACGACCAACCGGACCTGAGTTACCAAAGAAGAAACCCATCTCACTACCTATGCTCCGGATGTCCTTCATCACCAGTCACAACCCAAGTCCGCGTCTCGCGGATGATCCCAGTTTGGCTGGATTGGCTATCCGCATCCCACGCCGGTGACGCCGACACCATGGTGAGATTCTGTCCTGATGCCACTGGGACCAGTTCATGGTGCTCCTCCCGACTGTGATTTGTCCCAGATCGTCCGTACGACCGTGATGATTGTCCCTTCCCAGTCGAATATTGGTAATCCACCCCTCGAATACGCAGTCCATTGGACTTGAGCTGATTGAGGAAGGGCTTCAATTGGCCCCAGCATGCGGTGACTATACTCGCACATTGTACAACCTGCGACACAATTGTAGTAGGACAGTAGTCGTATGTCGGATCGGTGGAATGTCTAACGTCGCGGGAGAAGACGATTTCGATAATTGTCGCTACGATCACGCTGCATAGTAAAGGTCAGTCCTTGTCGTTTCAATCATAGGGGCCTGAGTAGCACGAACATGACTCTTGACAGAAATATACTTGCAAACACGGCCTTTTTCTTCCACGTCGCCTGAATGCCGGCGATCAAGAGCAAAGCCTGTGCGATGATCATACAATCTGTAACAATGTTCGATACAGAAAGGAAGTAATTCCAAGCGGCCTAGCATGAGTTAGTACCAACCAGACGTGACACTGCTATTAAGGATAGGCGCAATGGCTACCAAATTGAAGCATTTCCCGTGCCAATAATCCCATGGACGGGGCATATGACATTGAAAGGCCGTACCAAACACACCAACCACTCCCAGGACCGCAATAAGGCCCTGCAGGACGGCGGCCTGGAAGTGATCTTTATGCACCGGGGTCAAGCTGCGAATAAAGGTCGAGAGCGATAGCTTGGAAAGGCAGAGGCTTGCGATATACAGGATGTAGGCGGCATATTGTGACTAGACAAGGGTTAGCCGGACTTAAGGCAGCAGACGACATTAGCAACGACGTACTTTCATGACCTGGTCAAAATTTGCACTCGAGATTGTCGCGAAATGATAGCCATATCCGTGTGATACCGCTGTCGAGATGGCCGCTGATTGCGCAATGCAGAATGTCTGTATTGACACTGAGTAAGATCATCATTCTCTTGCATTTTATATTCGTAAACATACCAAAGATGCGATTATCAGGTAGTCATCGCTGGTCAACCGGTGAAAAATCCAGAACTTCGTCCCCAATCGAATAAGGACGCTTAAACCCACAACAACGACCAGAAACCAGTTGGTGACATTGACGGCAGGATCCCGGGTATCGGAGTTGGCAAATCGCCCCATATCTGCCAGTCATGCCCTGCAGGCAGGCAGTCGATCAAAGCCCGGCTACTCAATGGCGCTTGTCGCGCACAGTGGCATTCATGTCAGGAAAAGGAGAGGCAACCTGGCGTGGATGACATGAAGAGAGATGAAAGCAGAGACTTCGTCGACATTTAACGTCGAAATCAATGCGAATACTCAAGTAGACCTCACGCGAGCCCACTTTGAGCTGATAGAAACATTGAGAGTTTGATTATGACCAGGGAGGGACAGGGATCTCATCCTTCCCGTGCCATCCTCGCGTACGTTCTGTGTTGGGGCGGCAAATATTACCAGGAATAGATTTCCTCCGTGTCAGATATCTGTCCGAAGGCCTCTGCACTTGATCTCATCCAAAGTTCTTGTTCCCTATGCCAGAATCTATGTGAGCATAGTTCACATGCATATACTACCGCGTGTCGTGGGATCTACATGTGGCCCTGGACAGCCCATCGAGGCAGATCGAGACGCGAGCACAGCATACACACGGAACTCGGCCAGCTGCTCTGGTGAAACACGCACGGCACAGATCCTGGCTCGTGCATTACGAGCATGCGACCGTGGGAGACAAAATTTTCTCATCCTTGCAGTTATACGGAGGAAGGTTACATTGTTGGCCGAACCCTTGTCGCGCCAAGAGACGTCACGTAATAGGAGTGGACTCTGGACGGTGGATTGACCGTGGTCTAACTGGTTTCAGCACCCGATGCCGATTGATAGAAGGACTAGTTTCAGAGTAAACTGTCTAGCAAAGTCTACCCACCGATCACGATCAAATGGTGCCTTGGCTCGGTCGGTGGGCGGGACAAGAATTCGAAACCGAAGAAGCATATCCTAAGCCTTGTGATCAGTCGAGTACTCGGCAGTCGGACATTTCAGCATGGCCAATTGTAAAATGATACAAATTGGAGGTTGTACACCACCGCTGGACGTCGACGGCATCAAGTGTGAACTCCTTGATCTTATCCTGGTCGCAACCCCCTGCGAATGACCCGCAAGACAGGGGGATGACAGGGATCGTAAATTAGAAAGACACCGTCGATATCGGCTTCAGTCGGGGTTACTTCCCACCCATAAGACGGCCTCCTTTTGCGTTCAGGACTAGAACCTGAACGGAAGGTGTTTCGACGGTGGCCAGATTGGTCTGGGCAACTTGCGTTCTGTCTAGCAACCCACTTCTCCTCACTCCTAGGCCTTAAAATGAACCATTCCCGACATTCACGGTGACAATCTCCAGCAGCTCTTGAGTGTGATTGCTATTCCCCAGTTTCGTGATATCGCCAACATGGAGTCGCACCAACTCAAGCATCGCGCTGTCTCCGCGAACGAAGAGGTCCGCAGCCATGATCGCGATGTCACCGATCTGGCGCGACTGGGAAAGAAATCAGTTCTGAAGGTAAATAGGCTGCTTATCTTCAAGTGCTCCTTAATCTGACTCGCTTTAGCGAACGTTCGGCATCCTATCCACGCTCGGGTTCAGCTGCACAATTCTTGCGACGTGGGAGGGATTGTTCAAGTATGATTTTCCTAACCCCTCGCGGCCGATCATGCAACTAATAAATGGCTCCTTTTATAGTACTTTGCTCATGCCTCTATCAAAGTTAGTAATGCAAGCTGGATGACACGAGGTCGAAACTAACAGCATTCAGTGGCGGTCCTGGAGGCGCAGTCTACGCCTTTATTTTCGCCTGGACAGGAACCGCATGCTGCTTTGTGGTAATATCTGAATTAGCCTCAATGTATGTGGACACATCTTGCAATCCAAAGATTAGAGTTAAATACTAACAATCGGAAGGGCACCAACCTCTGGAGGCCAATACCATTGGTGCGCAATGCTTGCTCCCCCGCATCTCATGAAGTTCCTCAGCTACATGACTGGTAGGCATGCAATCGAATCACCATTGACACTACTGACCTCATCATCATAGGATGGGTTACCGTCATTGGATGGCAGGCTGCGTTTGCCTCGTCCTCGTTTCTTGCAGGGACTCAGATCCAAGGCGCTGTCCGTCTCGGTCACGAACTGTACCAGGCGAAGCCCTGGCATGGAACCCTTCTCATGTGGGCGGCAGTCCTGCTGGCGTTGGGAATCAACGTGGTGGGAGGCAAGTTGCTCCCCCGGCTTGAGACGGTCATCCTGGTGGTTCATTTGCTGGGCTTCTTTGCCATTCTCATTCCGATGACCTATATGGCCGACCACAAGTCCTCTCACGAGGTGTTTCTCGAGTTTGTCAACAGTGGTGGATTTCCCACTCAGGGGTTGTCGTGGTTTGTTGGAATGACGGGTTGCGTTTTCGCCTTTGCTGGTGGCGATGCTGCTGTGCATGTAGGGACCCCCCACTACCTTGTGAAAAGAAGTGGATTATTGACCCGACACAGATGGCGGAGGAGGTGCGCAATGCATCGGTGGCAATTCCAAGAGCAATTCTGCTGTCCGTCCTCATCAATGGAGCGCTCGGATTCAGCATGTTGATTGCTGTACTGTTCTGCCTGGGTGATCTCGACGCTGCCCTGGCAACGCCCACTGGATATCCGTACATGGAGATTTTCCGCCAGGCTACTGATTCACTCGCGGGCGCCCTGGGAATGACCTCGATCTTACTGATTATTGGAGTCTGCTCGGTGATTGGAATGCTGGCCGCAACATCTCGTCAGTTCTGGTCTTTTGCGCGTGATCGAGCTGTGCCTGGATGGCGCATCTGGAGCAAGGTATACTCGCCCCCGTGATTTCGCCTAAACATCACTGACATGCTGCCTCTTCAGGTCTCCCCTACCAATTGTCTCCCCACGTATTCGATCCTGCTCACAATGACCGTATGCTGTCTTCTCGGCCTCATCAACATCGGCTCCAGTGTTGCCCTCAACGCCGTCGTCTCCATGGCCGTTTCTGGTCTCTATCTTTCCTACCTCATGGTCGGAAGTCTTCTTCTCTACCGGCGATGCACTGGTGCCATCTCGCAATACGATCATGGAGAAGACGGGGTCATCAATGTTCCCGGTGCCAAGTTGGCCTGGGGGCCATTCCATGTGCCGGGGATTTGGGGCACTGCGGTCAACACCTATGCGGTGATTTATATGGTGATCGTCGTGTTCTTCAGTTTCTGGCCTTCTCAGATGTCGGTCAACAAAACGACAATGAACTTTAGTGTGGTCGGGACTGTGGGGACTATTCTGCTGGCACTTTTGTACTATGTGCTGCGGGCGAGGAAGGTGTATACGGGACCTGTCATGGAGGTTTCGATTTGACGAGAATGATGGAAAAAGTCACGCGAGTATGAGCATATTCCATGTTCCATAATATATACAAATCCGTGAAAAACTAGACGTTATTTTCGCCTGGCTCATTCTGTTCGAAGAAGGCTCGGTTACATAGAGGACACAAAAAGTGACGCCCAAGGAACCACTGCTCCAGGCAGTGTGCGTGATATACATGGCGACAGGACAACACGTGCATTAGATCTGTTCCGTTTACGTCTTCCAGGCACATGGAACTAATACAGTTAGTTGATCGGTTGAAAAAAAACTAGTTGCAATGGTCAACCTACCATGTGAGGCGCGTCGAAGACCGATCAGACAAGTCTTGTTCCTCCTGAGTGTGTTCTACCCATTCGTCATACGGTTTGGTAGGACAGAGAGACTCGAGCTTCTGAAGCAGTTCTGTGTCTGACTGATGCTTGGTTTCTTTTAGGACAGTGGAGGCCGAAGTACGAGCTGCGTTTCGGCGGACTTGGATGAAGATCCCTCTGATTAAGTCATTAGCTGATGTGTTTCTCACTCTCCAACTCGATATCGTTGGCTCCTGAAAAGCGCGGAGAAGACGGGGTCTCATACAGCATTGCAACAACGATAATAACAAATGATCCGACACAGACCCCTATCACCGCTATTGGAGAATTTGATCGATGGTCCATCTTGATGGCTGAAGATTTCTATCTGCATGTGTGGGCGCAGAACCACAGTCACGGGCAAACGCGATAATAAATGACGGCAGAACGCCTGTCCGGCCGAAATAAACAGTCCATGTGCGTGCTCGACAGTCTGACCAGCAGCCACCCATGGTTTTGTTTCATGAGCATCGGGTGAGCTCTGACATCTCATGTTCTCCTGTGGCAGTGTCGCTCATGTGCTGCCATTTAAAGTGCGGTGGCTCAGTCTATCCTCGGGTAGCCCGTCCGTGGATCGCCATCTTATTGCTTAAGCCGCGTCAACGATGTAATCGATTGACAATGCGATTGTCTAGATTGCCATCGATCGACACAAGCTGGCGATCGGGAATATCCGAACCATGAGAGATTTGCCCCACAACATCCCCCATTCCCCAGAGCCCGAGCGCACGTGTGTCATTCTGTTTCGACTTGATGAAGCATTTGCCTCCCGGCCGGCATTCCTCAGGCCACGTTTGTCGTCGTCAGCTGCACAGCCACTCTCGAGGATGGACTGTTGAGCGGGATTATTTGGAATTGTGTAAGCAAGCATTCCTGAAATGATTTCTGAGAAAGCATCGGGCAAATATTCTTCATACTCGATGTAGTCCAGACATTTGCTGTGTATGATCCCGCTGGGATGATTACGACTTGATTAGTTTGCATACAAGAGATGATCTGTTCTTGAATATTCCATAGACCTTTTGAGGCTGTAGGTCTCTTCGCTGAGGTTTATATCGGTGTATTGGATATCAGAAGCAAAATCAAGCTGCTTTGTAAACACACGAAGCTCATTACTTGAGACAGCTCCGATAGGTTCTCTATTAGTAATCTTCCTCCAATCGCACTATGCATCGCCACAAGCATTCTTCCAAGGGAGGCTGGTATGCTAGAGCTCTCGGGAATGTGAGGTCGGCTCTATGTCTTGGGGAAAACCAAGCACTTTCCAATCTTGTTGTTAGACCAGGGAACCGCTACCAATCCAGGTTGTCGGGCCCAAAGGTGGACTGTGCTCGTTCATGTTCCAGAGGCATAATAGCTGACCTTGACGGCTTCTGTATTCTGCTATGTTGGGCGATCAATACCGAAATTTGTGCCTGGAATGCTCGCCTCGTGGCCAAAGGGGCAATTGAAATTGAATTCAATGGCGAACTCATGGCCCATACATTCTTAACGTTTCCATTCCTCGTCTTGAATGGACTTTATTGATCCCATCCAGTGGAATCAATCCATTCTGGCTCGGACTATCCTTGCCTGAAAGCTGAATATACACCCACCCACCATGTGGTCTGCACCAGGGTCACCAACCGACGATCAACAAGAAACTTCCAGAACTTCTTAGCTATCAGTACATTCCTTGCTTCTAATTGTGATCACCTTTGACACAGCAGAAGATACGAGTGGCCTTCCGGTATGGGGCCGGTATGGGCATATTGCTGCTACATGCCGGGTCTGTCGTTCGTATGGCAAGAAATATCGTAACTATGTACGAAGAATTATTCAATACCGGATAAGACCGTGTCGCCTAGCTTAATTTGCAAAGATGTCGTCCGGCTCGACATCTATTGATCTATTGTCAACGAAAGTCCTAGATAGATAGACCGCGAATACTATGCCGTTACCTGCATGTACATAGCCGCCCTCATGGAGACTATTCAGAACGTGAGTATTACTTTACAATATCAACGTGACTGGTGTACTTGCTTTGCCAGCCAAACACAGTCTCCGAACTGCTTTGCGGTCGTTTATTTCCCTGACGTGCCTCGAAGAATCTGTCCAATTCGGGGATATAGATATGTCTCTACTCCATGTATTGAGTCCTTTACAGTGCCACGACCTATGCACAGAAATGATTGATCCCTTTACCTCAGCAACGATTAGATATTGAACGCACATATAGTTTGTGTGGTATAAAATCTATTCGTACACAGAAAAAAGTGATTCCACTGTGGATTCAGTCACTTTACCCTCTGCGCCACTTCAAACCCCCTCTTTATTAAGTCCTCCTAGCAAGCAAACAGGTATATTCGATCCTTCTACCAATTAGAATAATTATTGTATGTGGATAGTCCACAATTGATAAGATATGTCTACTGCTTAACATATCTCAGCAAGAAACAAACAGCAGATATCCCAATCAAGCCTTGACCCTCAGCGCGACCCCAGCCTTCATGATTCGAACACCAACAAGGATGATGCCAGCAACGCATCCAGCAACGCCCCCATAAACCCACAGGCCCGTCCAATCCAGAGGTTCACTTTTCCCGAGTATGGCACCACCACTTGGCCCACCAATCAGCAGACCCAACCCGCCAATCGCAAAGCCCTGTCCGATGCGCGTGCCAATCATAGACTTGTCCGCGGTGAGGACACGGAAGCACACAGGAGGGAGGGCGACGACAACGCCGCTAAAGAAGCCGGTGACGATTGCCTCGACGATCATACCGGCCGCATTGTGCACGCCGAGCATGCACAGCACAGTGACGCCCAGGAGCAGGGTGATGGGCACCATGGTGTTGAAGACGCCAATGCGGTCCGACAGCGCGTTGGGGGCGATACGACCCAGGACGGACCCGGCATTGAAAATGGCGGCCATGTAGAAGGCCAGCGAGGTGTCGGTGAAGCCGCGGTTCTCCGGGTAGAAGGAGATGTAGAAGATGAGGACTGCGTTGCCGATGAAGAGGATGACCAGGCTCAGCGTGAAGACCATGAACGGGACGTCGGTGAAGGCGGACCAGTCGACGACGGCGCGCGGCTTGGGCGCACGCACGCGCATGCGCATGACTGCCAGCGGGAGGATGAAGGTGCCGAGGGCGATGAAGCCGAGGGTGCGGACGGCCCAGGGGAAGCCGATCGGGCCGAGCAGCCGGTAGAGTACGGTGGGGTAAATGATGCCGCCGAGGGAGGAGCCAGATGAGGCGATGCCGACGGCGAGGCCCATGTGTGTGCTGAACCACGTTGGGAGCAGCGAGACGGTAGGCGTGAAGAGCAGGCCGCCGCCGATGCCGATGCAGAAGGCCTGCGCCAGCAAGGCCTGCCAATATTCGGTGCACAGGGAGAGCATCATGAGACCGAAGACGACCAGGAAGCTACCGGTGATTAGGAGCAGGCGGAGGTGGCCCCGGTCGTAGATGGGGCCGGCAACAAGCCCGGTCAGCTGAAGTAGGAAGCATTGGATGGACCCTATCCAGGAGATCTCGGAAGAGGACGCTTTAAAGAGCTCGCCGCTCTCGTAGTAGGTTTGGAAGACAGCAAATGTGTTGATCATGCCCCATGTGTTGAAGAAGAGAACGAAGCCGGCGGCAACCTGGAGCCAAGCCAGGAGCCCGCCATTAGGAGGCGGAAAAGGTCCGCTAGGTGCAGCTGGAGCCGTCGCCAATTTCTCGTCGACCTCTTTGCGACTATCATTGTTGTTGGGGTTCATTAGCGGCCTAACTTCTCTGGGCATGTCTTGGACCGCTGGTTGAGGATCCATTTCTGATACTGCAGCAAAAAGTGATAAAAAGAGACTTGTCTGGCTCTATCCTCGGACGGCATAGAGACTTAAGTAGGGGGTTATAGATCGATTGTATTTTCCGCCGTGACGGACGAATGGCCGCATATTGTCCATATAGTTCACTGGAGCTGACAAATGCAGTTCGCCCGTCACGGCGGAAATACGAATCTGACACCATCCAGTCCAACATCCTTGAAACCATCTCTAGAGAAGAAGAACAACATTCTGATCGGCAGCAGTAATGGAGGAGACAAAACTGCACCACCAAGAACCATCGGCTAAGCGCAGGAGGGTGCGCAAAGGAACGCGGTCATGCTGGGAATGCAAGCGGCGGAAGATCCGGTGCATATTCTCATCTGCCGACGATGTCGCTTGCATCAGCTGCCAGCACCGGCGTGCTCCTTGCGTCAGTCAGGACATGCCCGAGGATTTGTCTCCGTCAAGAAAAGGCAACCGGCATCTCAGCGAACGCATCGCAAGAGTCGAAGACTTCATCAAGGACTTTGTGGCTAGCAAACATGCCGAAGGAGAGCCACTGCAAGATAGGCATTTGGATCAACCAAAGGCTCAATCAGACGATTCAGCGACCCCATCAACTCGGGCTACACAGACGGAGGACTCGCAAGGTGTATCAACTCGGACCAAAACTGAGACAACAGCGCAGCGTCACCTATGGGCGGCCTTTCCAGCTGAAGACGATGCCAAAATCCTGCTCCGGGAGAGCGCAAGACCGTCGCTTTATACCGCTCTCATTAACACCCAGCCACATAGTAAGCTGACACTCGAGTCGGTTGCCGTGCCACACCCGATGCCTCAACTTCCCGGCCCCAACACTCATCCGGTCATTCTGGCCAAACAAATGCTCATGTTCGCAATCACACTACAGAGTCCGTGTGGGGAAAGTGTTCGTGGTCTTTCCGAACCACAAGGCGTACTCATGAGTCGCTTGAAGACGGCTGTGACGACATGGATAACAACCAAGGAGGACATGCACGGCACGGTCGAGAGCCTGATTTGCATCATCCTAGAGGGTGTCATTGAGGTGAACTCTGGTAATCTTCGACGGGCTTGGGTTGTCTATCGCAGGGCAATGACAGTAGCCCAATTGATGGGCCTGCACCGGTCCCCGATGCCACCACTGAAACGCATCGAGCCAGAGCTGCACGCGGACCCCGGTTTTATGTGGTTCCGCATCGTGTATATGGACCGTTATCTCAGCCTGCTACTTGGTCTCCCTCAGGGCACAACAGACAAGAGTATGGGAGCAATACCGTCTCTGCAGCATGAACCACCCCTCGGCAAATTCGAGCGGCAACTCACCGTCATTGCATCCTGCATCTTGGATCGCAACGAAAGTGCTTTTACCACAAGCGCAACCATGACAACTCAGTCCATCGATTCAGAGCTATTGAAACTGTCACGGAGCATGCCCACAAGCTTCTGGCGGCCGGCAAATTTCTACAAATTTACCCCTGGATCGCCGGAGAGCCTGTTGGAAACGGTACGCTTGTCGGCCCAGGTCTACTACTATGGCCTATTGATTCATCTTCATCTACCGTATGTGATGCATGGAATAACCGACAATGCCGAGCACGAGTACTCCAAGGTTACTTGCGTCAATGCTAGCCGGGAGATAATGACGCGCTTCATTGCTCACCGGACCTTTAATCCCATGTCTTCCTGCTCGCGGCCAGTAGATTTCTTCGCGCTTCTGGCGGCAATGACGCTCCTTCTTGCTCATCTCGACGCCCATCAACATCATCGAAAAGCGACCGACATCCTCGCTCATCAACGCTTGAGCGACCGCGCCATACTAGAGCAAGCCGTGGAACGGATGGATGTCATCAGTAACGTGAACAAGGATGTAATAACCGGAAAGAGCGCGGAACTGATCCGACGCCTACTCGACATTGAGGCGGACGCAGCCGAGGGACGCAGTTACACTACCAGAAGCGTAGTAGGAGATGGCGCCGATGTGGACGAGGGGACTGACAAGAAAGGTGACGAGCTTCGCTTACATATCCCGTACCTCGGCGTCATCAAAATTGCTCGCCAGGATCCTATTTCTTGCGAGCTGCCCGGGCCGCATCAGATATTCCCGGTCGAGTCCCCGCAGAGAGAGTCAACAATCGCCGTATCCAATGATGCGTTCGCGTCTCTCCCTCATGCGTCATCGACGGAGGAACAGCAGCGGCTTAACCATCTGCACGGCACGACCCAAGACTCACCCTTCCAGGGTACTCTGCCCGCATCGGACTGGCTGAACGCGCAGTTACATGAACAGTCCATTCTGCAAAACCCTAGCCCTAGCCAAGATGACATCGCTCTGCAACCGCATGCGGGGCTCCCTGCCATCACGGCTGGTGTCAATGACTGGACTTTTCAAGGGGTCGACATGGCGTTTTTCGATAGCTTGATGAGAGGAATGCCCGGCGTGGATGCGGCCGAGTTAGAGGAAAAGAGAGCGGGCCAATGATTTGAACCTTGACTTTGATATGCTATCATGCTTCTGGATGCTTAGTGTTTATAGATTTACTGCCTCTTAATAATTCTAAGTTAATAAAGCAAACATGCTCACGCCCCCAGTCCCGGGTTACTTGAATATCAATATCCTTCGAATTGCGTCCAATGGAGAAATTTACTTTGTTTCATCACGGATGGCCAGAGTTGTCAAGCATTTATTTGTCCATATTATAAGAGGCGGTATAAATAGAGATCTGAACTGGCCCACAGAAACCATCCTTACAAAAGCAAAATGCTGGCCCATCCCTGGTTCCCGGTTCACATCTTGCAAATCATGTCTACCTAGTCCTGTGCCCTTATAGCTGGACTATTCCAAGCCCGAACTCCGAACTCCGACCTGTAATAGTCCGGTGTATTCTTAAGCCAATCCGGTGTATTTATATGAGCAGGGTTTCTGATTACCCACTTTTCAATGGTACCTAGTTATTTAAGAACAGCATGAATCATTTCCCACCTTCCTTCTCCTGATCTTTCTCTATCCTACTGCCTTCAACTTTTGTCATGATCGTTTCTTGCCTCCTCCAATTTGCTCTTTACAGCGTGGCGTATGCCACCCAGGAGGTGTTGCGGCCTGTATCGGACCAAGACAACGAATTTCGCATTGTTCAGAGCCACCATTCCCCAGATCACTCAATTCGAATCAAACAGCAAGACGAGTCCATCTGTGCTGCTGGCTCACCTCAATACACAGGCTGGCTCGATGTCGGCCACAAGCATCTTTTCTTCTGGTACTTTGAGAGCCAGAACGATCCCTCCAATGACCCGCTAACTTTGTGGATGAACGGAGGCCCCGGTGCCTCCAGTATGATGGGTCTGTTCCAGGAGGTTGGCCCCTGTCTAGTTAATAAACACGGCAATGGGACATACCACAACCCATGGGGGTGGTCCCGCAACTCATCGCTTCTCTTTGTCGACCAGCCCGTCGATGTCGGCTTCTCATACATTGATGAAGGGCATGAGATGCCGCGGGACTCGAAGGAGGCGGCGGTTGACATGCACCGCTTTCTGCAGCTATTTGTATCTGAGGTGTTTCCTCACCTGCAGGATCTTCCTGTCCATCTCTCGGGAGAGTCATATGCGGTAAAAAAGACCCTTTCCTTTGGTAGGCCATGCTGACTTTCCAGGGTCATTATATCCCGTACCTGGGCGCTCAGATCATACAACAGAACGAGCTCTATCTTGACAAGCCCCAAGTCCGACTGAAGTCGTGTCTGGTAGGTAATGGCCTGATGTCTTCGCAAGATACAACGTTCGGCTATTGGGAAACGCTTTGCACCACGAATCCAGGCGTGGAGAAACCTGTATTCAACCAGACGCGCTGCGATATCATCGCCTCGAACATGCCCCGATGCATGGACGTTACTGCAGTGTGTGCACAAAATCCAGATCCAGCTTTGTGCAGCGCTGCTTCATCTGTCTGCTACGAGGGTATAATCGGCTTGTATGAAGACGAGTCCGGTAAAGGGGGGCGAAACAGGTTTGACAGTAAGTTGAATAAAAAGGACAGAGATATGTCGATTGCTAAGCACTGCGCAATACAGTCACAGCACCCTGTGAAATCGACGATATGTGCTACATCCAAGCCGTACGTGTGGAACAATACCTCAACAGCCCAGCTGTCTGGGAGGCGTTATCACCCCCCAAACAGATTACCGAATACAAAATGGTTTCGGAAGCGGTCATCCAAGCGTTCGCAAAGACCTCGGATGTTATGACGTCTACTTCCGAACTGGTCACGTCTCTCCTGGCAAACCAGGTCCATTTCCTGGCTTATCAGGGTAACCTGGATCTCGCCTGCAATACAGCCGGGAACCTCCGTTGGGCTCATTCCCTGCCCTGGAAAGGTCAGACTGAGTTCACGTCCAAGCCACTGCGTCCCTGGCGATCCCTTGTTGCAGCCACGGGGCAAAAGGAGACAGTTGGTACCACGAAGGAAGTTCGGGTGCGTGTGGGCGAGGCGGAGATTGAGTCGCGGTTTGCACTTGTTACTGTGGATGGTGCTGGTCATCTGGTGGGCATACGTTTGAGAATACAATAAACAGTAGTTGGTGCTGACTGTTGGCAATAGCTCCCTCAAGATCGACCAGACGTTGCTCTGGATATGATGGTTCGGTGGATTACTGGCGCGCCCTTTGCCTAAGCCGTTGATTTGCATGCTTTGACGGACCAATCTTTTTTATAGCCAATTTCCTGCTCGGAGTATATAAGGCCGAATGTGGGTGGTATTAATGATGGACAGGAGGGGCAGCCGGAAAAACAGCTCTGAAGGGATCGCTGGTGGCTAGCCAGGTGGGTAATGTAAATGTAGAATACTATATATACATGTATCTATCAAGCTGAGAACATTAGATTCAGAAAAGGGCAGCAAAGACCACCACGATATGAAGCGTGTACAACATTGTGGACTTGTGGTCCTTCGTACCTGGTAGGCGACTTCGGAACGCACCTATCCTTGCTTGACCCGAGTTGACCTCTGCTCGAGTCTGCGGAAGTACCAGAAACATACCCCATACGTTATATCCAAGCAATAGAAAGCTCCCACAAGCCAGTACATGAGAACATTGTCGACCCAGTCCCATTTTGCAGGCCAGTAAGCGGCTCTGACGAACAGCCCTGGCACCGTGACGCCGGAGGCAACAAATCGGGTGAGCCTAAGCGCGACAGTGTTAATTCTGAAAATGCAAGTGAGGTCATCACTCGGAATAGTTGAGCCTACCACATCTTATATGACATCCCCCGCGTATGGCCACGCTGCAGAAGGAGGCCCAGTACACTTGCGCTTAGCGTCACTTGACAGAGCATCCCACCCCAGAAGAGAGCTGCCAATGGACCGACATGGGATGACAAGGCGAGATGTCCGGACAAGATGCCTAGAATGCTAATGAGGACAATGAAAGGTAGGTGTCTCCGCATGAATGGCGAATGGGAACCAGACTCTCTCTCGAATTTGACGGTGGCATATAGGACGAAAGCATTGATAGACAGCCACAGGGGATAATTGACCTTCGCGAAAGGGTTAGGTGGTGGATTGATCAGAGCAAAAGCAATCTCCCAAGCCAGGTTGTTGGATAAAGCTATCAGCGAGACACCAGACATGCGGTCCTGGTATGCTTTGCGGATGGTGAAGAAGTAGTTCAGTGACCATCCAACCCCGGCAATAATGAGTGGCGTCTCCACTATCCACCGCACTCTCTGGAATTCGGCCGGGGCCGTGTCGAAATCGAGTCCATCCATGTTGATCGTCTAGGTTCTTTTGGGAACGACTTGGCCGTATGGTCAAGGCCGATGCGGTCAACAGACCATGTCATCGTGGGCTGCTTGCTTGATCATATATTTATGCCGAACGGAAGGTAATTAATCTGACAACTCAACGCAAGGGATGGCTGTCACCGTGATAGCAACTGAAGCAGCGCAGAATACATCAGGTGGATAGATGGTAAGGATTTGACCAACCCTATAAATTATTCTCGCATATAATGACCAGCTGAGCTGCAGTCCGATTGGAAAACGGGCGGACCGGTCGCCGTATCACATCACCGTCTTCACATAATGATCCACATCTAGACTAAGAACCGCTGCTTTGGGAATGTGCTGGCTGACTTGACAAGTTGCACTTTGCTTGTAGGGTTGCAACAAGCGGAATATCTAGAAGATGGACTACTCAAAAAGTGGAATGCTTGTATTAGTTTGAATGACAGACATTGCAGCGGAAAATACCCAATAGGTAATAGGGCTTCTGCTCCTGAGGAAGTCCAAACCCTCGGCAGATATCTCTCTTGCTCCATGCCTTCGGACCGTCCGGTCAATCAAGTTCGCAGACGATGCTTATCTCTGGGCAGAATAGAAATTGTCGGACGGAATAAGGGACAAGGTCCGGACTGTAAGCCCGCCGATCTTAGACAGGATTCAATCAAGAACTGCTCAAGTGAAGAAGATGTTCGATAACGGCGTTATACCAGTCATCGTAGTTCTCCGCGTTCCAGAGCCCCCTGGATGTGCTGTGGTCAATATACTCTCACGTATGCATTATTGCCTTGTTGATGTCTGATCCACGAAGCTGAAGGTTACAGTCATGGCGAGAATTACCTGTTTCTTGTGTATCACTATTTTAGTGCAACGTAGTGCACTTGATCCAATGTGGTGTGTGGGACGCTGGTATGGTTCATGCTTATCGTTCCTCGGCATCATCGGCTGACGGGTGTATATATAGCACAACCTCAAGGCCACTGCCGCTTATCCTCGCTGTTTCCTGCGATACAGCGTCTTAGTCTGTTAGATATGACATTGATGTTGGTTACTGGGTTAAAGCCATCTGCCTGGCCACGATTCACGTTGCTCTACGTAAGGAAGTCAACATACAGAAAGTACAGCAGTAGCAATATATGGCATTAACCTTAATAACAAAATATTCCATATCCCGATAGTATTGCCTGTCATTAAGGGCTTTGCCTAAGTGTAGAATGATACCTATCATCTGAACTGATACACTTAAAACTGTGCAACGATATTCCTGTATGGCCGCAGAATTGACACTTCAAACCATGGCCGACGGCTCTGGCAATCGAATATATAAGCAAGAGCAGTTCTAGGGCGCCAGTCATAGAATCCTAGTCTTTGCTCCTGGCGCAGCGAGCTGCTCTCTACAAGGGTGGTAATTCGATTTGAATTCCCATACACCTTACGGAGTTCTTAATGCTGGCGAATGCATCGAAAAGGGGAGACTGGTTTGCAAAAAGAAAAGAACGAATCATCTCGTTCCATTATGCGCTGCGATGGTGAGGTTGAGGTGGTGCTTTGCGATTTTTAGCACACCCCTGGCGCTTAATTTGGCATCATTTCAGCCTTTCGCCGGTCAGGGGTATGAAGACTCCCGGAGAACCCTCAGTTCAGCCTCGCCGGCGCGGTTAATCTTCTTAAAATCCTTCTAGCGTACTTTTTCCCTTTGTTTGACCAATTCTGTGGTCGTTATAGGATTATTGAAAGAAGCGCCACATCTATCTTATATAGCAGTCCGATAAATGGCTAACGTGCTCAAGCGCGCGAACCACGCCGAGGAAAGAAAGCTTAAGAGACAAAGGGGCGGTGGCCCAGCTCAGAATTACCCAGTCGGGTGGGTTTGCCCTCTGGATGAAGAGCTCATTGCTGCGCTGGAAATGTTGGATGAGGAACACGCGCCGCTAGCCCAACCTTCCACAGACCACAATGTCTACCATCTAGGTAGCACCGCCAGCTACAAGATCGTTTTTGCTAGATTGTGACAAGCCGAGAACAACCCGGCCACAGCAGTGGTGACCCAGATGCGACTCCGATACCCCAATCTTCACTTTGCTCTGTTGGTTGGTATAGGGGGCGGTGTGCCAACGATAACGGAACAGGGCATGCTGCGCCTTGGGCTTGTGGTAGTGAGCCAGCCTGTCGAACATTTTCAGGAGCGATTCAGTATCAACATGGGAAGGCGAAGGATGGTGTGTCCGAGCGGACTGGTGCATTAGCTCCGCCTCCTACTGTTCTTCTCCGTTCAGCGTGCTCGATCAGATAAAGACCATATTATGGAGAATGTTCAACGCATAGACACAAGCAAGCCCCAGCTGCGACGGTTCGAGTTCCCTGGTATCGAAAATGACAAGCTATTTCCGGCTGATTACAAGCATCCCTGCCCTGGACTGTCCTACGAAGAGAGTGGATGTGACACAGCACACAGTATAAAACGCGAGATAGGTGAACTTGATGAACTCATTGTGGTACACCGAGGTACCGTGGCGTCCGGAGAGCTTGTGCTAAAGGACAGTGCACTGAGGGACAAGCTCGCCAAGGAATACGGGGCCCTGTGTTTCGAAAGGGAGGCTGCCGGAGCGATGGTCGACTTCCATTGCCTTGTCATGGAATCAGTCTAGACCATGCACGGATTCTAGGCTGAGTGGTATGTGCGTACGAGGTTCGACTACCATATATGTAATACGGCGACGGATTCGAGTTTAGCGCGTTGGCGCCTCGTAGTAATATTTAGAGCCTTCCCTCGTATTCGGCAGCGAGGGGAACCAAGTCATTGGATGATTGCCTACATAAGGGGCTTCCTCCTGCCTCCCCAAAACAACTGTCCCAGTAACAGAGCAAAGACCAACATCTGCTGTTCACCTATATGCCCTGGCCGAAGCGAGGATGCTTGTATTACGGGTTGCCGAATTATCTCAATAAACAATATATAGTCAACATACGTCAAGTCAGACACGCCGATTCCTAACAATTCAAGACACCTGATTTATCGGAAATCTTTCATCTTGCCGTTATACTCCATAAATGAGAAACCATGGAAACAGATACCTGCAATCAGCATCATTCGCATATATTTAAGTTGCCGAACGAAATTATACTCCTAATCGGGGAGTATTTATCTATATCTTCACTAAACTCATTCGTGCAGACGGCCAGATGGGTGAACCGAATTCTTACTCATCATCTTTACACCCTGGCACTCAGCCACATTGGCAAAGACGGCAAGAGTGTCCTGGAGTGGGCAGTTAGAAAGGAGCGGATGGCAACAGCGAAGAGGATCCTACACTGCAGCCCACCTGACTATTTGCGGAAAGCATTATCCTTCGCATCCAGCACAGGCCGTGAAGATGTTGTGCGTTTCCTCCTTGTTTCCAGCGCATATACTTATTCGCAAAAACCACTAGTGGAGAATAACTCACCACTAATGGCGGCATCTGCCGGCGGACATAGTCGCATTGTCCAACTACTACTCGAATCCGGAGAAAACGTCAATACAAGGAATAGCGGTTACTATACCTCGCTGCATTTAGCAGCTCGTGAAGGCCATATGAATGTCGTTCAATTACTTCTGGACTACGGAGCAAAGCTCATCGCTGCTAGTGGAATGAGAACGCCATTAGACGACGCAGTCTTAGGAGGGAACCCCGAAATCGTCCAGCTCTTCCTTGATTTAGGGCCCAATACTAAAGTTCGCGTCTATTCAAGATTTCGTGGTCATACGAGTCGCCAGCGCATGTACATGCCTTTATTTTCTGAACGTTCCTTAAGTGAACTATTACATTTCGCAATCACTTCTAGTCGGCGAGGAAACGTCCAAATAGCTCGACTACTTATAGAACATGGAGCCAATGCTCAGCATGTTAACAGCGATGGAGTCACCCCATTACACAATGCGGCCCAGGCGGCCTGGGAGCCCTCGCGCCAGATGGAAATGGTGCAGCTTCTCATCAAATGTGGAGCAAGCATTCATGCTACAAACTATGATGGAGACACCCCATTACATCGAGCGGCTGGGCAGGGTGCGAGTCGACAGGTTATTCAAGGGCTCATTGCGTGCGGAGCTGATATCAACGCTTCCAACGACCACGGAGAAACGCCATTGCACATGGCAGCTCGCGGAGGGGAGATTGAAGCCGCCAGGGCTCTCATTGACGGTGGAGCTGATATTACTGCTACCAACTCCCAAGGGGAAACCGCTTTCCGCGTGGCGGTCAGTGAGCGGCAAAAAGAAATCATGGAATTGCTCAGTGATTAGTTTATATAATACCGCCAAGCTGTGATAGATGCATAGGCAACCCGCATCCCTGGGCTTTGGCCTTTGGGATCATATTCAGAAGGGGTAGGAGTCGTGATTAAGATAGAACTAAGCCAAGCTTCAGGCTGCCCATGGCGCTGCCTCTTTGCAGATAGATGCCTGGGCCACAACAGTTCTATGCGAATTAGGCGCTGGCGTTATCTAATATTCTCTTTCGGCAGACGGTGCTTGGTTTGCAAGGATTCCACAGTTCTAGGCTTGCGTTCAATTGAATACTTCCTGGCTATCTCAGCCCAATTCAGATTCGGATGGCGGTCCACCCATGTCTAAAGCACCCTTTCCTCATCTGGCGTCCAGGCCTGGTAGTTCCTCTTATCAAGGCCAGTCATTCTTTGTAGGAGGACTAGGGGAGCTGGGCGAACAGTAGCAGGAGAGAGGCGCAGAGGCACAAACAAGGGCAGCAAGTCTAGTGGTATTGCCCAAGGTGCTGAAGGAAAATAATATCACTAGGTTATAGGGAATAAGGGGAGTAGCAAATGGAGGAGATCAAGATGCACTTAAATAGGAGGAATGATTTATTCCTGGTATCAGGCAACCTTCTGTCTCATAAATTCACACCGACTGGCGATGGGGAAGTGCATATTAACCAGGCAATTCTCATCTCCCTCAGGAATGAAAGATAACAATCTGTACTCTTGATGAGTGATCTAAGCTTAGCAACTACGCGACCAGGCAATTCAAATCACTCCGTACATCACATCATCATCCGGTTCAATAACTGCTCAATCCATGTAAACACTTATCACGGCCAGCAGCACGCGGTCCAACAGTAAACCGACCATCTCGGGGGATCAAGAATGCCAGTAAGCGGGTGATTGGACGGGATTTGTCCCATAGACTCGCCTTGACATTCAGGGAGCCTTCAGTGAGGTAAGTTGATTTACTCGCCTGATTGCACCAGAAAATATTATTCTGAGGGAACCTACGCGTATGTCCTGCAAAGGAAAGACTTTCCGCCGTTGGACGAGGGGACGAGGTTAATCTGCACGACTCTGAGACTGGTTAGCGAGGGCCCGGAATATATTAGGTTTCATAAGCAAGAGACATACTCTACATCGAATGTCTTGCACACTCCGTCTTCGACGGAGATTAGAATCCAGTCACTGCCGGCTTCTTCTCGGACTTCCTGTGACCACTGTTTAAGCAGAGGGGGTATACAGCAGGTGGGGTTTTCAAACCATCTCGATGGCAGCGGCCCTAGAGAGCAGAAGCCCGAGAGTCGTGAGAAGGGCAAAGAGCTTCATGATGGTAAGATGCAAAAGTTGTATTTCTAGGAGTTTGGAAATAGATGGGCGGCAGATCGAGCCCAGGGGCAGCGGTCGTATTTGACACACTCGGTTCACTCCAGATTTGCTTTTTTCAGGTTGCGGCTGTGCTCAGCCCTTAGGATCTATTCATTTCATTCGTCATGAACCTGGGAGAACGCGTGGGGTAATGGGTTTTTCGTATTCTGAAATGACCTAATGTGACTTGTTTATATCATAAGACTTGCGTCTTCGTTTCTCTTCCGTTCCTGATGGACGGCGACTTTCAGTCTTCAAGCTAAATACAAGCATGAGGAATCAAGTCCCCGAGCCTGAGCAAGCGCCTCGCTCTCATCTTTTCTAGAAAGAACTCCGCTTGATTTATCAATCCGTGAGATTCTGATAAGCAGTCCGCCTCCATGTTCCCGACGAGCAATTCGGCCGTGGTCACCCTTCCTCCCTTTAACGTCCTCGAGTTGCCGAAGGCAACGACGACAATCAATCCAAGCCCTCCAAATCCCCGTCTCCAGCAATATCTTTCGACGATTACAAGGCGAAGAGTGAGCTCAAAGATGGCGCTGCATCTAGCACTGAGCCCTCTATACTTCTCACTCCGCCCACAAGTCCTCCCCGACGGTATGCCAGAGTTGACGAACGATGGCCGGCCGGCAGGGAACGCAGCCAAACTTGATCCTGCTGCGTTAAAGTCTCTGCTTAGTCTCGATACTGGATGATGTGGGTGTCCCACAAAACAGAAGCAACCTTGTAAGGTGAAACTGCGGAGGAGAAGAAGGCAAAGATCGACAAGATGACCAAGTCAATGCTCGGTTCCATTCCCTCATCTCCGGAGCTCGAGGGCGAGCTAGAAAATCCGGCTGAGCTCGTGCACTGTTGGCACCATGACCATGGACAGTTCATAGAATCTCGTGCCGAGTAATGGATAGCCTTCTTCCTGCCGGAGATCCCGGCAACAAGTCTTCTGTCTCTAAAGCGGCAAATTAGAAAAGCTCTAGACGGATTGACTACCCAGTGTATAGGGAAAACACAGGTAATATTTTTATTTTATAAATAGTTATATAGGACTATTCTCTATCTATAGATATAAGAATATTCCCCTATCCAGGCCTAGGTCAGGTTAGATAAGCTTATCAGCTTCTAGAGGCCCTAAATCACATGCACCCCAATGGGTTATCCATATCCATGTGAATTAGGCAGGTTCAGCCCATATCAACATGGGTTGGATCAGACCTACCTAGATCCAATCCAAAGTGCAGATTGGGTGGGTTGGATATGGATTTGCGGATTGGGTCAGCCAGTCTAAGTGCAAACATGGATTGTAAGTATTCCTCGCAAATGCAAATATATTTGTTTGTTCTAACCCAAAGTCTGGATCAACCCAAGCTCAGTCAGGATGGCAGGGGACAGCTCTGAATATTATATTCCACCATTCACAAGCTACGTTCACCGGCCGGTGCGTATCGATGAGGCACAGGAGGGATCGGGATCGAATATTGGTCTCAATCAGTATCCCAGTGGCCAATATCCTCCCAAGCCATTTATCTAGGCTTGAGTATATTTTACCAACTCACTGAGGTTAATGTAGAGGATTGCTATAACAACCATTTGATAGAATACAAGTCGAAATAGTCAATAACAACCTATATCCGTGTAAATTGCTATGGTCAATGCCATAAACAATGCCATAGCTAGTCCGAGCAGCCAGTGCTCCAACAGAAAGTGTCCGAACAGCCCCATATAGGCCAGCTGGTTTGGTTTTGACAATGACAAAGGCCTTGATAAACCCAGAGCTCAATGAAACGACAAGTAATGCCAATCGAAACGAACAAGGCATGTGTGACATTGATCATGGTAAATAAGGAGGTCATTGTAACTCAGCTAATGAAGTATATCCTATTCCCAAGCGTCACGTACTCAGCATAAACAAGCCAAGAACGCAGAATGATTTTCTAATATCGATCACAAAATCACTTACGGTTGAAAGAAGTTAATACTAGAGCTAAAGTATTAGATTCTTCAAAGCCTTCAGTTAAGGCATGCAGGTACCTCTTAGGCGGGATCCATCCCCCTGGGCTAATGACACAGATGATGCAAGTGGATTGTATTTCATGCTCATTTACAACAGATCTGTTAGGCTCTTGCAGTAGTGAACAGATCAAGAGCAAGAATGATGTAAATGCTAGAGACAATCATTCAACATGAATGTGGTGCGTCCATACGGCAACACCACTGGTTTTGCTCAACCGCAACTCCTATCCCTTCAGGGACGACTGGACCATTACTTTCAGTCCCTGCTCAATTGCATCTTGCGACCTCCAGCCAGACCACGTATGATCAAGCATGCCTGCATATATTAGCATTTTAACCCAGCAACGCTTTGGAAGTCATTCTTACCCCATGTCTCATCCATGTCCTGGTTTCCTTGCCGAATGTAGTAGCTGCCTGCAATAACCCAAGTGATCCAACCGGCGTGCTGCTCGGGGATCCACGTCCTCAGACAGCTGGCATACACATTCTTCCACGTGGTGCTGTCCTGCAGGAAACCAAACTCGGTGAGGACCACCGGCATGGGATTCACAATCGACGGGTCGGATGAGTTCTGGGCCTTGAATCCGGCGTTCCATAGCGCACCGGACAGCGCGCTGCAGCTGGTGGCGCTGGTGTCATAGTTGTGGAGCTCCAGGACCAGCTTGTTCGCAAAGCTAAAGTCGGAGAGACGGAATTTGACCCCGTTGCCGAGATCCGACGCGGTCGGGATGGGCGCGAGCGTGGTATCGTAGTTCAAACCGGACAGGAAGATTAGCGCGTTCGGGTTGGCCGCGTTGACTCTCTTCGCTGCGGTTGTCATCTGTGTGTACCATGTCCCCCAGTTGTACGGGTACTGCGTGTTGCTCGTGGAGGGCTCGCGAAGCTCATTCCGCAGTCCGATGCTGACGAAGTTGGGCCATTTTTTGGCCTAGCGGGTCAGTATCTTCTGAATCGGGTCGTCATAGAAGAGGTACCTACATGAGAAACCATATACTCGAGTCCTCTCATCCACTTGGCAACGTCGAAGTAGGTATCCCCAAACCAGGCGTTACCATCCGTGTGTGAGCAACACCACATCGCCTTCGAGATGTGATTATCCAAATGAACATAGAGTCCTTGTTTGTTGCACTCCGCAGCTACCATATCAAAAACTTGTAGACGAGTGGTCGTGGTCTTGATCTGCGGGTTCACCTTGCGGATCTGATTGAATACCTTTGTCCCGTTCGTCGATCCCAGCGCGTTGATCAGCGATTTCTGGACAGTGACATCTCCGCCATTGTCCAAAATATCATCGATCAGCTCAATGGGAAAAGTCAAACGAATAACATTCATTCCCAGGTTCTTGAGCTTGGAGACTGTGGATGCGATGGAAGCGTATTGCATCCCCTCAGGGATCATGGCCTCGCCCGCACCGGGCCAATTGGCCCCCGCGTAGGTGAAGACTTCACCCTTGGAGTCATGGATCCATCGGCCAGAGGCGGTGAAAGGGGCATGCAACGCCGTGCAGGCGAGGGATTGTAAAAGGACAAGAGAAGAGACGATGTTCAACTTCATGGTGAGATGCTGTTGCTCTCCAAAGAGACGGTTAATGCCTGGAGACAAGTGCCTCCCTCCATCTGCCCTTTTATACTTGCATAAATTAGGTATTTGAGTATACCCTGCCATTTTCTCCGCACTCGGGATATTGCTTGACGAAGAGGGCCCACTTTCTGCAAGACTATGGGGAAGCGGGGAATCTAGCATGCGTGCAAACTATGAGCATGATGATCTTCCATGTTTCCGTTCAAGTGACCGTCTATATCCGTCCGGCTCCCCCGAGGACCGCACGGTACGATATGATATGCGTGTGACGTTCTTCACACTTTGTGGCTCCCCTTTCCGCAGAATTGCCTTTTGGGGTCATCCGATCAGCTCACTCTTTTGCCAACGGATCTACACCACTTGTACCTTTCCTCAAAATCTACGGCTATTGACCCAAAGTGCGGCAAGAACCGAAGCAAGGCTTTCTTCCTGCAAGGGGAGGCAGTGGTCGATGGATCATTGGATTTTATCCGACAGCAGCATGCGACAGGTCTGGCTGTCTAGGTCTACCTTATGACAATGGAGCATTGGTCACATACTTCAACACTCTCTAATGATTGTAAGAAAGCCGGAGCAACCAGTGCACTTCCAAGCCAAGAATCTATCCTTAGTACTAAAAGAACTCAGACGATCTAACATGTCTCGGCAAAAACAGGCTGCAGAGTAAAACCAAACTTCCTTTCCTCACATTTAACCCTGTACTTGTCAAGGGTACGAGGACCACAAGCTCCCGTCCCAACACCGCAGCTCTCCACATCCAGTCTCAACCTGACCCGTTTCTCGGGAACAAGTTCAGGCGCATGCTTGGCCGACTCGATAGCCTGGGGACTGTACCGCGTAGCAAGCCACTGGAACAATTCAGTCGGCTGCTTGTCACTCTCCTCCTTGATGCGAGTCACTCGGAGACCCCATCCTCTGCTATCGTACACACGTAACCACCGGGTTTCCATCCGGTTGCCGCCTTCCTGGGGTACTTCGTAGGGGGTATGAAGTTCGGCAGTCGTAGCGTTGTAAATGCCCACCTTTTGCGCGCGCTTCTTGTCTGCGTAGGCTTCGCCGGGTCCTAGCCCGAACCACGAGGCATTGTCTAGCTCATCTGCGAGAAGGACGTCCAGGCCGAGCCGGGGCAGGTCCGCTGGGATGGGACCGTGGGGCTTCAGGTGCACGTTGACGGTTAGGGCGCCATTACCGGAGATGGTGTAGCTGGTCGAGGCGAAGAATCCCCAGCCCAGAATTGGCGCGGAGATGTATGTCTCTGTGGTGACTTCTACGCTCGTGGGGGCATGTTGCACGACGTGCATCTTGCGGAGCTGAGAGGTGAGCGTGTCGAGTCCGAAGCGCCGCCATTCAAGGAGGTCATGGGACATGTCGTTGTCGGTTGGCGGACGCCAGAATCCAGGAGATATGGCACCGGTTGTTGAGGACCGGTCAAGGAGGGAAAGGCCGTCGGATGTCCAGGCGTAGAGACTGCCGGTTTCTCTTGAGAATTCCAGGTTGAATGTGGCGCCGGCGATCTTGTGTGTCGTCTTCGTGGACGAGAGCTTCAAAGACTGAGCGGGTACAGGCAATGAGGGAGATAGAGAAGACGACTTGAGGCACTGCTGGTACCAAGCGACTTCATAGTTGCTCGCGGCCCATGCCGTCTCTGCCTTTTCATGGAAGCTGACGGTGAGCCAGATCTCCCCGACGGTCGTTGTAGCAGGCGCAGATGGCAGCTTGATAGTTCCTTTCTGGCCGGCAGGAATAGACGGAAGTTCTATATTGCCTGTTGAAATAATGCGCCCGCTACAATGTGTCAGTGCAAGGTTGTTTAATGGATAGAGAGAGACATACCTATCTCCGAAGACCTCGACCTTATAAGATGCCTGGAGACCTTCCAATCCAATAAAATTGTAATCGTTGGCCACGACCAAAGTCCCGTCCTCACCAGGCCACACCCGAACCGGCGCATAGGCCTTCTTGAGTTCAGTGATACCAGGTGTCGGGGTGTGGTCGCTGAATAGCAGTCCGTCCAGCACAAAGTTGCCATCGTGGGGCGTATCTCCAAAGTCGCCGCCATAGCCATACCATCCCTTTTCCTCATCCCAGAGCCCGTGGTTTGCCCACTCCCAGATCCATCCTCCTTGTAGGCGCCGGTGGGTCCGGAAGGCTTCCATATACTCTTCCAAACCACCAGGTGCATTCCCCATCGCGTGGGCATACTCGCAAAGCACAATTGGCTTTTTAAACTCATCTCCCTCGGCAGTGGCAAAACCAACGAGTCGATCGACCGACGGATACATGTAGGAGTACATGTCGACCGTCTTGGCCTCCATGTCTCCTTCATAGTGCACCGGACGACTGGGGTCAACCTGCTTGACGTAATCGTACATGGCTTGGTGGTTAGCGCCGTAGAACGCCTCATTACCGAGCGACCAGATGATAATACAGGAATGGTTCTTATCGCGCTGCACCATTTGCACCATCCGGTCTACATACGCATCTTTCCACTCGGGGTTGTTCGTGGTGAACTGCGCCGCCTTGTCGAACGTGAGCTTCTTGCGCTCCTCGTAGTCCATAGACTCGGGGATATCCAGGGGACGGGCGATGGCATCGTAGAAGCCGTGGCATTCCAGGTCTGCCTCATCCATTACCCATAGGCCGAGCTCGTCGCAGAGTTCGTACAGACGGGGATGGGACGGGTAATGTGAGCAACGGAGGGCGTTGACGTTATGCCGCTTCATGATCAAGAGGTCCTCGCGCAGGAACGAGAGCGGAACTGCTCGGCCGAAGCGTGGATGGTGGTCGTGCCGGTTGACGCCGCGGAACATCACTGGTACGCCGTTCACAGTGATGTTGCCGTTCTTGATCTCAACCTGACGGAACCCGACACGGTGGTTGATCGTCTGAACGGGGGCCTTGGCACCGTCTACGTGGAGAGCGATGCACAGATCGTAGAGGTGCGGTGTCTCTGCTGTCCATTTCCTCGGGTTGGAGACGGAAAGCTGAGCTTCAAGTTTGTCTTGCTTTGCCTGAAGAATATACTTCTCCAACTGCAGCGCACTGCCCGTGGACGGATCGCTCAAAGTCACTTCCACGACGGCTGCGGTGGCGAGAGCCAGATCCAAAGACAAGCGCAATGTTGCATCAACGTAATCCTTGTCCAATTCGGTGCGCACGAAGAAATCTTCAATGCGCGCCTGACCAGGGAATGCGAGTAGGGTCACATCGCGAAAGATGCCCGACAACCACCATTGGTCCTGGTCCTCAATATACGAGCCATCGCACCACTGATAGACTCTGACGAACAATTCATTGGCGCCATCGCGGTCGACAACTTGCGACACATCGAATTCAGCCGGGTTACGGCTTCCTTGAGCGTACCCAATCGGGACACCATTGACCCAAACATGATACGCGCTGTCAACGCCGTCAAACCTCAGCCGCAATTGGGACGAAGCCTCCCACGCCGCAGGTACGTGAAAGGTCCGACGATAGGTGCCGGTAGGATTCTCCGTCGGCACAAATGGCGGACAGACAGGAAAAGGGTAAATGACGTTGGTGTAGTGCGGACGACCATAACCTTGCAATTGCCAATGGCCAGGGACGGTGATGGGAGCCCAAGATGTCTCGGAGTCTGCGCCGTCAGAGCTAGATTGGTTTAAATCCCGGCGGGGTTCGGACGTGGCGTTCTTGGTGCTTTTGGACCATGTTGGCTCGGGGGCGCTTACGGGAGAGGTTGCATAGTTGAAGTCCCAGCGACCATTGAGCGAGATAGACGTCTCGGGAAGGAAATATGCTCTTGGGCTGAGCCGATTGCGCTGGAATATGTGCTGGTTTTCGTAGTCGGGGACTGCAGACAGTGTCATGATGAGGGATAGTGAAACCGAGGATAGAGTAGGATAGTAGCAGAGAGAATTTCTCCTCAATCGGGTCTAAATAAGCCACGGAACGGGATCTAAAGAAGAAAAAGGAATTGCTTGAACGAAAACAAGAAGTAGGCCATCTTCTCCTCCTAAATAGGCGGATTCGTGGAATAACAGGTGGACTGGAAGAAAAGCTGTGCTCGAGGGCATTCATCTGCATCCAAACCGCAACGAATGCCCCTCTTCGGTCCACGTTCCGATCATGATTGATCCATATTCCTAATGCAGAGATATGTTTCGCTGTTAGGGAGCGGGGAAATCCACGCCTTCGTTCGTCTGTTTCGTCTGTTCGTGGTTCTTCTGCTTGGCGCACTCCGCCGGGGATGTCGGATGGAAGAGGAGAAATCCCCACATTGACTGATCAGGGGACGGTTAACCTTAGATTAGAGTATAATACAAAGTGCGGATAATGCCATGGTCCATCGCCCACATGCAATAACATCAAAGAGTTTGTTAAGTCCTTCCGATAGCCCCAGTAGACTACCAGTAACAGTACGCACTGACTCTGGAGTATATATCCATACGAGGCCATCGCACGATTCGCACGGGGATGTCGGAACCGAGGGACTACAAATGATCGTCTGGAAGAAATTGCCTCGAGCCCAGGCGGTCCATCTTCCCCGTATTTCCCCAGATTGCCCTTCTGGTCATGGGCCATGCACGACCGTCCAGGATATAACCTCTGCAGTCGCTGCACCTGAGGCTTGATACCGCTTATTAACGAGGCTCCTGTTCCTCTCTGTCGCTGAATCCCTTGTTTTCTTAAGGTGACTTTCCCTCAAGGTGCCTTTCTCCCAGTATGGCAGTCGACGAAAAGACCGACGCCCAGTTCCACGAGATGGTCCCCACGCGCGATGGAGATGTGGGCGACGCCATTGAACTGGCCCAGCAAGCCGCTTCGGCCAAGTACAACCCATGGACCCCGAGTATGTTCCGGCTGTACGGCTGTTTGACCATCGCGTATCTCTGTGGTTGTCTCAATGGCTACGATGGATCGCTCATGGGCAGTTTGAACGCAATGCAAAGCTATCTGGACTACTTTCACATGTAAGTTCGACCATGTAAATTTAAAAAGGAAGTCAGAGCTGACGTCTCCAGGAAATCCGCCGGTTCGAGTACAGGTCTCGTCTTCGCCCTCTACAATATCGGTTCTATTCCTGCGGTGGTCCTATCGGGTCCTGTCAATGACTATCTGGGCCGCCGCGCGGGCATGTTTACCGGCGCTCTCATCATCATCATTGGCACGTGCATCCAAGCGCCTTCGATCAACCACGGCATGTTCATGGCCGGTCGATTCATCCTCGGTTTCGGCGTCAGCTTCTGCTGTGTCAGCGCACCTTGCTACGTCAGCGAAATGGCGCATCCGGCCTGGAGAGGTACCCTGACTGGTCTATACAACTGTACCTGGTATATCGGGTCGATTGTCGCGAGTTGGGTGTCTTACGGCTGCGCCAACATCGAGAGCCATGTTGGGTTCCGCATCCCCATCTGGTGCCAGCTTATTTCGTCGGTGATTGTTGCTGTCGGAGTCTGGTTTCTACCGGAATCACCACGGTGGCTTATGGCGCAGGACCGCGTTGAAGATGCCGTCAACGTGCTGGCCAGATACCACGGAGAAGGCGACCGTAGCCATCCCATGGTGACGCTTCAGATCAAGGAGATGCGGCAACAGATCATGACCGACGGCTCGGACAAGAAATGGTGGGAGTACCGGGAGCTGTTCAACACGCACTCTGCCCGTCGGCGGCTGATCTGTGTCGTTGGTATGGCCTGCTTTGGACAGCTGTCTGGTAACTCTGTCACTTCGTACTATCTGCCCAACATGGTGGCCAACGCCGGAATCACCGATGAAAAGACCAAGCTGATGCTCAACGGCATCTACCCGGCCATTTGCCTAGTAGCAGCCGTCACTGGCGCCCGGTTGACCGACAAGATTGGCCGTCGTCCCTTGATGATCTACTCGCTGCTTTTCTGCTCGGTGGCCTTTGCCATCATTACTGGAACCTCGAAGATGGCGACAGACAATCCGGATAACAGCAATGCGGCCAACACGGCGATCGCATTCATCTACCTGTTCGGCATCGTCTTCTCCTTTGGCTGGACACCGTTGCAGAGCATGTACATTGCCGAGACCCTCACGACGACCACTCGGGCCAAGGGTACTGCTTTTGGCAATCTCATGTCCAGCATTAGCAGCACCATTATTCAATATGCGTCCGGCCCGGCCTTTGACAAGATCCACTACTACTTCTACCTGGTGTTTGTGGGCTGGGATCTGGTCGAGGCGGTAGTCATCTGGTTCTACTTCCCTGAAACCAAGGAACGAACTCTGGAGGAACTGGCCGAGGTGTTTGAGGCCCCTAATCCGGTCAAGAAGAGTTTGCAGAAGAGAGATATCCACTCTGTCTTGAACACTCTGGAGGTTCAGGGTGATACCAAAGCGTAGTCTATTCTCATTTTAGTAGTTAATGGTTTCAGTAGCTGAATATATCCAAGCCAAATGAACGTATGATTGAATCAGAGAACTTTTGCAACTACAAATCAACCTCGGCATAGATCACTTTCCTATCTCCTGTTGCCAATGCCCCTGATCTGGCCATTCTGGGGAAAGCTCTCCAGCCCGTGATTGGCCAAGACAGAATGCGAGGAATGCGGGGAAGAGATCTTCGTCTTCATTCTTCATTTCGGGTCAATTCGACCGCGCTGATTCCTCCTGCACTCTGTCTCTCTAGATTGTTTCTGCTTTATCATTTGGGCTTTTCTCTTAGGTAATAATATATCATGTCGCTAGAGGAGACGCCCGATTATCGTAAGCGCAAGAGAACTTCCCACGCGGTTTGCCTCCTTCTCTTCTAATTGGGTTGACCCCTGCTGATCGGCAGACAGTGTGACCCCTGTCGATACAGAAAAGTGAGGTATGTCTCCTCTGTATCAATTATCAATTAGGAGTACACTGAGTAGGTAGATGCGATGGTCGTCAGCCATGCACGACATGCGCCAACACAGGCGAGGAATGTGTGTACGGCACCGAGGCAGTCCCGTTAGTATTCCCATGCATTGAGTGCGCATTGACTGACCCATTACAGCAAGAACAAAAGCGATTTGATTCTCGAGGTGACCGTTCGCTCCGAGCGACTGCTTCGGGATATGTCCGCTCAATTGGTAGCGCCTCCCTGACGTGGCTGCATACCTTCCGCTGACCCCGTCTAGGCCAGGGTGTCAGGGATGCTGGACGGTAGAGCGTCATCGCAATATCATACATCTCCAACGGCCATAATCTCTCCATCGACAATCAATGGGGCCCATCGTGCCGACAGCCCTGGTGACCACATCTCCAATGCTACCCTGTCAGCCTTTCATGCGTCCACCACTGAGTCCATCCTCGCGTGGCCGCACTTCAACGACTTTCAGTCCCTACGGGAAGATCACAGTTTCTCCGTTTTTCACCTGGAGTCCAGTCGTGCGCCTCTTGCGCCCCGTCCCACAACGGTGCACCCCTACGCCAGCCGCAGCGAAATCGACCGCGTGGTGCATAGTTTCCTGCGCAATGTCAACTTTTGGTATCCGACCATGTCAGTAGCCCAGGCGGCCGAGGTCCAGGTGCACATAGCCGCGGGCGTGTTTGGGGACAGCGTCAAATCCTGTCTGGCTCTATTGCTCATGGCACTGGGCTGCGCGAGTGAACTCATCTGCTCGTACGCGGAACATGAAGATCCAAACTCGGAAGAGCTAGAGCTGCGCAGTCATCGGCGAGCCATGGGCGAGATCTATTTCGATTGTGCGTTCAAAAAGATCTATCTGGCACAGGCCGAGTGCACTGTCGATGCAGTGCAGTCTTTATTCTTTACAGCGTATATCCCCCCACTGCGAAGTTGATACCTTCTAACCATTCCAGTATCTTCTTTGCATTTCTTCAACGTCCTCTACAAGCGTGGTCGTTCATCAACGCCACTGCCGCCAAATGCCGTCTCCTCTTAGCATACCATAACCCCGACGCCAACCCGGCCGAGCAAGAATGTCTCCGTCGGATCTTCTGGTCCTGCTACATCCTAGAAAGGTATGACCTCCCTTACTGTTAGACAATTCAGCATCCTCTAACGAGACAGTGACTACCTCGCCGAACTCTCCGCCCTCCCCCAAACCGGCATCGCCGACATCGAGTCCTCCATCCCCCTCCCAGGCGAATACCAAACGCACCTCTCGCAAACCGACGAAGAACAATCCTCCCTCTACTTCCTCGCCTGCATCTCCATGCGCCGGCTGCTCAACCGCGTTCACAACATGCTCTACGCGCGCGACACCGGCGTCGCCTTCGACAACCACCAGTTCCCCTCCGTCGTCGCCGAACTCGCCCACCAGCTCGAGGAATGGAAGGATCTCCTCCCGCCTCCCTTCCAATTCACCGTCGACCTCCGTGCCCTGCCCTGCACCGCCGCATCATTCCTCCGCCAGCGCTACCTCACCTGCAAGAGCGTCATCTACCGCCCGTACCTCACCTGGGCGCTCTCCATGACCGCCACCGCGACGGTGGAGCATTTCCCACCGCAGCTTTTTGAAGGGTGCAAGATCTGTCTTGAAGCGTGCTGGCTGCATGCGCAGAATTTAGGGAGTTATCCGCATACGGTGCTGGTGGATACGTGGATCTGTTCGCTGTCGTATGTATACCTGCCCTGGACCTTGGACTTGGATCGTGCTAATGATGGTGTAGAATGGCGAGCGTGATGCTGATTACGCTGGCGGCGTCGCGGCTGACGGCGCTACGGGGCTGCTTATCGCCGCAGGTGGCGGAGATGGGACCCCATCTGGCGAAGCTGCTGGCGCAGTGGATGCATATCCCGGGACATGGGGTGTCGCCGAGTGTGCTGCAGAGTGTGAAGCTTATTGGGGATGCGGGGGTGTTGTTGAGGATGAGATTGGGATGACTGCAGTGGAATGTTATAGGCGATATATGATACAGCATAACTACAATTAGACAAGAGACTATTTAGTGCTTCTCCTCCACGGGATGCTTATCCAAACTCTCATACCACTGTATCACAGACCCCAACAGGAACGCCCAGGACCCCCAGAACGTCGCCAATGTGCTCTGATACTCGACCCCCGAGTTGGCCGTCGCTGGCCCCAGCGCTCCACACAGAGTAAATCCAATCCCCCCGATGAAATTCCAGAACCCGACATGCCAGCCAAGGATGTGAATGGCAGGGATATACCATTTCGGCTGTGTCTCTATCGCAAAGAGAAACCCGCTGAGTATAAAGCAAGAACCGCCAACGATCTGCGGGACCCAGAACACGCCGTTGGTGACTGCCTGGCTCATATGGTTCATGATGCCAGGAAGGCCGGTAAAGCCTGCGATCCAGAAGATGGTAGCTCCGACGAGCTGCACAAACGAAGCCCAGAATCCGATCTCGTGGAGATAATGAGTGCGGAGTTCCGTCAGCGTGGGAAGCCATTCGAACGATCGCTTTCGAGCAATTGCCGTCTGTCTGTGCGAGTCCTGTCTGGCCTCGGAGGGCGTCAGAAACGAGTGGCGGTTTGCATGATGATGCAGACACGAGTCCATGTCGGACTTGATTCGTACGACGGCCTGTTCGACTTCATCTTCTGCTTCCTTGGAGGCCGTCTCGACTGCCCAGCCGAAGCAGCCCGTCTGGTTCTCGTTGACTGCTTCCAGAACCAGCAGGACGCTGCCGATTTCGAAGACGGTCGCACCGATAAAGGCCGTGACGCCGCCGCCGGTAAGGACTTCATTCGCAAATTCGGTGGACGGGTCCTCCAACGGCAGCCAGACGAAAAAGGCGTTGATAACCCAGATGACCGACCCGACCGTAAATACAAAAGCCACCCAGAAAGAAATGTCCCAGTAGGGGAATGTCGTGAACATGCGAAGAATTCCTTTGATGATAGCTATCCGGTGCATTGTTTTCCGGGGGTAATTCTTGCCTGCGACTCCTGGCGGTCGCTGGTGGATGGTGAGCGCATGTCGTCCTTTACGATTATCACGGGATCTCCAGAGTCTTTCGATGCGAGGCTTTGGGACGGTTTCTCGGTCAAGACTTGGATGCGTCGACAGTGGAAAATGCGCCCGTGTTGGATTGAAAAAGGCCAGAGGACCGGAGATGTGGGGTGATCCCAGTGGCACTCGTTGGTCTTGTAGGGGCTGTCGACCCGCGTGAAAGGCCTGCGACCGGGGCATTTTCTTTTTTATCGAAAGTTACAAGATTATTGAAGAGTATCATACATTTTGTTTGCGCCTTTTGTTGCGTGTTGATGATATTGGATGATGGGTCGATGGATGAGCTGGGATCCGATATATGGCGAGATCAAGTTGCCGCCCCAAACTGCCGCTGCTTTTTAAATATCAGACCATCCATGATCTCATTGGGCTTGGACAAAGTTCCTAACAACCTTAGTCGCTGCTAGGTTAGGTTCATTCCACTGTTCTCAAGTATCACAGCTTCTAGCTCTGGCATTATGATGGCGCTGTCAGAATCTTGGAAATGCGGGCGCTGATCCTGGCAGCTGTCAAGCTTTTTGTCTCCATGACCCACTGCTTAGTATCGTCTAATAAAATGATAAGCATGCGGTCAACAGACGAGAATACGAAGGAGAATCCAATGTTACATTCATGTTACATTCGCTTGTGTATATTGACTTTGGCTATTTTCACTTGGGGATGATTCAGGGGATAACCAACGTATATATCGACAGAATGAGGGGAAGACGTAGTATATATATAACACTGCATGGCTTCAATCTAAACATCAACCACAACAGTCTCTGCCATGCGCCTATCCTACCCTTTTGTCCTTGTCATATTTGGCACCATTGCCAGCCATGCATTCCATCACCAATCCAGCCAGGATACTCTCCGTTTTGGCTCCCCCGAATCCGTAGGCCTTCTGTCAGCCCCCCTCCGCCAACTGGTAACCAACATCACCGGTTATCAACAACCAGCCAACTATGGAGCATTCACGCACAATGAGATACATCCAATCCAGCCATCGTCTGCAGTGATCGTGGGTCATGATCGCACCATTGTCTCACTTTTCGCCAGCGGAAAGATGTTGCTGTATGCCGACGCCAATGGCACTGAATTGCCTGCATCGCAGCAACTGCCTGCGAGGACAGACACCATCTATGATATGGCCAGTCTGACCAAACTATTTACCACCGTTGCGGCCCTACGAGAGATGGATGCTGGTCGACTCTCCTTGAACAGAACGGTGACGTCCTACATACCATCCTTTGCAGCAAATGGGAAAGAGAACATTACCATCCTGATGCTTCTGACGCATACTTCGGGCTTTGCTCCAGATCCAGAGCCTCCATTGTATGACCCCGTGTATAAAACGGTCAAAGAGAGGAATGCTGCAATACTGAACCAGTCTCTGCGCAACCCCCCCGGCTCTACCTACCTCTACTCAGATCTCAACTTCATGTCTCTCGGTCTACTTTTGGAGCACATCACCCACAAAAAACTGGATGAATTGATTCGAGACTTCACCAATCCCCTCGGCATGCATGACACCTTCTTCAACCGGGGCAACATTGAAGGCCCAGCGTTCCCCTTCTACCCCCGCATGGCAGCCGAGGAATACCAGATCGAGGTCCTGGGGCCAATGGAGCCGCAGCGCCCACAGCCAGTTCGCGGGACCGTCCACGACGAAAATGCTTGGGCTCTCGACGGCGTGTCCGGACATGCAGGCCTGTTCTCAACAGTCGAGGATACGGCAATCTTTTGTCAGATGATTCTAAACAACGGCACGTACGGAGGTCATCGTATACTGTCGCCCGAGGTCGTAGATCTCATCTTCCATAATTTGAACGCGCGATTCCCCGGCGATGAGCACGGATTAGGATTCGAGCTGAATCAGTACTACACCGCGGGGCCAATGGCCAGTCTTCAGACGGCCAGCCATACCGGCTTCACGGGGACCACGCTGGTGATTGACAGGCCGTCAAACACGTTCTTCCTTCTTTTCGCCAATCGTGTTCACCCCAATCGTAGCTGGTCTTCGAATAATATCGCCAGAGAAGCTTTGGGCTACTGGGTGGCCAAGTCGTTGGGAAGAGATGTCCCTTTTCCCACCCTTTGAATGGCCCTGAATGGTGTATTTTTGAACAGAGAGCATGCTCAGAATCGAAAGTCTCGCATCAATGAATCCCATTCTGTATCAAATAATAACTGCAAGTAGACTATCATCTGTAGATTCCTGCTTGGTCGAGTTAAGCACCCTCGAACACAGTGGAAGGATCCTGGCGGATATTGGGCGGAAATCCAGCGGAAAAACGGATAAGCACAGCCCAGCTTTCAGCCAAGAAAGTTTACCTCATCCAAGGGCATGCCATTAGATGATACACATGCAAGCCAAGACCATCCAAAGCTAATACAACCGAAATAACCATTCGCGTGGATGAACCCCGCATTCAGCAAACTGCCGTCCCCAGGATTCAACCCCAGATCTTCATGCTTGGCTGCTTGGCAAGAAGCCAGCGGGGACGGTCCTGAATGCGGGGGATGAGGCAATGAGCTTCTGGCGTGGAGAAAAGTCCGGAAACAGGCCGTAGCTTAGTAGATATGACCAGGTCCAAGCGGATATATAGTTCTCGTTGACCTGGCCGGTTGATCATCTTGATAGACGCCAGGATCAAGAAGGTCTCCTGAATCATACTGAAGTAGAAATGGCGGTCTTTGACATTGCAGACGAGAAACACTTGGAGGACCATGTGGAGACTGTGTCAAACATTGTCACGATCGACAACATCCGGGTCCTTGGGTTGAGTGCCGACGATGCCGAGTTCTATACCAACTTTCCTGTGGACAGGCGGAAGAAGCTTCTGCGCAAGGTATTGCTCTCTAACCCTCATTACTGCTCATTGCTCATCAATTGACGTACAGGTCGATATCCGACTAGTTCCGATGCTGGCGGTCCTCTACCTCATCTCCCATCTCGACCGTGCAAATATTGGAAATGCGAAGATCGAAGGACTTGTCAAAGACCTTGGACTGACCGGTATCCAATGGAATATTGTTCTGAGCATCTTCTTCGTTCCATATGTGCTTCTTGGTGAGTATGACCAGTCAATATGGCAGTACAAAGTTAACTCCGACAGAGGTTCCTAGCAATATGCTCCTGAAGAACTTCTCCAGACCGTCTATTTATCTTGGTATCCTGATCACCTGCTGGGGTATTATCATGACCCTTACTGGAGTGGTCCAGAACTTTGCTGGCTTGATGGTCACTCGTGTTCTCCTTGGTGTATTCGAGTATGTGCCACTCCCGGCGAGATAGACAATTCTGACCTCCTCAGGGCCGGGTTCTTCCCTGGAGCAGTCTATCTATGCACGTTTTGGTACATGCCCAAAGACCTTTCTACCCGTATCGCTGTTTTTTACTGTGCCAGTGCGCTGTCCGGTGCTTTCTCTGGCCTCTTGGCAGCCGGTATTGCGCAGATGGACGGCGTGGGAGGCCAGGAAGGCTGGCGGTGGATCTTCCTGCTCGAGGGAATTGTCACTGTCATCCTGGGCGTGATGTGCTTCTTCCTTTTGATCGACTCACCAAGACGATCTGGGAGATGGCTTGATCCCGAGGAGATTCGGTACTTGGAGCTGCAGCATTTCATCAAAGAGGGTGGCCACTTCAAGGACGAGAGGAAGAGAGCCTCGTGGAGCGATATCAAGGCCGTGCTGTTAAACTGGAGAATGTATATGCTGGCGTACATCCTGCTCTGCCAGTCCGCCTGCTCATACGGTCAGTCCCGATCATTCTCACTGCTCCGTCCTCCCGGCTAACTTGTACAGGAACCAAATTCACCCTGCCCACCATCACCAAAGGAATGGGCTTCACAAACACCAACGCCCAACTCATGACCGTCCCGCCATACGTCGCAGGTGCTCTCTCCGCCATCTTCTTCTCCAAACTCTCCGACCGCTTCTACTGGCGGATGCCCTTCGTCGCCATCCCTCTGACCCTGGTAACCGTCGCCTACTCAATCATCATCTCCCTCCACGGCCAGCTAAGAGAGAACATCGGCCCGGCCTTCTTCGCAGTTATCCTCACCTGCATGGGTATCTACCCCATCCACCCGGCGACCACGTCCTGGACAGCCAATAACCTCGCATCCTCCAGCAGCAGAGCCATCGGTCTGGCATTCAACATCTGCATTGGGAATATTGGCGGGATCATCGGCAGCTACATGTATATCGATAGTGAGAGTCCGAAGTACTACACGGGGTTTGGTCTATCATTGGCATTTGGTGGATCAGGTCTCCTCGTGGCGCTTCTGCTGGAGCTGTCGTATATCTATGGGAACAAGAAGAAGGCCAGGGTTACTGAGGCGGAGATTAGGGAGCGGTATACCGACGATCAGTTGCTGGCTATGGGCAACAAGTCGCCTCTTTTCAAGTATACGTTGTAACACTGGGTCTTAGAGGACTGCTATCTTATGTTGGCCATTGTGTGAGCTTTGTCTAGTAGTTCATATGCAAATCATTTTTCCTATTTTTGATTCCGCGCCGGTAATATGACGGTGTATTCCAACACAGATGAGATCGACTGTCATAGACTGGACTGTTCCCTCAACATTCATCCGCAGATCTTTCAGCGACAGTTGCAGCCTCCGACTTCTCCGGCCTCAGCCCTGTCCTTGTTTCCACATGCTCCTTGTTCAACCGGGTCTTCAAAATAAACACACCCGCGACAATCCCCAAAGCGGACATGCACGTATACAGGATCCACATGTTCCTCAAGCTCCAGGCGAACGCCTCTTTGACAGCAAGCAGCTGAGTGGCATTCTGAATGGTCTTGATGACTTCGATATTCGCAGCCGCAGAGTCTCCGGACATCTGCTCTGCCAATGTTTCGGACATTCCAGCGGCAAGCAACGTTGATTTCATCCGGCTCATAGAGTTCTGGAACACCACGCCACCGATGACGATGGACGAGGATGTTGCCAGATTACGAATAAAGCCGAGGGTAGCTGTTGCAGTGGCAGTTTCGTCCTGGGAGACCATTGCCTGGATCGCGATGATTGGGGGTTCAAACAGGAATCCTGCTCCGATGCCGCTGAGGATCTGGTATCCGATTATTTGGCCTAAGGATGAGTATGCATTCAGATGAATGTACAGTCCGTTGCCAATCGTCAATAATGTCATTCCTAGCCAGATCAGTTCGCGATAGCGGCCGGTGCGATGGATAATGGCTCCGGTGATGATGCCGGCGAAAGCTTCGGAGAGAACCAGGGGCAGAACGAGGACACCAGAGCGCATGGGCGAGGCTTCTTTCACGGACTGCAAGTATAGTGGCATGTAGTATTCGCCAGCGATGAAAACCTACTCCTCGTAAGCTCAGCTTCACAACAGGTGGGAAATACATACGAAACCATGGGCAAAAGCGACTGCCAGTGTCGCAATATTGGAGGCCTGGGCAAAGAGGCTCATCGGCATCAGTGGGTACTTTGCCAGCCGCTTTTCGCTGTAGATGAACAGCAACGAACAGAGCGATCCGAAAACGATCAGGCAAATGACCTTGGGCGAATCCCAAGGGAAGGTTTCACCACCAAAGTCCAAGCCGAGGAGGAGCATCAGCGTCAGGCCGAGGATTGAGAGACTCCCGAACCAATCAATAGCCTTCACTCCATCCATCATCTTTGTCTTGGGATTGTGCACGTCGAGAAATAGCAAGAGGAGGACAAAGGCAAGTCCGCAGACCGGAAGATTCACCCAGTAACTCCATCTCCAGGAGACATATTGGGAAAATGCACCACCAAGAAGGGGACCGATTCCTCCGGCCAGCGCCCACATGAACTCCATCAAGCCGAGATAGAGACTCCGGTGTCTGCAAGGTCAGAAATGGGTCCCTGGCTGAAGATATGCATACATACCTAACACTGAACAAATCTGAAATGACAATCGTGACCAGTTGAAGCAGGCCACCTCCGGCCACACCTTGCAGTGCCCGTCCCGCGATTAACATGGGCATATCCACCGCCGTAGCACAAATGATCGAACTACCAAAGAACCAAGCCACGGCCAAGAGTAAGATGGGCTTGCGTCCCCAGATATCCGAGAGCTTGGCCCAGATGCAAGCACCAGCGGCATTGGCCAGAAGGTAAGCACCGCCAATCCAAGTATATCCCGCGGCCGAGTGCAGCTTGGCTGCAATAGTTGGAATCGCCGTGGCCATGATCGTCTGGTCGAGAGCAGCGACAAACATCGATAGCTGCAGTTTAGTTAGCTTGGTGTAAGTCAAATTGTGTGCCTTGTCCTGACCGAAAGAGCCACCATGATGGCAAAGACCTTGAGGTTGCTCCGGTGCGGCATTGCCGTAGAGTCCATCATCTCCATTACCTCCATACTGCCTTTACCTTGACTCTTATGCTGGACAGTCCTATGTTGATCAAAATCCAGGTCGCCGTGTTTGTCGATATGTAGATCGCCTGGCACGCGAGAGTCTGAGTCAAAGACCTGAAATCTTAACTATCGGGTTTCCTTTTAGTGCATCACTAATCCTATAATACTCTAGCACAATTTACCTAAGTACTGGATACGGTAAATCAGCCATTATCATTTGTTGGTTACCGGCTATGGTGGAGATATTACCCCACTTGATGAGGAAAAAAAGAAAGCAAAAGCGATTCGAGCTAATTTTCTTATGCCCAACAATCTCTCATTTTTGTATTGGTCCACGGCCATCTCCGATACAACATAACCGAATAGCTCAACTCCTACCGAACATGACCATACCAGCAAGATTAATGCTCTGCACCATCGGCAACATGGCCAGCCCGGAAATCACGGCTTCGTCCTTGACCAGTTGATCGAGACCAGCGTCTACTTCAAATGTGCCCACTTGCTCATTGGAAAACGCTTTGTTCCGGAAGCGAACCAGCACCCGTCTCTCCGACTTATTTTCTGTCTCGTTGACGAGTCGATAGTCACCCAGGTTACCCGTCGGGTCGGCTTCCCATGTCAGGATGGGCGATGACGGTGGCGAGGACGAGGAGTTCATGGTATTTGCGGCAGACATTGCTGGAGAGGTGAATGAATAGCTCGTGGAAAGCATGCTTTTCCAGCTGAGCAGGACATCCCGGTGCTCGCGGATCTGAAGCTGGACATTGAGGCTCGTCATCTTGAACTTTGCCGTATAGACCCGGCGTTGGAAGTAGGCGCTCTCATCCTGGGGAAACGCTTGGCCGGTATCGTCGCTTGGGGCTGGGCTCAGGCGAATCATTTCCATCTGCGGTACTTGACGGCAAACCTTGACATGGTACAGGGGGGTACGAGTGGCTGCGTCCACTAAGGAAAGATATTTGCCGTCGGTATAAGTGATGGTGATTGTTTGAGATGCCATTATGGATGGGTAACTGAACAGGAATATTCGATCAAGAATTGAATCACATATTCTTTCCCAAATTGGAGGTAATCAATGAGCATATATATATCTGTCTCATTTTGGTCCTAAAATCATAGGCAGCGCAGTTTCTCCGAGTCATGAGGTGAGATCATATAAACCGTTCTCTATCTATTTGTAGTTAAGACATAAACAGGGATGTCAAGGCTGCCATAAGGCATTGGCTAGGAAGAAGAACTTTGGCCATGTGATGGTCATAGCCACCTTTAATCCCTGTCAAAGGGGTCCATGCTGATTGAAATTCTGCCAAGATAGTCTCTAACTAGCGGGGCTGAGGAGGCTCAAGATTAAAGATATTGTTATAATAGTTACCAAAGCCTACCTTGTTTGTGCTTGTACTCAAGGAGCCTTCTAGGATAATAATGGGTAGGCCCTAACACAGCCTTGCTATGCAATAAACCATCTACATCAGTGACCAATGTGTATCACCTATACTATCCATTTGTATGGACAACCTGGGCACATTATTCATAATCAGCCTCCTAACATGTTAATATCCTTGCTCTGCCACCCGTAACCTTTCGCAGATTTTATGCTCCTGCTATGTATTCAGGCACAAACTACTGGAAGTGGCATCTCCGAGACAAGAGAAGGTCTGGAATATCTGCTAAGATGCCTCTTGATAACAGGAGGTTCTAACGAATGGTGAAAAGAGCTGTGAGTGAGAGTTGTCCATCTTTGTGAAATTCGAGCCTCTGTAACCTCGCCACTTGTCCAGAATGTATGCGGTGGTCCGGTTGTAAAGCCTTATCTTGTTCATTTGATTGGGATCCATTGGAACCTCTGACAGTCTCTGAATGCAAGAGGTGCTTTCGTCAGGCAGATTTGTATCCAAATCCAGACGTCGTAGAGCAGTTCTACTTTTATTACCCAGACCTGGGACCGGTAACATCATGGTTTTGAATCAAAAGATATCAGCAATTATTGACTGGGCGTCGGCTGGATTCTACACTGGTTTCTGGGTCTAAATAGAGCCTCCCTTCTTCTGGACTCGATTCTTATCCGTCGATTCCTGGTGTTGAGGATACCGTACGACAGAGGCGACTAATGGTGGAACTCGAAGAACATGGCTGTCCCCGTTTCGCAGGGTGGTATATGCAACGGAGGAAGGAAGACAAAATCGAGGGTGTGAGAATCAGCTTGCTATAGCAAGGTGCGGGAGATCCTGGGAGCGGTAAATCTAAGCTTTGATAGAGGGATTGAGCGCTTGGAGGAGATGGCTTTGCTTGTGTGAGAATAACAACATAACTGACCCCATCAACAGTTGGGGATTGTTCAAGGCATGTTAAACTCCTGCCTTAGACAATTCCATCGTGGACGAAAGTGTCTGGCCAGCTTCTTATCCTTGCCGTACTCTGGGATATGTACGGCAGTAGCATATATAGTGCTTTGCCAACAATACAGCCAGGAATTCGCTGTAAATAGCAGCTCATTACTATTGGTGTTTCTGCTTGAGGAACTTGCTGCCAATGAGGCTTGGGGACACTACAGGAGACAGCGGCGACGAAAACAACTGGGTAAATATATACTTTACTGTCATCAAAGTAAAACTCTTGGTTTGCACTACGGTCGTGGGAAGAGGCATCGTATACGGAATGGTCGCCTATATTTCGTGGGTTTGTTTCATTACGAGTCGACGCGTGAACACTTTTACTTCATGTTTATTTCATGTAGATTATTAACTGAGACATCCATACGCGACGGACGAATCAGGATACTATTAAGGGCCGTCTTGGCTGAAGTGAAACATGGACTGCACCGAGTTCGGCATATTTCCGATCCTCTTCAGTAATGCCTGGAACAAAGTAATGAAGCTCCTGTTATGGAGCCTTTTTGAGTCTAGACTGTTAGGGCTAAGTTGGATCCTTCAGGATCATCCCCTTAATCAATATGGCGAGATAAGCTTGTTCTAGGGGTATATATCCGTGTCAACTTCCCACCAATCCTCCCCAAAAGTGGACAGTCAACAAGCAAACACCAACCAAGCAACCATGCGTCGGTTTTTCGTTCTTTCTTTGCTTTCTGCGGCGCTGGACGTCGCGGCCGGTCTGACTGCGTCCAACCTCGAAAAGCATGTTGATGTGCTGGCACTCAACTTCAACTTCAACCCTGTCAAGGCTGCCTACTGGACCAACTACCCTCACCACCGTCGTACTCCTTTTGCTGTCTCTCCCGATGGAAAGACCGCCTATCTCGCCTACCTGGATTCCAGTGAGACTGACGTGCATGTTCAGCAGCTGGATCCCTCTACCTTTCAGGCTACAGGGACCACGGTTACTGTGGCCGGTGGGAAGGAAGGTATGTAATATGACTGATATTTTATGACTTCTTATTGACGGAATGTAGCCGGTGGACTAATTGCCCATGACGATGGCTTTGCCTTGTTGACCAACGAGGCCATGCCTTCCGGAACGAGCAATGCCCCCCCGTCTAACACCCCTGTTCCAGTCCTCTACCGCTACACCAACGGCAAGCAGACATGGAAGACCTGGCTTGGTGGCCCCGGAGTGCACGAGGCTGATGGTCTATCGGCCTCTCCCGACCTCAATGGCGATCTGGCCTACTCCGAGAGCGCAAAGATGTACGGCGCCTATTTTGTCGTCACCGACTACGCCGGCTGGGCACAGGGCCATTTCGGCGACAGCATCCAGTACGTATCGGACAACGGAACTCTCGTTACTATTCCCGGCGCCAGCAGCGCCTGGGGCTGCAGCCACAACACCGGCATTGCGTTTGAGGCAGCGGACGAACCCCCCTTTGCCAGCATCTGCTCCGAGGACCAGGGTGCTATCTGGCTCAACACCAAGACACAGGGAATGTCCAACGACGGGGTCAAGATCTCCAATGAGAACACTACAAACGGAGCCTCGGGTGAGCCCATGGGCGGCATGTCCGGCAGCTACAGTGCTCTGGCCCGGTTCGCCGACTCCGCCCGCTACATCTTCGCCTGGGTGTCCCGGGGTGCCATGGACGTGACGGAGAACAGCTGGATGGGTGCAGGATACACCCACGTGAATAACCGGACGAACGGCCGCAACGTCGCCATCGCCCTTTTCACCGACAAGTACACCAAGGTCGGCGCTCAGGCTACGTCCCAGGTGGGTGCCGAGGATGGCGACAGCCAGGTCACCTGGATCACCAGCGGCTCGAACGACTGCTCGAACGCGCACGCAGCTACCTTTGGCGCTGACTCGGCGCTGATCACCTGGGAGGAGATCTCGAATCCTACCTGTGACTACATCGCCATGGGCTGCCGTGGGCAATTTGCCGGCTCATTCTTCCAGCAGGTCGACTCGAGTGGAAAGAAGGTCGGCGAGGCCCTCAAGAGCACCGATACCTATGTGGCGGGTGACATGGTAACCATGGCCGACGGTCGTGTCTGCTGGCCCTATGTCAGCATGACCTGGGATCTGTCCCAACCCGTCGGCTTCTCGTCATCCACTACCAAGAAGATGAGCTTTGCTTGTATCTCCCTTGGCGGGGCATCCTCTTCGGCCAATTCGTCTTCTGCGGCATCCTCTGCATCTTCTGCCTCTTCCGCTTCTGCTGTTACTCCTAAAGCAGATGATTCCTCTTCTGCTTCTGCAGTCAATGCCCATCAAGCAGAGGCTTCCTCTGAACCAGCTGCCACTCCCGCTGGTGCTTCTTCGGCGTCTTCCGACTCCACCGCTGACGCGGACACCAATTACGCCAGCGAACCCGCTGCTCAGGATGCAGCCGTGTCGGCAAACGCTGATACGGAGCCAGCTGCTGAAACCCCGGCCCAAGCAACTACTACTCCATCAGTCAACAAAGGATCTCACGGGCATGGACACCGCAAGCACAAGCACCCCGCTTCTTGCCCGGCGAAATAAGCAAAGTTGTCACTGTACGACAGAGGAACAGTCGACTCACAGGGAATAGAAAGGTTACGTCGTTCACCGTCTGTAACCACAATGGAGAGTTCAATATAAATCCTCTCAATGAATTCATAGCGTAGGCCACTACAATGACCGTATCTAGTAAAGCCACATGATGCAGCGCATTCAATTCCAACAAACAGGCACCGAAATAATGCAATCTGGACAGCCGCTAATATGGTATCATAATACAAAGAAACACCTGGACGTGAAATGGTATCATTCTGCGCAAAAAGCATCATACGCGCGTCTCTACGCCTGGAAGACATGACTGGATTTTCCGGTTTTCGGATCGTAGATATTGTATCCAAAGTCCGCTGCATTCGGAGGCGTATACACTAAGGGTCGTTAGTTAGTCCATACTCGCCATAACTGTCTGATCCGTGAACATACAATGTAACGAAACAGCCAATCGATCTTTGGACGGGTTAACAACGCGGTGCAGCCCGATCTGGTCACTGATATAGGCCACCTCATTAGGCTGATACGTCGTATTCTTCTTGATCTTCAACGGAGCGTCCTGGTCCTCCGCTGTGGGAGTGTGATAGACCGATTCGTTCAGTTCCCCATCGAGGATCTTCATGATACAGTGCGCGTTGGCGTGGTCATGGATGAGTGATCCTTTCTCGGGATTCCAGACTAACAGCAGCTACTTGAGTTAACCCCGACCTCCCGCTGAAAATACAGCGATGACATACCAGATTTGCACGCCCGCTGATATCGGCCACCAGGTTCCGGGTATAGTTCTTGCTAGGGTCATTGCGCATGTATCGTGCCCAGTCGGCGCTGCTGGACGTGTACTTGGACATGAAGCCCATGAGGACCGCCGGGTCGACATGGTCGTCGTCAATACCGGAGCTCCCCAGGTACTGCTTGATATCTTGTACCAGGTTGTCGAGGGTGTAGTTTGTGTTGGGTTTGCGGGATACGGTATAGTTCTGGACGCGATCAAGCGAGGCCGGGTGACTGGCCACGGCAACGGGAGCGCACAGAGCAGGAGACATTATTATGATAATTCAGAATTATGATGGAATCAATGATTTCAGAGGATATACACTAAACAGAAGAATGTGGTATAGCTGGCACAACTACCTCAGCCAGACATCAAGGCGATATATGTGTACCCCTTATCAGGGTCAATCGCCGACCCAACTGTCGAACGGCGACTCACCCGGGGATCCAAGCAGAACAGCCAATCAGAGCACGGCAAACTATGTAGTGGAGTGGAACAGCCCATCCCAGGATCAGCAATATAATTGGGTATGGATCGCGAAAAAAGACATGGACAGCTTGTCATTATCAATGTAATTGAAGGATTGGCTCAAGGGGTAGTACAATGGCCAGCGATAGCCGTGGCTATGCGATCAACAGCATCACCGCACTTTCAACGAAGCGGTGAATGAGACGCAAATTGACGTCAATTTGATGATACGGTTAGTAAAAGGGCGGGCATTATGGGTTATGAGGAGATAGGCTTGTTTGGCTGGTTATTGAAGCCGCTGATGTGCTCATAATACCCAATGGACATTGCAACGGCAAAAGTCGGTTTGTATATCATCCAGCGGAATGACGCGAAGAAATACTAAGCCAGGGCATCCGTCGAACAGGGTACGTATAACAACGATCATAGGTGCGGGAAGTTGGCACTATGTTGTATTCAGCTAAAACGCAAGACTTGCTTGGAGCTTTGTACAGCCGGAGTTCACGTGAATATGAATATCTTGCGCGCCTGCAATGTAGTAAGTCCTTCGGCCTCGTACCTCCCTTAACAGGCCCTTGTCCTTTCGTTGTTCTCCACGGTGCCACACGGCATGGCATCACGGGTCATCTACTACCCTAGCTTCGAACTCTGGGAAAGTTGCAGGATGGGATCATGTCGTGTCCTGTGTACATTTTGGATTGGGAGGCAGAAAACGGACCTGGTCATGGTCTCATGAAGCTTGTGTGCGTCGCTGTTGGGAAGTCGTATCTACGCTGCTGACGTCTGGATCAATATCGAATCATAAGTGGAGGCGTTTTCAATCGTGATACTCACTGTTATTGAGAGTGCATCTTTGTAGATGAAGTGCTTTCCCTGTCAAGTCGCCGAGCTGACATTCATCGTCCCGGAAGAGATGACCAAAGACATTTTCTAACTCCTGAACTCATCTCCATATCTCTTCACGAACGTCGCTTGAACCTGCCGGATTCGGTGTCTGGAACAGACGAGGCCTTGTGTTTCAGACGTGCTAGAATCTTTCTGCTAGAAGTGATATGCAACTGTAAGGTGGAGTCCGTCTCTATGTTCTGACGTAGATTGTGGTTAGATAACTTAGGCCCCTTCTACACAGCGAGCCAGCTGATTGTCTGCCTTTACAGCTAATGAGGCAGAACCTCATAACATTTCGCTGCCGGGATTACGGAGAATCACGGCACCTCCCTGGAATACGGGACACAAGTGCGTGGCTTGAGACCATGTCTGCGACCTGCACGATCGATTGGAGATTGCGTTGGGCTAGGCCATGATACATGACCGCGCTCAACTTTATCCAGGATACAATTCTGCTGAGCAGGAGACAAAGCTTGGCAGCTAGCCATCAGCGTCGTGCCTTGTTCTCTTCTCCAGAGCAAAGGCCGGTCCCTTTCAATACAGGATTGAATCCCCTCGGGAATAGGTACATGTGGGTGCATTTTCCTGGATAGATTCGATTTTTCCACTCCCCGAGCTGGTGGTAAAACTTCCGGTGTTTAACTTCGAGATGGCCTTATTTACAATCGCACAAGTAGCGACATAGTGCCTCCTTCAAAGATATGGGAGTTGTTGAAGTCTGCGGTGACAATCTCAGATGGCTCTTCCAGAGGGGCTGCTCGATGCATATACCATTGGTCTCCGTCTTTCCCGGTTGCGAGGCACGACCTGTCCGGTGTCAGAACCAAGACGCCAAAGGGAGGGAGACATCTGACTTATTGATTCTTCGATTAATCCCAACAAATGTATCTGATGGTTTATAGACCTGTCTCAGTGGACATGTTGACACACCGATGACCAGACAACTCTGCTATTCCGAGCTACGTTGGCTATCTTATTCCAATGTTCAATGATTAGCTTATATTGCTAGCCTGGCCTGAACTGGGAGACAACCTCGAACTTGGTTGCTAGGCTATAAATTTTAGTCTTTATATACGCTATGCAAAGTCAGAGTAGTGAAATCCCAGCAAATTGCTCACCTGACATGCACTGGCTTCAAATGCCTGTCTGGACAGACTCTCGCTAGAAGCAAGCGTACAAAGGAAAGGCCTCAAGTAAACGCAAAAAGGACTAATAAACAGTATGTATATCACAGGTAAATTCCCAGTTGCTCGCAGACGTCTTTCGAAGCAATGTGCTTTGCTTGTTTCTTGTTAGAAGCTTCTCCTCTGCCTTGCCTTCCACGAAACTTCACCGCGCATCTAAATCGAATCGGAAAGCTGCTTATCATTTCATCAGAGATCTCAGGTACTTCATTACAGCACTGGCCTTCTTCCCACAAACGAGAGGTGTACCTCCAGATCTCAACACTGGATCGATCTGGAAGCTGCAGTTCGATGTTTGTCTGCTCAGACTCCATCCTCACATAGGAGTACGGCGGGGGCGAATTTTCGTCGCGATGGTTGGAGCTTGACGCACTTCCCAGGATCCCTGCGTGTGCCTCAGCTCTCTCTGCGTCAAGGACATGGATCTCTGGAATGATGCAGTTCTCTGTAACGGATTTATAAAGTTCTTCTGGCTTTGTGCGATGCAAAAAGCCAAACGCCCGAAAGAAGTTTTTCCTGAAATCATGCTGAACATCCTCGCTTGGGAAGGTGCACTCATTTTTCAGGCTTTGAAGTGCTCTTCTATAGTCGAATCTCTCTAGGAACTGGTTGACTTTGTCCTTTTTTTTTTTTGGTTTTAGTAGAGCTTCGAGTACACTAGGAAAGAGAGCAGAGCAGCAAAGAGGTAGAAAAGTAATTAAGCGAGCAAAGAATCCGCCGGTTGAAGCTATTCAACTAACCTCAAAGGCCCTAACTTCCGTATTTTGCTCCACCTTGGAGGCGTTTTCTAGAGTAATATAAGTCGAAAGCAGTGTTTTCCCAACCACACAATCTGGAATTATTAGCTTCATCAGATCGGGTTATTACCTTTTAATCTTACCACATGCATAGTATATGTCCGAAAGGTTCGTGGAAGCCATCCTATTCAGTGATCTAATCTATCCGAGAACTTGAGTTATGAGCGAGACGGAAATTTCTTCGAGGTGGCTCGCCGAAAGAACTGAGTTGAGCCTTCGTCTAGATTGAGCACTGATAAAGGAGATCAATCACTAGGAGGTTTAATGACCCAAATAGGAGTCTAGAAATAATAAGTGAAGCTTGAGGTATTTTCTGCTTTTCGGAGAATGAATAGTGGGATTTGAACTTATCGATACTTTATAACCACTACAGTTGTTGTGTCTTTCTGGTCTACCTCTTCTGCCTGGTCTGCCTCAGTGGATTGAGTCTGGATCTCTGCGGCTGAAACCCGGATATCTTTCGCCCAGGCTGTATCGCGGCATGTAAGCCTCATCTTTGAAGCCAACCGTGTGACCTGAGGTAGTGCACGGATTTCAGTCATTGCAGATATGGACCAGAATACAGCCTGGTTATAATCGTGCTGTTGAGTACAAAGTGTCCGGAGGTAGGGGGAGACAAATGATTGGGCAATGGCCCATAACTGTGAGGCTGGGCTGGGCAAAGCAGCATTAGCATTCTCAGCCTGATCCAACACCCTGCTACCCTCAGACGTCGTTCTTCCAGTTATATGCGAATGGACGAAGGACACGTTTGCACTAAAAGCAGGTATTTCGAGAGCTTTCAGCTTGATCTAACCCGTTTTCTTGCTGCGCTGAGCACTACCCGCTCATAACATATGAATGGATGCAAAGCACGTTTCTGCTCTAGGCAAGAGGCTTTCATGAACTCTCGGCCTGATTTGACTTCCTAGTGCGGTCAGACCATGACTTCTCAATAGTACGCATATGGACAAATCAAACTTCTATCCTCTATTGAAGGAGCAGGCGTCGCATGATGTCAGCCTGATCCATTGTCTCACTGTGTTTCAACAATAGTCCATAAATGACAATCAACATTCTAATCACAAGGCTGAAAACTCCGAAAGGTATGTCAATTTGTTGTCAGGAAAGGTAGAATTCTCATTACCATTTAATTGATCGAGATTCAAGCTGTCTCCCAAAGGTTAGGAAGAATCACTGATACTTTGACGCAGGATTGTGTCCAGCGTTCCGGAGCAAGAATAAGATCGTCTCTAACCTGGAACGAAAGCTTTATAGACTTGAAGAGCGCCTTCCACTGATTGAACCAAGCCAAAAAATGTCGTCAATATGAGAATCAGGATTGCCACCCAAAATGTATACCACTGAACACCGTTTCTCCTATCCCACCACCACTGGTTGATAGTCTTGGGATGCGTACAATCATACTTTTGCTTCAGCATCACCAATCGATCCCTCCAGTAAAAAAAAAAGTTTATGTCGCGTTGGGCACCATGCAACTGACCACATCGTAATATCCTTCCATCAATTTCTGCATTAGACCGGTATTTCCGAGCCGTTTTTTTGTCACCCTCGGGGAAAAGAAGTGAGATTGTCCGCAAAGTCTCTGTCACTAGATCACTGGGGAGCATAGAACTAAATGTTTGATTTAACTATTTAAACATATATGAGAAATGGTAAACAACTTACTGCTTTTGACACTCGAGAAAGGTGACGTGATGAAATATGGCTACCTTTGTCTCCCCTTCGATTAAGCGTAGGTGATCAGCAAGGTTATCTGTCCAAAATATTTCAATACCCGCAACCTTCTCAATGTTGTATCCTGTGAACTCAGCGTCCAAAGTGACGGCCGTATCAATGAGCGCCTGTTCGGGGGAGAAGTGTTGCTGGATTGAGCTTTCAAGAGCACCCTCAGCCCATAAGACTTTCTCGGTCCCCGAGATGGCGTATGGGGGACTTCTAAAGTTCAACATCAGCAAGAGCTGCGCCGCCAAATCGATTGTTGCGTCAGCCTGATAAAGGGAGTCTGGGGGTGATATAGAATTGCGTATGGTATCACGAGAGCAGCCACTGCGCAGCTGCTGGGCTATATCCATAAGCTGCCGGTGCGTTTGAACTGACATATGGCCTCCGCTATAATGCAAAGTGCGAGCGCAGGAAGCAATGTAGAAGCGGAAGTAGGCATCGAGCTCAATCTCATAGGAGCGTACACCGTTTGAGAATTGCTGGACGATGGGTTGGGGGCCCCAGAGACGTTCAGCTATTAAATGCTTTGTTGTAGCTGCTGGGGGATCGCTGAAAATACTGTCGTCAATGGAAGCCATTTAGGACACGCTTCCAGGGTGAAATTGCATGTAGTTCAGATACAGAAGGACTGCGACTAACAGAACATTTTATATTTGATATTAGCGTTACCGCTGAATGTCCCACATGCCGCTGTTGGTTTTTCTTTTTCCCACCCTCCTTTTGGTTGACTCTCCCAAGATCAATAAATCATGACTGGAACCGGGGGCTTCTATCAGCGTCCGCGTCTGCAGAATGCATGCACTGCCACCTAACCAGAGTGGGGTTGAAAAAGCCTTGCGATTGTCAGCCTCAGTCATTTTTTCTGCGAGATTATCGAGGTTGCCCACGCGGTCCAGAGCACGTATATAGCCGCCCTCTCGTGCGTTAAGAAACGAAAACTACAATTTTCCTACAGCAGGTTTCTATACTGTCATATTGCAATCTACCTTGCTGGGCAATGCAGTCACTCCCAACATCCGTTGGCCCGTTGGTACAGTCTTCAAAGCTTGGAAAAAGCTACTGGGAAGCAGTTGGGCCAATGCGAAACCTTTTCATTGACGAGCTCGCGGAGACTGTAAAGGATTATCTCGATCGATGCCTCGAACCTCCAGCAGATTGTTTATACTGGTCTATGTACATGCGAGGGCATACTCCAGGAAAAGCTAAGCCTTATCTGGTTTTTTCTTCTACCAACGAGAGGACAGGGAAAAGGGCGCTACGTATGGTGAGAGAAAGCGGAATCCTTGCAAAATTCCCGACTATAAGATTGAAATACACTCGCTATCCTCCAGAAATGAACACATTGATGCGACTTCTCAGCGACGAAGGCCTAGAGCTAAGTCAAAATGCCGTACCTTACACCTATATTGACGGCAATACGGTCTACCACATACCCTCCGGCAACGTCATGAGCCTACAATTATATGTTAGAAAGCCAACAATCAAAGAGCCAGTTAGACAAGCTACAGCTGGCGGAGTCGTATGCGTCGGTAGTTCATTCTTCTATCTCACAGTATATCATATCCTCGAGCGAAACGAGCACCAGGTATCACTGCAGGACAGCAAGCTTCAAATCCACGGAAAGCTTATAAACCTAGACGATGAAAAGTACCAGGTGAGCTGCCGGGGAGAGGAGGATGAAGAGGCCGATGATTCTGGATTTGAAGACAGTACCCAATCCGATTCGGATGGAACGTCTACGACGAGCGACAGTGACAACGGCAGCGGAGACTCGGGGGTCAGCATGCAGCTCAGTGAAGAGCACATGAGAGGCGCTTGTATTGGTTCTACCGGCCTTGATAACAACCCGTCATTTTCACCCCAAGTCCCTCTACCCACAGAGCAAACTAAAATGGATTCCGCCGAAATAGCCTCATCTGCTGCATTCGGGAGTGAATCACTTGATTATCTGTTAATAAAGCTCCAGAACGAGGATCAAAAGAAGGTGAATAGGATTGAAGCCTCACATATTCGTTCACACGACATCTGCGTCGATAAGATTGCTTCAATCGGCAATGAGGATCGCAAAGTAATCATCCTATCGACATCTCACGGAATCTCAAAAGGTGCTCTATCTGCCACCCCCCGTTACATGCGTTTGGCGAGAACATCTACAACTCGAAAGACGTTTGCCCTACAGCTTGATAGGGATGTGCAGCCTGGTGAATGTGGGTCATGGGTAGTGGACGAGGTTTCCGGTCATCTCTACGGACATGTTTTTGGCGGAGGGATTGGCACAAGAACCGCCTACATAATACCAGCAGATGACATCTTCGAAGACATAGAACGGAAATTTAGACAGCCAGTATTTCTGCCTTCCGTGAAACAGGATTCACATACGCCATCTGGAATGAGCCCGGGCACGACTCCCCCTCAGGTGCTACAAGCTGGTTCCTCGCAAGGCAGCATGATGGTGTCGAAAAGTGGCGAGAAACCAGCTATTCCTAGAGAGGCGTCCGACCAATCCCAACTTGATTATTGCAACATCGTTAGCAGCAACGCCAAGCTTCCTGGAAACCAAGATTCGGTTGATCCTCGAGGAGGCGATGTTCCTCAGCTACCCTGCACAAGAAGTCAATATCGGGGTAAGTTAACATGCAACAAAGCTGCACAGATCCTTTCTGACAATGGTGTTTCGTCAGCGCCCAATTCTTTGCCGACACTGAGCATTAGATCCAAGCCTCCTAAGGCTGCTCCAAACTCAACCTGCGCGAACCCAGTTTCTTCTAAAGGGTCAAGAGCTTACCTCACGGACAAGAAGGAACCACTTAGGACCTTCAGAAAAAATTTGAGTCGATCACTCTTTTACTATGCTTCGTCATCTCGCTCCGCGGGTCCAGGGCAAGACAGCGAGAAAAGGCATTAGATATGATCCGCGAGCTAATTGGATTGTCACGCAAAATTTTTACATTCTTGAAGTTTGGCAAAACCATGTGTCGACAGAGAGTTTGTTCGACCGCCCTTACCTACTAGACAATACGTCTGCAGACGCTGTCGCTCTATCCAATGCTGTCACAATTGACGTTGAATGGTGGAGAGGGCAAAGAAGGTCAAAAGCATGAAGCAAGAACTACTTTCCTTTCCTTGACTGTGAGTAAAGATCGAAATCTGTGTTTCGATTAACTCGCGTATCTTCCCCCCCATTCATGGCAGTATCATGCTCCGTCAGCAAGAGACACGGGTGTAGTCCTCAATTTGAGTAGCCCAATGGGTAGAGGTCACTCCCCTTTACCTTACCTATAGGCCCATAGGCATCAGTATAGTATCCATTCAAGCCAATAGGAAAGGACCCACTACACATACGTAGCCCCTTGAATGCCCATCCTTGCATAGTATTCATTAGTACGTATTCTTTGCTATGTTAGTCGACTTGAGCCGTTCCGCCAGGACACACTGCGACTGTCCACTCCAAATATTTGACATCTAGGTGTACACAAACCTTCATAGATGGCCGGGCAATCACCAAAGACTGCCCATCCTGCGATGCTCTTCGGTTCCTCATTAATAGGTGAGAATGTGACTCCGGCAAACAAACACCAAGCGGGAATGTTATTACGTCTGTTCTTGATGCTTTCCTAATAGCTAATTCCTCCCTAAACGCCGTCGACTATGTATGACTGGTGGCAAAGCATGGGGGTAATGACCCTCGCTAGAAGAAACTGCGGCCTTTCCTCCTTTTCTTCTGTACCATTTCTCCTTGCAAAACATGTCTAACCGCTTTCTCTAAGGCCACATCAACGCCATCTCCGGTCTTTGCAGAACAATCAAAATACTCAACTGCGCCCAAGTCTCGCCCCACTTCTTCAGCCTATAACATGAAGAAAGTTTAGTCAATGGTCCTCATAGACATACATAGAAGTTCATCCATACCACAGCTGGTTTCACGGGGCATTGTGAGGTTTTAAAAAGCTCTCCAATAGTTGAAGGGTCGTCACGAAGATCGTTCTTGCACCCTAGGAGAAAAACAGGGACGTCTTTGCAGAAGTGCGATACCTCGTTTATCCACTGCGTAATCGCGATTAGAACCGGGGCCTCTCCTCTGCCTTGTCGCACGGAATACTTTACTTTCTCTTGGGCGTTATACAAACTGTCCGGGGAATCTATAGAAAAGCATATGAAGACGCCGTGGGAATCAGGATATGCGAGGGGTCGCAATCGATCGTAATCTTCTTGCCCAGCAGTATCCCACAGAGCCACTTCGACGGACGTTCCGTAGGCCTGAACATCGCACACGTAGTTCTCGAAGACCGTGGGAACATAGACCTGAGACGGGATTCAGCTGCGCTCTATATATCCACCCCCTATATAGTGCCATAACTCACCTCTGGCATAACACCTTTAGACGCCCGGCTTGAGGGTTGTCAATTGGGGATTGGAAGTGGCAATGGAAGAAATCATACATTAGAAGACATGTCTTTCCACATGCACCGTCGCCCACAAAGACAAACTTCATTCGTGTTCTGGACTGTTTGTGCCCTTGGTCTTCCGTCACAGCTAGCTCCCGCCTTGCCTTAGGTGTGGATCTCTTATTAGCAGAGGCCTTGCTCCAGAAAAGTTGAATAAGAGATTGTCGCTTTTCCCTGGAAGGAAAAGCAAACAACGGGGTTAAGTTTTGTTTAGATGTTTTGCTCTGCTGATGAGCCGGCGTTGACAGGGATGGTGGGACGGGGCGTGATAGATAACTGTCTTCTGCGGGTTTCTCAATACCAACCGTCTCATCCTTTAGTTGGTAATGGTCGCTATTTTGAGTTCCCAAATTGAACACAGTGGGTTGTCGTTCGCGGCTGCTAGGTATGAGTCTGTCAAACCAGTGGCCCGAGCCTTTCCTAGTTAGATGTATCAGGGGTTGTGTAGGTGATGGAGAAACCTCTGGTAATCCACCAGGTGCATCAGAACTCGTCGTTAAGGGTTCTTGAAAACTGGTATTGCCGAGTTCGAAGGTGAGTGATTTCCCTCTAGTGGAGCTGACCCAATCAAGGTTTGTTTTGGTTCGAAACCAGTCTGCATTGAAATCAGGCCAAAAATCGTCTGCATACTCAGAAAGGGCATCATCCCCCTCCTTGTCGTTGGAGGTTATTGTGGAAGCAGATGAAAGGACTGTGGCGGCCGAGTGAATGAATTCTTTTAGATTTTCGACACCAGCCATTTGCTTTTGCTGGTTACTCCCATTGAACATATTTTGCAGTCCATGAAGCTTGATGTCCAGGTTTGTTGCAAGCCGACGGATGTCCGAATGCATGGCGTTCAGACTAGGCAGGATCTTTGAAGTTGACTCTTGGATTGAGACCTGATGCCAGCTTTCCCTTATTGTTACTCATCGATACCATATTGCTAATGTTGGTGCGGAGAGCTGGGAGGTGACTTACAAGATAATAGTTTGCAATGAGAGCTGCATTGCATCCTTATACGTTTGAACTTGCTGCCTGAAGTTTACAATCTGTTCCACAGCGCTCTTCACGCGTACTTCTCGCCGTGCGGAGTCTAGGAAAGTCACTTGCTTGTTAATTGTAGTGAGGAGCTCTTCAAGTTGTTCAAGAGTACTGCGTCCATCTTGGAGAGATCTCAAAAGGTTCTTCCAGTGAATCCCAATATGGCCACTTGGAGGCTGAACTTCCAACTCATCGAAGGTATCTTCCATTGACTGGAGGACATCTCGCAAGCCTTTCATGTCGTTCAACATTGCCGTGACGTAGGTGCGGGCTTCCGCCGCTCCGTGGCGAAATTTCTTCAGCTCGACGGCGACTTTCGAACATATTCCGAGGAGCGAGGCCGCGCTCGCTATTATAGTGAGCGGTTCCACCATTGTTTCGGCCGTTAGTGTTGTGATTCTGGCTTCTTCTGGGGAGGGTCGTGGGTTATAAAGAGCGGAGGAGCTCGGGTTTTGAGCTAGGCAGTGGTCACTGGTGTGGAACTGGGGCTGAACACAGCCACCTCGCACAGATCCTTTCAGCCTCCTGGCAGGCGCTTCATGTCCTTTGCCTACTCATATTTGTTAGATTTGGAATGAGCTGATAGCACGGTGATGAGGAGTAGCTGTGACCGTATGAAGCTACTGGGTCTTCTTCATTCCTGGCTTTAATGGTTCTTTGGGCAAGGGACCATGTAATAGAGCAGCTCAGAGATTCCCAGTGGCTAATCGATCTCGGTGGTGTTCTTTCTATGGACGAAAGTTTGATGTGAGAAAATAGGCAGTGCCATTAGTGCCTTTGGGTGATGGTAACGCACAGGCGGCCAATTATAAACAATTTCACTTTTTGTTGCCCAATCACGCATAAGAAGTTGGCGCCTGGTCAACAGGTCCTGCTATTATGTGTGACTGATTGACCATAGGAGATTCTCAGTGGTTGATTGCCTGCTTGGAAGTGGAAGGATTCCCATGCATCAACAAGAGTTAGCCACACCACTGTGAGCTGATGGGATGGACATTAACAGCCACAAGTACAGTTAAAACCAGAATTAGGCAATAGGTTCCATGGGAAAGAAACACAAACAAAGTCTCTTTGGTAATCTCGTATTCTCACATCACATCAAAACCAACATCTTTCCACGCCAAGGACTATCTAAATGTTGACTTCCAACATCCAAAACCCTCCCAAGGAATGGCGGAAAGATGAAAAGCCCAGTGGGGCTGTGTGCGAGACAAACTTTCCAGTCACAATGATAGCTAGTTCAGGTGCGAGTGGTTTCCGTCAGAATAGTAGATGCAATCCTTGGAACGACAGGCACCGGAGACACATCTGCAAGCAAGTTGACAGGTCCAAAAACAAAAATACAAGAAAAAGGACAGAATCTTCACTCCATACTATGGATTCTCAGCAAAATAACAGCAATGTGAGGGCACAGCCATGGCCTCTCCTACTTCTTACTCAATGAGATTGATTTCTCATTTGTTCAGCCCTGTGATATCAATTGAGCCATCCACAGATGTGTTCCCAGACTTAGAGTTTTTGGGCTTCCGCCCAGACCAGGGAAAATATGGAAAAGAGGGGCTACTTCTCCTGTGTTATTAAGCTGTTCACTAGAAGCTGAACAGAGTAGATCAACTTACCAAACGTATAAGGGGCATTTTTTTTCTTTTAAATGCTTAGGCTTGTGAGACATATTGACCTATATTAACTACCAAAATTCTTAGGAGAGCCATGAATCCACTCCCTTCCTTACTGCTATTGTCCCAGATTTAATCTATTGTACCCCCGTTTGTCTGGGGTCAAGAAGGGTTAAATGGTTAAATACCCCTCCGAGAAAGGCCCTTTCTACCTGTCTATTATATCAAGAAGATATCAAGCAAGTCATAGCAAGTTCCGCCACATCAGTGTGCCATGAATGAGGTGTTGTCTTTAAGTATCAGAAAAGTAGGTCCATAATAGCAAACATTTTATTGCCCATGTAGTTAGTTATGAATCAACCCCCTAAAGCTAGTACAACTAGAATTCAACGCTACTGCATCTGACATTTACCTGTGTATGTATTCTATGGATGGTGTACTGTTCCACTTATTTTTAATCTAGAGAAAGGTTGGTTATTCTCGGTCTCGCATGTAGCTTGGCTCCTGATCACAATGTACCACTAGATAAATTAATATCAGCCCTACTATGTAGGATTGCTCTGTACCTGAACCAATTGTCACAGTGGATTATGATTGCTCTGACAACAATATACTAGTGATAATGGTTGTTTTCAGCTAAAATGGCCATCTGCCGCGGGCCGGACCGCGCAGCCTGCCATTTTTCTAGTGGATAAAAGTTAAGTTTCCAATCATGTCTTTCTACGGAAACCCATTTGATTAATCATTTTTTGAATCGCTTAGGCCCCGTTCATTTCTGCCTTGCCAAGCCCACCCTGCACTAGTGTTGTGTCGTAACAGGAAACTTAGTTTGTTCTTGCTTTGGTATTCTCAGGCCTTTCATTGGTTTCAACTGTTTCAGAATTTCGCAGGGAACTGGCATGCCGAAAAGCAGCTCATTGTCTACCAGTCACGCAGAAGCCTTGCACTTCATTAGCTTGTGATTTTCACCTAGCTGGATGATGGGGCTAAAATATCTGTGAGTAGCAAGACCCTCACATGAGATCCTATGAAAACATTCTAATGATGCTTGGACAACAAACTATGTAACTTGACTCCCTTAGCACTGTTATTTTATCTAATCGACATGATTCCATTACCTAGCTTGCTTCCCCTCACTTTAAGTCTTAATGCAAGGACAGCTGCACTTCTTTAGTGGCTTACTAGGCATACCAGGATGTCAATCACTTTTCCAAACAAGACATGAGACTTTTCTACAATCGATGGCTGATATTGGTTTGACCGCATGGAGCAATCAGTACCTAATGTCTGGCTTCCACTCTTATAGGCATGATACAAGAGCTCTGCTGTATATGATCAATCATTCAGCTGGTCGAAGGCTCGAAGGCTCAATCTATGAGTGTCTGTTAAGCATCCAGAGCGTTTCTATATTAGTTATATATGCCAAGCTAGCGTCCCTGAGCCTGGCCTTGGCAATCTTTATTTTTCTCTCCAGTGATAGCCCATCAAAGGATTATCTGTGATGTCTGACAAAAGTGACGTCCCAAAAGAACATATATTCCCTGACTTCGTCAACTGGCATCTCCGAAGACAGCAGATCCTAACTGGCGTATTGCAAGTCATCTGAAGCAGCGAGGCTGATGAAATCAACTGGCCAGGGCAGTATTCAATAATGCCGGACATGAGAGAAAGTGGAGGGAGGGGACTGCAGGAGGAATGTCTACTTGACGAAGTGCCTGAGGCACGACTGGTCGCTCACATGACCCAGAGAACTGTTTAATGCTGACTCACCGGAATGGTGGCAATTTCGGCCTTGGATTTCAGGCAGCAACCAGTCGCCGAGTTGGTCGCCGAAATCCCCGAAATGGAGGTGAGCTCGTTCGGTCCTCGTCTGCACTGCCACCGGTCATATTATTTATGCATTAGATATGATACCTCTGATATCAGGGGATGCAGATAGCTCAACATGAGCGACAGAAGAAGGAGAACAGCTTCTCCACAAGGCAATGCTCTGCGTCCCTCTCCTCTCGCGTGCACCGAGTGCCGCAAACACCACGTCAAATGCGACGCCAAAAAGCCTTCGTGTTCCCGGTGCTTGGATGCCCGTCTGCCGTGCAACTATCTCCCATCGCGAAGGGGTGGCAGACGCAAACCCCGTAGCAGCCTGCTTCAGCCTCTGCAGGGAGTAACGTCAGACTTCCCAGGCATGGCGTATCAGACTCCCCTGTCGGAATCAGCGGGCGGGAATCCAACCGCAGGCCCATCCAGTTCCCCTGTTACTGGTAAAGAGGTTTCATCAGTCGACTCAAGGAACTCACCGCAGAATGCACAACCTGTGGTGCCAGATTCGCGGTTGGTACGTCTGTACTATGAGCATTTCCACAATGCGCATCCAATTCTGGTTCCGGCCTCCTCATATGAGGAGCGGAATTATCCCAGTTTCCTCCAGCAGGTGGTGCGATTCATTGGAAGTCATTACTCGCTGCAGGTCTCTGGCGACTCTTTCAGGGATGCTGCAACGTTGCAACTGAACCATGCTGGCGATCGGACACCCTGTATGGTGCAGGCTTTGTTGTTGTATTCGATCTTTCTGTGTTCGCGAAGTGAGTGCAGCGAGGCGGAGAGAGCATTCTCCCAAGCAACCGACATCGCCCTGGAACTGGGAATGTTCCGTCGAGATTTTGCGACAACGTTCTCCAATGGAAACGAGACCGAAGCGGAGAGTTTACGGCGGACCTGGTGGGAGTTGTTCATTGTCGACGTGTTCATGGCGGCGCGGCCACCCAAGGTCGTCCTTCGCTGCGGCAATGTACCTTACGACGTCCCCCTACCTTGCGAGGAGTATGTGTACGCCAATCGAAAGGAGATTCCGCCTCCGGCGACCTTTACGGCGTTTAAGATGCGCGTGTTTCTAGAAGAAGACGGAGATGCTCGTTTCTCGCGATATTCATCGTTCAGTTATCGCATCGAAGCAGCACTCATCCTGGCTCGCGTGCTCGTGTTGAACAGTCTGCCCGAGACGCACCGCGATCATCTGCAGGCCGTGGAGAATGCGCTCATCAGCTGGACAAACCACCTGCCAACGCACAAGGTCGACATCGTCGATATGTACGGCAACGTCGATGAGATGCTTTTCCAGGCGCACACGACCATTCAGTACGCCGCAATGCTGCTCCACCTTCCTCGCAGTAATCTGCGCCCCGACTTCCCTGACCTCCACGTCCCCATCTGCCCGACAACTCCTCTGCGTCTATCACCATCATGCACCCGACACGTCCACGATGTGAAAGCAACAGAAGCCTCGAAGCAACTCTCTAATCTTCTATCCATGCGCCCCAGCGCACAGGGATACAGCCCGCTGATCGTGTCCCCGCTCGTCCTCTGTGGCATGGTCCAGCTGGCAACCAGCCGCATCCATTCCCCCGAGTGTCTAGACCATCACTGCAACCGCGTGGTGCTCGTGCTGGGGTGCTTAAAAGTCCTCAGCTCGAGCTGGCCTCTTGCGCGCCAGGCCCAGCAGCATCTTCGACGTGCAGCGGCCGACTCGTTTACCTCCTGGATCGAATCGCAGCATCCCCAGGGAGCGGCCGGTCTGCCTTCTACATCGAGGAACGACGCTTATAAGGATTCCTCGGCCGATCAGAATGCCTGGTACAGTGCAGGCGGTCAAGGGATGAACGGGGATGTCCAGTCTCTTTTCTCGCCGGGCTTGCTCTCGGCGTATATTGATCCGACGTGCAGTGACCCCTTGTTGCTGAATACAATGCCTGAGTTTGACATCCCATGACAGTCGCTGAAACGTACTCGGCTGTCGGCATTTTAGGCCCTCGAGAGCATGTAGTATGCAATCACCAAGAGCTTTATTTCTTTCGATACGTGCGCATGAGGACCAGCGTGCCGACGCGGTTGTCGAGATGCAATCTCTCGTGACATCGGATGGGGAGCTGCCCGATCTCACATCATCCCGCGCCCAGCACATGCTTATTCCGTCGACTTTCATCTGTTCTCGCTATGCACAATACCTCCTGAAAATTAAGGTGCGGTCACATAGTGTGCATCAAGACGCGAGAGCCTCCCAGTCAGGAACACAAGGTTCATTTCCATTAGCGTGGGATCTGGATTCATACGCAAATCCTCGACGTATCATTCGGTCATGGCTGGTACCATCGCAGCCTAGAGAAACTACATCCCCGAATGCCTATTCGTACGCAGAGTGTGTGTCATGAATACCCTGCTTTAGAATCCTAGCTATCAAAACAGCCATTCGAACTGCCCAGCCACCATCCTGATGATCAACTCTATAAAATCCATAGAAGCCGATTAAGGTCCTATCACAATGTATCTAAGCACGGCTAATCTACAATTCCCTGGGGCAGCAACACCACATAGTCCAGCGGCGCCGGCTCCACTCCATCCGGCTTACCCACAATCTTCAGCCGATCCCCCTTGTGGATCTTCACATCTCGGAAGGTAATGCGCGTAGCGGAGTGTCCATCCAGATAAATCGAAGGGGTATGGCTCAGCACGTCCTCGCTGTTTCCTTGCCACTGGCCCACCACGCGATCATTCAGATACACCGTCCATTGGGACTTGCCCCCGTACATATCGTAGTAGTTGATGCCCAAATCGTACGTGCCTGTCTTGAAGTCCAGCGTAGCGCTCGCTGTTCCCGTGGTGCCATTCGATGCAGTGACGATAGCGGTGAAGTTGGACGCGGTCTCGAGCGGACTAACGGCGTACGGCACGTAGCCATCGAGCTTCATTTCCTCCGCTTCGATACGCCAGGGGTGGCGTCCCACTCGTTGCTTCTCGTCCGCGATTCCCGAGAGATTATGGTAGAAGCTGTTGATGGCGTCGCGCCAGACGATAGAATGCCCCGCTTGGTAGACGAGGCGCGCGAGGACGTGCTGGTACCGCTCCGCGTCGATGTGTTTACTAAGCGACTCCCACTGCGAGACGAAGGTTTGGGCCGTCTCCGCGCCGGCGTAGTGTGCGTCGTAGAAGTGCTGGATGACGGTTTTGCCGGAGTGCAGGCGCTGGGTGTATTTGACGTGGTGGAACCAGAGCATCAGGTTATCGGGTGTGGTCTCGATATTCTTGTACATCGCTGCGACTTCGGCGGGGTACTGGCCCGAGAACTTTGTTCCGTTCTTAACGGTGCGATCCATTCCGATGGATAAGTGATCTGCGCGTGTCCACTGGCCCCAACCGTTGCCGTCCTGGGAGGCCGGGTTGGGCCCGTAATGGGTGTACAGGATGTCGGTCAGTGTCTGGATGCCGAGGTTGCCGGAGTAGTTCTCATATGCAGGCCAGGACTCCATGGACATTTGCGTGAGGGTTTCGAGCACGCGGCGATCCAAGCCAAACGTGAGGCGGATCCAGTCCTGCACGATGTGCTCCGAATCCAGCGTCGGCTCCCAGGCCAGCCGACCATAAGCGTAGAGATTTGACATGGCCAGATGACTACCAAGCCAGGTAGTGTTGGTCCCGACATTGACAACTGCCGCCCAGCCACCCAAGGGTCGGTCAAATCGCTGTCCGGAGATGATGTCTCGCACTGGGGAGGGTTTGTGGTCGACACGAAGATCAAATCCCAGGATCGTTTGCCAGAGCGGGGGTAAGTACACAAGATGTGATTGTTGACCGAGATACTCCTGCGTCACTTGCAACTCGATTGCCGTGTTCGTCTTGTACAGGTTGGCAAACAGGGGCGAGGCAGGCTCGCGGACCTGGAAGTCGATGGGTCCATACTTGATCTGTACTACCACATTGTCATCAAATTTGCCATCAAGCGGCTTGAAGAAGTCTACTGCGGCGTTCGCGCGGTCGCTGTACCAGTTGTCTTCGCTAATATTGTGGTCGTACACAAAGGCACGAAACATGACCACACCACCGTGCGGCTTGAGGGTGCGTGCGAACATGTTGGCTCCGTCGGCGAGGGTGCGATTATATGTGGTAGGCCCGGGCTGGCCTTCCGAGTTGGCTTTAACCAGATACCCTGCCATATCCGGGATGCGCGCGTAGAGCTGATCCGTGATGTTGCCCCACCAAGCGATGACCGAGGAGTCGAAGGGATCATAGGTACTGAGACCGCCAAGAGTCGAGGGAGACGCGAAATTGAGAGAGATACCGACCCGGATTCCGTAGGGACGGAAGATATCGGCGATGCGAGCCAATCCATCCATATTCGACGGCATGAGAAGTGATGCATTCGCATTGACATTGTTGACGACGATGCCGTTGATGCGTACCGAAGCCAGCAGACGGGCATACTGCTTGACACGAGAGAGGTCCTGACGAATCACGCCATCCTTGAAAAAGATCGAAGGTCCACCGTAGCCTCGCTCAATGCTACCGTCCATGTTGTCCCACTGGTTGACCCAGCGGATGGGCGCGTGCGGACTGGTCACGTACGAGACCTGTGAGAAATTGCCTTGCGCCAGCATGGAAAGATACTCGTATGCTCCGTACAGGGCCCCTCGCTCACTCTGGCCAACGATCTGTACTGAATTGCCTCTGATGCTGAGCCAGAAACCGTCGACGTCGAGTTCTGGTACCTGGCTGCCGGTATTGCAGGTATGCCGGTACGCCTCGACCGTGCCGACAATGATCGAAGAATCAGTCGAGCAGCCGGTGGACTTGACCGGAGCATGTTTTCCGAGGATCTGGTGTAGGCCATCTTGGAGTTCCTGCCCAGCGACATACACCGGGCTCGAATTTGTAGAATTGAGCGTCACAATCTGCGACGGGAGGGCACGCTGGCAGTGTCCATTGCAGGGAACAGATGCATACCTTAGCCAGCCATCGAGACCATCCTCTGCGGCCGCAATGCCGATGGAGGATAAGAGCGCAAATATAGGAATGCCGCTCCACATCTTGACGGCTTTTGGGTAGGATGATCGGCTCAGGTGAACCAGGGGTCAGCGCTGCTTTTAAAGGCTCCACGAGCCCATAACATAGTGGCGTTAGACAGTCATCATCCAGCAGCCGCTACTTTTGCTATTGAAGCCAATTTCGAATTCAGGCTATACGCAAAATGCGGGGGAACGCTGATCTTCAGGAGAATTTGTCTTCCGTCTCGTGGTGTACCGCCATTGGTGACTCTCTCAACATAACTCTTCGCTCGACTTGTTTTGGGCGGCACGCCATCAGCCTTGTAGCATTTCAATCTCTGGGCTACCTCAAAGCAGGCAAAACAGTAGTGTGGAAATGAAGGAACCGATGACGAGCAATCCTGTGAGGAGTGCGGAGTTCGGATGTGGAGGACACAAACAAGCGGAGATTTCTCCGGGCATGATTGATGGATTTAGGCTAATTCTGGCAACGTCCATCCATTGACGCATTTGATCATATCCACGGATATGAGGTAGATAATCTACAGTAAGTGATCATCGTTATTATTGAGCGCGTCAAGAGAGGATCGAAATACAAAAGAGAAGCTGGGGATCTGCCAGAAGGATGAGTCAGCAGCCACAACAGAATCCCGAATTTCCTCACGTGTCTCGCTCCATCATTTCGTCGCATCGAATGGGATCATTCTGCACGCGAATATCGATGTGAAATCATCAAGAATAAGATTGTCCTCATGACAGACAGGCTCAATTCGGGAGTTCGTAACTCATTTCGAGCCCGCGCGGTATGTTTCGACCCCCACAGGCACATTGGGATAACTCTAATCTCGACCGGCACAGTGCGACAATTGCCGACAGAGAAAGGTAATCGGGATTCCCGCATTGGGCACAGCAGGACTGATCAGCATAGATCAAATGCAATAAAGCCATTCCATGCTCCAGTTGTGGCGCACTTGGAATCCCATGTCGGCTGAATGGTGTCACTGTGAGCACTCCAGAACCACCGCAAAGGACTGCCTCTGGAGAATAGTAAGAAATACCAAAAGTTCGTGGCTGGGTGATATATTGATATTGTCTTCAGTGAAAAGAAAATCGATGCGCTACAAGAGCAGCTAGCAGCCATTCAAAACACTCTGCAGCAGATTACCCAGGCTCCCACCCCTCCCTCAATACCTCAATCCACTCATCCTGTAGCTGTGGACATCCCGTCTACTCCCTCTGCGCCCCTTTTTGAAGGTCAATCCTCCTTCAACAATGAGGTTATCATCGCTAGGGATGCAGCTTTCTCGGCTGTTGCGACATCACAGCCAGGAAGAGTGGATGCCCATGTTTCAGCAATCTTGTCTTCCCTTAGGAACAGTCTCGACCGGCAGCAGGGATCGTCCACAGTTATCGAGCCGCCTTCGCAGACGAAGGTTGAACTTTTACCTCAAGAGTTCCTCATTACTCTGATTAAAAAAGTCAAAGGTAGTCTGACTTTTCGTTCAGTTGCCTGTCTTGCTGACCCAGCTACAAGTGCATCCGCCCTTCTTTTTGACCGTCCATTCATGGCGAGACGTTCGCCAAATTGAGTCATTGTGTCATGCGATCTATTTTCCAGTAGATCCTATTCCTGCGGGCTCTCTGACTCTTTTGCATGGATTGTTATACTACATTATCCGCGACTATCTCCATGAAGAGTGTTCGGATCTTGCACGCTTTGACCTCGCAGCGTACGCCGGATTCTGCGAGCGTCATTTCTTGGCCGGGCTGAAAAGCTACGAGATGATGTGCGATCCGACGCTTCAGAAAGTCCAGGCTCTGCTCATCGGGGTATGTGCTTCCGACTTCTAGTGGACATAACTAATTCATGATCAGATCATCAAAGCCCAAGAAGAGTCTGATCTCCAGCTGTGCTGGACCTACCTCGCTTTGGCCTTCAATATGTGCCAAAGCATGGGTCTCCACCGAAGCGCCGCCCTGAAACACGATCCTGTCCCGGTCGCTGACGCCAAACGCCATGCCTTCTGGTCGTTGTATACCATTGACAAGAATCTGTCGTTGAATCTCGGATTAGCTTCGCATTTTCAGAACCATGACATCGATGCCGAGCTGTTCACGCCTTCGGACAACCCACAGTACCGCCCCTGGGACCTGATGAGTCTCACCACGATTGACTTTGCCACTTTACAAGGGCGCATCTACGATCGGCTTTACTCCACTTCGGCAACTCAGGCCACTGAATCGGAAAGATTGAAGTCAATAGAAGAGCTATCGAATGACTTGATGCTGGTTCGCGAACGCCTTCTGGGGGTAAGTGTCTTGTTTGTGGCTTTGGACTTTTACCAACCTTGGCCAGATCGATGTGAGCCAAGGTCTCTATGCGGAATCGCTTCATGGGATGGCCGCCTGCGCGGATTTCATCACGCACTCCGTCATGACAGTAATACTTCGGGCGCAGACGCGGGCCAGTGATGCCATGGCCATCACGTCTCAATGCTACGAGGCAGCGATGCGAGCCTTGCAGAGTCACCTGGAGTGCTTTACGTATTTTCGCAACCGGAAGACCCATAAGCAAACTGAATATGTCAATTGGTATGCCGTTTGCACCCTCACCTGAGATCGCACTAATGGAATAGGATTCTATTATACCCATCATTCACACCGTTTGTCATTGTCTTCATACATGCCATCACGACGGTGAGCTCATTCGATCTGGCCTTGTTGCAGGACACGGTTCAATCCCTGGAACTATTCAAGGGACTCTCACGTGGCTCAGACCGTCTTTACACAATCTGCGCGGCTTTCTCCAGGACTGCTCAGATTCTCGTAGACTCGGAAGAAACACTGGAAGGCCTCACACAACACCGGGACGGATCGCTTGTCATGCCGGCTCTAGATAGCAACATTGCTCTACCCAACGTTGAATGGCCGGAAAATGTGTTTGATTCGCACATGAACAGCACTGACATCTCCATGTTCCTCAATGATTTCATCGGGACACATCGTTCAGTGATGGATATATTAAACTCTGACTACATGAATGAGACTTGACCGCAACCGGTCTATGGTACAATTCAACTTTTACTTCTAGCCTACCTCAAATGACGTACTAAACTGGTCAGCTCATCCTTGTGAAGCATATCAGCGAAACTTACTGGAATGAAGAGATAAGGGACCCGACGCTCATACTCCATCCAAGCCTCCCCGTACCGCTCCCGGCAGCGCATGATATCCCGTCTTGCGCGATGGATAATCATGACGGTGAAGAAGCAAGCATAGAACCAGGGAAATGGCGAGTTGAACCCGGTAATGAGGCCCCAGGAAATTGCGAAGAACACGTCACATGTATAATGCACCTTGCGCGCCATGCCATCTAGCCTCGTCAGCCGTGTAACTTGCGCCCGGGGAGATGACTTACACCATCCGCCGCAAAGGATTGAATCGCCGGTCTTTGTCGGGATGGACTGAGGATTCTCGACGTACTTCCAGGGTAACTGGGGGAACGACTTGCGGTCGACGGTGACGCCGCGTTCCTGGGCGCGGAAAAAGTTCTTCTGGCTGTTGCAGGTATCCCAGACCCAATACATGAACAAGTATGCAACGGCCCACACAGCGAGAACCCAGGGGTTCCAGTGGTAAGTGGATGGGTCGTGCAAGGCCAGATACAGAGTGCAGTGGCAGTAGCTCATGGGGACGCCTGCCAAATTCCAGAAGATGAGCATGAATCCCCATTTCTCATAGTACATGTCCCTGTCGAAATCAGTATGATTCCAGGTGTGCACGCAGAAAGCAAACGAACCAGCTGGTGATGATCAATTCCTCGCCCTTGGCGCAGGCGTTGGCGTATAAGAAATGGGCCATGAGCAAGAAGAGCACCTCCCCAGAGACGAACCCATACTCCTCAAACTGCTTCAGGGCCGTTCCCAATGTCAACAGGAACAGGATGAACCACGGAATGCGGACCTCGAAGAACATCTTGAAATCCAACCAGCCAAACAGCCGCGGGTTCAGCTCCGCGCCCATGAAGAAATCATAGACATGCGAGCCTGTCATGCGGTGCTCCGCTCCTCGCGCCAGAGCAGAGATGTATGCCACGATCGACACGAGGATTCCCGAGCAGATAGCGACAGACATGAGGGGTCCGAACTCGTCGATGAGGGTGTACAGCTTGAATATACCGGTGAAGTGCAGTGCCAACGCGGTGGCGATCGTGACATACCACGACGACACGGCGGAGCAGTAATACGGAAGCTGTTTCCCACCGAGATGGGGTAGCCGTTTTCCCTTGCCGTAGACGCCTGGGAGGTACAGGTACCCGGCGCCTTCGAGGATGAGAAAGGTCCAGTAGATGGTCCAGGCTTTGCGGGTAGGATAGGCATGGGTGTATGCGAGGTCGATGAGGTGTGAGAGGAAGTCTGTCCATGATTGTCCTTTCTCGGGGGTGGGAAGATGGCCATCGTAGAGGGCTGCACCGATGTACATGTAGTACATCAGCAGCGGGAAGCCGATCATGACCAGGGTCACGCCGGGCGCGCCGCCGAACTCGAATTCAACTTTTGTATCAGGCGGGGGAGCATCATCGCGGCTTTTCCGATCTTTTGCTGCCATTTTGCTTTCAACGGTCTATTGTACTGCGAGTCAATCGCCTGGTTCACCAAAGTACGGAGTGACGAGCACTTACCACTGTTCGTTTGCAACAATTGAAACTCACGTCCAAACGCACCGAAAAGCAAGACTTGACTTATATCCTCTTGCAAAAGCGCAATCCCTAGGCCTAGTACTTTAATGCTATTGAACAAACGAGGACTTATCCGGCGATGGCCCGGTCACCACGGACACCGCGGAGACCGCGGAGAACACGGCGACCACGGTTTCTCTTCTGCGTTGCAGTGGAACCATAGGAATTTATGGATTCAAGAATAATATTAAAATTGGACGAACCTGATACGCAGATTAGTATTCGGCTATTGAATCGGTTGTGCAGTATTATACTCCTGTCTTGTGCACTCAAGTGTGCAAGCTACAGAGTCTCCGGAGACAGGACAATATATAGCTACTGCATCAACAACACAATGGTGTTATATTGCATTTCCAACCATTGCTTTTGTGACACAACAATCCTTCACATTGATTAATATCTAGAAGACTACATTATAAGCCTCAATAATTGTCTATTACATCTTCAAGACTGATGATGTTTTCTCCCCTTGAGATGACACCCAAACAATGTCCCCTCCTAGATCATAAACAAAGAACATCAGACCACCTCAGCAGTTAACAATAAGCACAGTGAGCAAATATATTCATCGAGCCCAAGGTAGACATCAGCTGAACAAGAAACCGGCGAAAGCAAGTAACACAAAAGCCCAGTCCATAAGATAGTCTCATTCCGTGCCGTGCTTACCCCGCTTGAGCCGTCTCTAAATAGCACCTGATCCCCATCCGTCCCTCTCCTCATCATCCTCAGCATCGCAATTACATAACCATGGCGTCCCAAGTCCAGGGAACCGCATTCATCACCGGCGCTGCATCAGGCATCGGCAAAGCCACCGCGCACGTCCTCGCAAAGAACGGGATCAGCGCAGTGGCCCTGGTAGACGTCAACCTTGCACTCCTGGAGGAGACGAAAAGGGAACTACTCTCTGAGCATGCCCAGCTCCGAGTTGCGGTCTTCGAAGTGGACGTCACAGACGAGGCCTCCGTCGAGGATGCTGTCCGCAAGACGGCGGAGGAATTCGGACAGATCGATATCGGGGTGAACGCTGCGGGGATCAGTGGCAAGCCGGATCTGTCGCATGAGACGGAGCTGTCGGAGTGGCAGAGGGTGATTGATATCAATCAGACGGGGGTGTGGATGTGTCAGCGGGCGTTGATCCGGCAGATGTTGAAGCAGGAGTAAGTGTGCGCTTGCGATTTTGATATGCTTGCGCTGAGGATGTAGGTCTCGAGGGGCGCGCGAAGGACGCGGCACGATTGTCAATGTCGCGTCGATGTATGGGGTTAGGGCGCCGCCGGGGGCGATTGCGATTGCGCCTTATGTGGCTGCGAAGCATGGTGCGTTAGACCCTACTGGTCTGGATTATACTAATGAGTACGCATAGCTGTTGTGGGGATGACCAAGATGGTAAGTCATTCAGTGGGTGACTGAGGACAAGCTGATGTAGTAGGACGCTAAATCGTATGCCGGAGAGGGCATTCGCATCAACGCCATATGTCCCGGGTATGCAGTCTCTCTAGGTGTCAGTACTCTACTAACGGTTCAGATGGGTGGAAACGCCGATGATAAGTCGGTCGATCGAATGCGGCGCTCTCGACTCGCAATTCGCGATGATTCCTCTAGGACGTCCTGCGGCGCCGGACGAGATTGCCAACGCGATTCTATTTCTCGCCTCACCCATGAGCAGCTACATGTGTGGGGAAGCAATGGTGGTAGATGGGGGGTTGACAGCATAAGAATTCGTCAGCAATAAAGTCTTTATCAACCGCTATATACATCTATAAACAGGTTAAGAAGAAGCAGTAGCCGGGGGATAATCCACGTAACATTTGGCATTATCCTCAAACGGACCGTAGAACCGCGAACGATCGTACGGCGTAAAAGGGATGCCCTTCCTCAACCGCTCGACAAGGTCCGGGTTACTGGTGAAGTAGCGTCCGTACAGAAGCGCGTCGTACCGGCCGTCTTCCAGCACGCCCCACGAGTTGCTCTGATCCCAGCCTCCGGCCGAGAAGAAGGGAGTAGTTCCAAAGATCTTGCGGAAGCTGCTCAGATCGACATCGGAAAGTCCCCAGCTGCGGAGGAAGTTGTCCTTTTCCTCGTAGCTGAAGATTTGCTCATAGCGCTGGGCACGTTAGCGTTATGACGGATCCGGGTTGTATTGTAGACAAAAACTCACCGGTTCAATGAAACTGACATACGACAGATTCGGATGCGCCTTTTTCAACGATTCGCAGAGGAACGTCCAGGTTTCCACACGCTGCTCGCCGCGCGCCTGGTTGAACAGTCCGAACGGTGAGAGACGGATAGCCAGATTGTCCTCGCCCACCGTGGCCGCCAACTCATCCATGAGCTCGAGGACAAACCGGCAACGCTTCTCCGGCGAGCCACCGTACTCATCCGTGCGCTTGTTGACGTTGGAGCTCAGGAACTGCTCGGGCAGATACCCGTTGCCCGCGTGCAGCTCGACGCCGTCAAAGCCAATCTCCATGGCCGTCTTGGCCGCACTGCAGTAATCGCGGATGGTCTGCTTCAGATGCGGAATGGTGAGCTCGATGGGCGGATGGTCCGCGTACCGCACCGGCTCGGTGGATCCCACAGGGGGATGGGAGTAGCATTCGGTCGGCGAGTCCCAGACCGTGGCGGAGGCCGAGACAGCAGGCGAGCCCGTCATTTGCGGGATGGTGGCGCGACCTGCGTGCCACAGCTGGCAGTAGATGTAGCCGCCCTGTTCGTGCACAGCGTCGACAACCCTCTTCCAGCCGGCGGCCTGTTCGGAGGTCCACAGACCGGGGACACCGGGCATGCCATTGCTCTGTGGTCAGGTTAGTTATGCTTTGACAGACTTGAGAAGCTGCACACCTCCAATGACGGCGGAACACCCTCAGAGATGATCAATCCGCCCGGGGTGGCGCGCTGGCGATAGTACTGGACCATGAGATCGCCGGGATACCAGATACGATTGGGCTGCTCCGGGGTGCTGGTGGGATTGAGCGGAACGCCCCGGTTGCGCGTCATGGGAGCATGGACCACCCGATGCGAGAGGCGAATCCTGCCGTTTGCGATCGCCAGGGGCTGGAAGAGCATCGAGTCTTCGCCATCGAGCTTGCGGATTGTCATTTTGGCGGTGCTGCTCTGACCGGGCAACCTAAACCGTAACTACGGATGGTAAACAGTGGCCTGCGGCGGTTGATCGACGGCTAGATGATGTAACTTTACCACGGAAGGCAAACCATGGACTGATCGAAAGGGGAAGTTTGAAGAATTGTTTGCAGGATTGATAATAGGATTTATGGTGGAGATGAAATGAAGAACATAAGCGGCCATAACTCGGCAGCACCATGGAAGTGTCTGCCCCTCCTCGGTTCCCCTGAAACGCAGGCCATTTTGATGAACTAATCGATTTCTAGATATGTTTTAGGCTGGAAATCAGGCCAATTGACAGGATGACAGGAATTAGCGAATTATCCAACCATAGCGTTGGAGATGGGCGCGAATGGAGCACCAGGTGGGCTTGTCTCGGTCTCTCCACCCGTGGCTCCGTGGCTCCACAGCCATTTTTACATCCCTCTGCCAAACACACAAGGAGACAAATAGTTTGATAAATAAAGGTTTCAGATCAATCAATGAGAAGTGCTTTTGCAATCGACTTGCCGGGTCAATGGATGGAGATCATCGAAGTTCGGCATATGTGTCATGCCGGGTCGTCTGCCGTCCAGTTTGATACCCTACACACGAGCACGATTCAAATGATGATCAATACGCACTATTCGACTAGTTGTGTCTAACGACAGAAGGAACTCAATTCCTTTCCAGATCGTCACTTGAACTGGACGCGAGAACGTCAGGCTACAGCAGCCGTCAAACTCTGTTCCTCATTGTCGGCAGCCGAATCTCCCAATCGGAAGAAACCATTTGTCTTGGGAATGGGGCTATTCTGATATGAACCAATGGTTTCACCCGGAAAAGCTTCGGGTGTCCATCTCGTTTTTCCGCGGCCTCGGCGCCATCTCGTATTTCTCTGCTAAGTAGCCTCGACTAAGGCGATAGTCCAGTCCACCAAAAACCCTCGCGCTGGTCATACAAACCTAAGTATCTTTATCGTTCCCTCGTGTGTCAATTTGTCCAATTCGCATCCACTGGGCCATTGCTCAGTCTAGCCCAGAGGAGCTAATGATGTGGCAACTCAAGAAGGCTCGAATCCTCTGTGACCAAGATTGGAGACGAGATGGCAACAGGCCTGCAGATCATGGCAAAATTTTCCGCGCTACGGCTTGGGCGTTGCTTGTCAACTCGATGCTTTTCATCTCGATTGCTTGAAGTTCCTTCGCCTATTACGTTAGAATCGACAATAGGATCGTTGGGACGTCTGCGGGATTGTAGTAGAAGTGAGACATGTAAAGATCGAACGATTGTCTCAGATATGCCGTACTCTGTAGAGAGATGCAGTGATGCATGCGGGATAGCCCTTGGCCAGGTGTTCATCATTTCCCTGTCTGTGCAGGTACGCTTAATGGTACTAGAATAATAGTCGAGGTCTATTGCCCCATTCCCCTATCACGATCGATCTGGCTGGAACGCACGTGACGCCGCCCTGCCGTTTGTTCCTACTGTAACGTACGCTGAAACTAGAAGGATGCGCGAGAATTAGTGGATGAGGGCAATTTTCTTCATAATGGTAACCTATCACATGCCTCCCGCGGAGGAGGTTTGTTTATGAAAGTTTTGAACGGCGGGTCGGCAGCATAGTGGATTCCGATGGGATCAGCAGAGATGGAAATAGGCCACAATCAAACAAACCTTGACAAGATTGAGCGGAACATTCGGCCTAATATACACTAATATACATATCTGGTGCCGCCCGGATAACGCCTCCTTTACCTCAGTTCCTCTCCGGTCTGTTTGATTTCGATTCGGTATCTCCATTTCGTTCTCCTGCCCTCCGCGTCATGCCCACCTGACGGACATAATGAGTGCAGACGCCATCACACAACCTGTGGATGTCCTGCATACGGTCAATCTGGTGACACAATGTCTGTGTATACCAATCGTCACCATCTTCGTGGCCATGCGGCTGTCCGTCCGCTTATGGTACCGCCACATCTCGGTACTTGAGGATGGTACGTGCTGGCCAATTGCACTCAACAGAAGAATGCTAACCTCAGTAGGGTCATGTCTCATCGCATGGGCAAGTGGCTTGAGACTGGCTGCCGTTGAGATCTTCTAACATCATGTAGGCCTTGTTCATGGGATACTGCGCCATCGCCATCATCAGTCGGTAACCCTTTCTGTCTCGTCTCGACCCATCTAACCGTGATAGTCGGCCAACATGGCGGCGGATACCATCAATCGGACATTCACGACTCGGCCACGATCGTCGCGTACTATAAATTCTGCTACATCGCCACCGTCCTCTACTGTCCGATGGCGCTCTTCGTCAAAATCGCCCTCCTCTCCATCATCATCCGCATTTTCGCCCCATACCGCAGCAAGATCATCTTCATCTACGTCCTCCTCGGCTGCCTGTGCATCTACTACATTATCGCCGAGATTGTCAAGATCCGCATGTGCGATCCCATTCCGTCCTACTGGGAGAACACACCAGGACGGCGCTGTCTCGACCAGAGCGCCGCTCTCCTGGCCGACTCGGTCATCAGTGTCATTAGCGATCTGATCATCCTCGTTCTACCACTACCCTTGACCTGGTCGCTGCAGATGTCGCGCAACAAGAAACTCCGGGTGATAGGGATTTTGTCGGCAGGCGGCCTGGCCACGGCGTTTAGTATCTACCGGTTGATTCTCGTGCTGCGCGACGGAAAAACATCGGATATGACCATCTTCTTCACCTGCGTCATTATGTCTGGGTATGTATCCCTCCATCTCTCGATGATCTTATCTAACTCCCGCAGAAACGCCGAAGGAGGGGTCGGCCTCATCTGCGCCTGTCTACCGAGCCTCAACATCCTCATCAAGCGAGCGCGAAAGAACGGCTACAGCTCCAACCGATATGCTGAACAGGATTCGTCCGTGCAACTGGGTCATGTGAAACCGGCGCCCAAGAAACGTCTCTCCATGGGGTTTTCGAAGAGCGACACCTACGTGGATCCGACCGAGCTGGGGTGCGATCAGAGCCATTTGATCTCGTACGCGGGCGCCGTCGATGGCGACTCGCGCGATGCAGCACTTGGAATCCACAAGACGGTTGATGTGTCGCAGACGGTCGAGGTGTTGGATGGAAATCGTAGTCGTAGCGGTAGTGACAATAGTCACCCGTCTCGCTATTGATTCTTGCGCATATATACTTGGGTGGTTGTACATTAGACTGGAATAGCGTTTAAAAATATGAAACAACTCAAATATTAATCCTAGTTTATTTCCTGTCCAATCAATTAATGCATTAGGTTGTACAATGCAATTGTCCAGCTGATTTCACAATGCCCAGCCACCCAGCCTCGTCTCAGCCGCATGATGCATCCCAGCGATCAATGCTCTTTCCGTCATCCATCACCTGTACAACACAAACATTAGACACAAATGCTTAAAGTCTTCTTAATTAAACGTGTCACTTCTCTCCTTTGCCAGAAACAAGCTCTATGGCTGAAGTGGCTGAAGCTGAAAAGGTGCGAGCCCTCCCTTACTTAATCTGGACTACTCTAACATAGGCAGACTCAACTACAACCTCCCTTCTCGCGATCTCTACACAATGCCAGAAGGCAAGAGACCGGAGGAGATGATCCTCAACCTAAAGATGGCAGCGTCACTGAAACCACCGACCGCAGTCAAGATGTGCTGCTGACGCTACCAACCATCTCTCGCACAGCAAACCACCACGTCTTCCTCGTGCAAGACGACATGCAGACATTCCTCAGTACGGATCTGGATCTCTCACGGGTCAACATCATCCACAATCTCCTCTGGATGGCCGGCCGACCGATGAACGCGCGGCCTCTGCAACGCCAGAAAATGATGGGCTTCGAGCTCATCCCAACCGAGCGCGCAGACCTGCATCTGCTGAAATTCTCCACCAAGCTGCTCGTCAAACCCTTGCCGGAGTACATTCTCGACCACGACTTCTGGACGCACCATCTCTGCTCGTCACAGACACTGCACGAATCCGCGACCGGCCTCCTCCTCTCGTACATGTGGCTGATCTGCACCCCGCTGGACCTGCAGCTCGCCCACGACCACAGCCTCATCCCCAAAGACCTCACCTGGCCCTGGTGGAAGGCCTTCATCACCGAGTTCTACGCACACGTCGACGTCAACGCCCTCGACACAGTCAACAAGCGCTACCAGTTCGGCGAGCTGCGGCTCGGCCGCATCAACACCATCTACCGCGTGCGGTTCTTCCTCTCGCATTTCATCCGCGGCTATCTGTACGGGTATAACCGGTACGTGGTGTTCTACGAGCGCAACTTCGCCTGGATGTTGATGATTTTTGCGGTTTTCTCGCTGGTGTTGTCCGCCATGCAGGTGGCCGCGGACGTGCCGCGGTTGAATGGCAATGCGGCTTTCCAGGATACGACGTATGGGTTCGTGGTGTTGTCGATTGTCGTGGTGGCGGTCTTTCTGGGCGTGTTGGGGATGTTGTTCAGTGGGATCTATGTGTTTAATATGTTTGCGGCTATCTCTCAGTGTCGGCGGGAGAGGATCAAGAGGCAGAAGCTTGCGAGAGAGCGCATACGGGGGGAGAGGATACAGCGTAACTAGTCGATTACCTCTAGGCAGTCTATTGAATGACCGGTATACTTATATAGCGACTAAGCATTCCAGTCCACCAGTCCATCCTCCCCAACCTTCTCCTTGATGAGCCGATGACTCAAATCCCACAACGCAGCACCCAACATTGGATCCGACGCCTGCGCCGACTCCTTCCCCGGCTGTGCCACATCGCTAAAGTAGTACCCATTCCATCCCCTCTCCTCGATCTCTGGACTCGTTGCCGCATACAAGGCACTGTACGAGCCCTGCTCGACATTCCGGCCCACAGCCAGCATCGCAGTCGTGAGCAGCTTGCCAAGTAAACCGGGGTACGCGTCCTTCCACTGCTGCTGCATCGCCGTGTTGACCTGTTTCCCTACATTAGCTATACACCCGACAACCAACCTGGAAGAAAAAGTAACTCACCGCGCCCGGATGCACCGAAAGCGCATAGATATTATCTTTGTTCGGCTTAATCACCCGGTCCACTAGCCCATACTTGACCCCCAGGATGATCGCCAGCTTCGTCCGGCCGTAGACCTCCGTGGTGCCGATCTCGGGGTTGTTGATCTCGTCAAGCGACCCGAAATGCACCACCTTGGGCGCATTGCGGTGCTGCTCGGACGACTCGAAGACGACCCGCGGCGGCGGCGTACCAGGCATCTTCGCCGTCTTGCGCAGTAGAGGCCAAAGCTGGTTAACGACGTAGAACTGCCCGAGGAAATTCACCTCGAAGTGTCGGTCTAGCGCGTCGGTTGTCTCGCCGTACTGGTTGACATTGATGCCCGCGGAGAGGATAAGCTGTTGCCGTCAGCATTGGCGGGGATATATCCTTGTGGCTAACGTGCTCGTACCAAGTCCAGTCGACTCTCCCGCTCGCGGATCCCAGAGAATACCTCCTTGATTTCTTTCAGATTGCCCATGTCGCAGGGGATCCATTCGATTTTTGCGTCGGGCCCAGCCTCCTCTTTGATTTTGTCGATGGCGGACTGGCCTTGTTCTTCTTTGCGGTTGACCATGATGACGCGTGCGCCATTGAGCACAAACGCGCGGGAGATTTCGTATCTATCAGTTTAGCAGGACGTCTGGAAAAAAGAAAGAATAATTGACATACCCGATACCCAGGGCTCCGCCGGTCACTAGGGCGACTCGGCCGGTGAGATCGTGGATCTCCCTTCTGGGACCGATTACGGGTTGGAGCACGGATTGCATTTTGGATTAGATTATTATTACCAGGTACGTTGGTTTGGTAGATGGGATTGTTATGCTCTTGCTAGCCTAGCTGTACCTGAGTGAGGTGGTGGTTATATTATACTGTAGTTGGACTAGATGATCGTCATGATGATATCAGAGGCCGCCAAGATCAGATGTCGCTGTGGCAGGATTCCATACAATGAAATTGTCTCTTATAGGGCATGTAACTGGTCTGTCCTGCAGAATGATATAACGGTGGATATTGCTTGTTTCCTGCCCGGGGTCGATTTATTGGTTGCTGCATTGTTGCACGGTTTCTAGGGATCCAGATGCCGTCTCAAAGATAGACCACAACAGATAAATTTTCTGAAAGAATGGCTTTTCAGTTCTAGGCCCAGAATACTCTTCTTTTAATTGATTTGCTAGTCGAGTATCTAAGACTTGAGGTGATGTAGTGTAGAATATCTTATCCGATATCTAGCTCTACGCCCTACAAGGATTGATGATGAGTTGTCACCGCGTACCGTCCCATTAAAGTAATTTTTTGAACAATCAGTGGAAGGAAATAACAGGTGCCGTGCATGACCAGTTGACGTCGAATGATGTAACAACGAGATACCATGTCAAGTCATAACTCGTAAGACATTAGAACCAGCCCGGAGACCTGTTCAAGACGCCGAACGCTTCGCCAGAGTATCCACAAAGGTTTCGCCCCATTTGGCACTGCTTTTGTTAGCCATGATCATCTACAGCCAGCAGATCGTCTTACCTCGTATGAGTCGTGACGAACTCGCTTAGCTCTTTGTAACGCCGCTTCTTCTCCTCGTCGTCCATCGTGACCGCCTGGTGGATGGCATTGGCGAGCTCGCGAGTGCTGGAGGGATGGAAGGTGACACTGCCATGGCCCATGAAAGACGCTGCCCCCGCCAGCTCCGACAGCACCAGCACGCCATATCGATCTTCCTGGCAAGCGACGTACTCCGAGGCTACCAGGTTCATTCCGTCTCGCCGAGACGTGATGAGACAGGCTTTGGCAACGCAGTACAGCGCTGTCAGCTCGGGGAAGGAGACGGAACGGTGGATGTAGATCAGAGGTACACCCTCCGGAGTGGCTGGACGGTCAGCTAGAGTCACTACCAACAGCCTGACAAAACTTACCATAAGTCCCACAGATCTTCCCGACGAGGGTGGAAATCTCGGTTTCGAGTTCCTGGTACTCCTTGACGTCCTCGCGACTGGGAACCGCAACCTGGATCAAGACAACCTTCTTCGCAAGCTCCGGGTTCTCCTTGAGGAATTCCTCGAATCCCTGGAGTTTCTGCACCAGACCCTTGGTGTAGTCCAGTCGGTCCACGCCGACAATGACAATCTTGTCCTTGTACTCCTCGTCCAATTCCTGGATGCGTTTGATGACCGTGTCGTCTTTCAACGCATTGTCAAACTTCTGGGGATCAATGCCAACCACGAATACACCGACATGAGCACGATGGTCTTCAAATTGGATTTGATTGTTGTCTGTAGCTTGAGCGCCCCTGTCCACTGTTAGCGCGACTCAATCCGGACCGAAGTGTAGGTACATACAAACTCTGCTCGCAAGCCTCGGTAAAATTGCGCTTGTACTCTTCGGTATGGAATCCGATCACGTCGCACGCAAGAACACCCTTGAGCAGCTCCTTCTCGACCGGCAGAGAGCGCCAGAAATCTCCTGCTGGGAAGGGGGTGTGCAGAGTAAACCCAATTGGACACTTCTTCCCCTGGCTCTTGAGACGCTCGCGCAGGAGCTCAGGCAGAAGCAGGAGATGGTAGTCGTGCACCCAGATTAGATCGCCGTCTTGCGCTTCGTTGGCGACCGTATCGGCGAAGATCTCATTGACGCGCTGGTAGGCCTTCCAGTAATCCTCGTTGAAGTCGACACCAGACTGATAATGGAGGATTGGCCAGAGAATGGAATCTAGATCATATCAGCTCGGTTCTGCCAACTTGGGTTGGGTGACGTACTCGAGAATCCGTTATAATGAGCATGCCCCAGCTTCTCCTCTAGAAAAATACCCTTTGCGCCCTTTTGTTCAAGAGATTCTGCCGCCCTCTTCTGCTCTTCGGGGTCAGGGATGTTGACTCCTGGCCAGCCGAACCATTTGAATGTCGTCGAGTTGGTCAGACCTGACAAGGCAGTCACCAGTCCACCGCTGGAGAGGGTGGACTCGAAACCTCCGTCGACCTTCTTCAGCGACAGTGGTAGACGGTTGGAGACTATGATCAAGCCGCGCTTTTTCTGTTCTTCAGATGCCATGACGATGTTGTTGTGTTGTTGACGGGTTGGTTGAGTTTACTTGCGCCAGACTATTTACTCTAAAGTACTGCCGTGGGATTTAAGTGCAAGAAAGTCTAGATTCACTGAAAGTATGAAACCCTGTCGTCAGGATGAATCGTCTGCTAAGCAGGGTTATGGTCATGGAGGCTTGGTGGTGAGCAGCATGTCCTGCGGTAAATGACGTCATCTATCTCAACCACAGTGAATCATCGACGATGGAGATCAGCCACATTCATCCACTGATCTGGTTATATTTAGCAGGAGCTATGACACTTCTGACGCCTAGAAGATTCCTGTCATAAGGTATGAAGACAAAACCCGAAACCTGTAAGGCTGAGGGATCGCCTGGATGGTGCTCGAATCAGATAAAGTACAGGTCCCGCAGGTCTTCCAAGGTTTCCTTAAGCGGCAACGGATTGTCCTTTGGAGTATATATAACTATCCCTTGATCTACCCCCTGATATGATCATTATTCAATAATAGTAGAGTGTTGACCACTTTTGACACAAACGTGGAGAAGTCATCCCTTCGTGATTATTGGATGACTGATGATCTGCTGGATAACCTCATCATGACGTTATCCACCCGCCAATCCCATCCGACGGCAACATGGAACAAACAGCCTACTCAAAGAGAAAAACGATATATGGCCCCATACTTCTGACATATAACTCCATTTTTTTTTTTGAATAGTATTCTGCAGTAATGGCACTAAAGCTACAGACACTTACGGAGATGCCATGTACATCAGGCAATGTCTCATCACTAGTTACTACCCGACATACTATTCGGAGGATAGCCGATCCACATATTAAAAGGCCTGACGGTTAACCCCACTCGTACTTTACCTCGACTTAGACTAGGGATGTCGGTGTGTGAATTCATACGTGGCGCACTGAGGATGGAAGAATCATTGGTCTCTAGATTGGATCGAGGCCCCGAGTATAGGCTAAAGAACAGTGCGGAGTCTTCATCGGTTGATGATAGAGTTTCTTCCTGCCGTGTCTCAGCAATGAAGATGAGTATTCGGCATACCGAGAGTCTATTCACTTAGGTTAGGTCATCTTATTACACTAGGGATCCTAGCTCATCAAATAGGCCTCTCAAAGTCCGGTTTGAATACCCGTAGAAACTTCTCCCGCGGATCGCCCGATGGGAACTAATTGACGTTATGATAAGGGATTTGGTGGGGTATCGCTGTCATCACTAGTTTATCCTCCACGTCTTGTCCATAGAAACCAGCTGTGCGAACGGATAAACCCGACTTGCGCGTTGGACGCCGGAGGTGAATTCAGCTCTAGCGAGAGGGTGCATATACCAACGAAAGGAAGACCGAAGCAGAAACAGCAACTATCTGCCAGTTCTGAATAGCCATGTGAATCAAATCGCACACAATACAATCAGAAACTGTGCTCCAATCACAATGTGTAGCGTTGAAGACCATCCGCGCCCTCAGTGACTGCGAGTCGCAGGTCTATCCGTTCCGATCCTCCAAATGGTAACCCTAGCAAGAAGGTAGTCCCCCAAGGAATCCCTGAGTTTCAAAGGAGGCCAAGCAGTACGCTCAGAATCTCCTTGCCGACGAATTAGGCGGATACCACGTTCATTCAGGCTGGATTGAAGGCTTGGAGTGGCAGACGAGGGCAAACGCGGCGCTGCTGAGAACCACAAGGAGCTGTTCGGCCAGAGGCTGACGAATAGGCCAATCGATACTGTCATATGACTGTAAATGAGACCTGCATTAGTGTTATGTTGATGGTATATGCAATCCACTAGAGAGGTATGTGAGTAGAAATCATACCAAGATGTAGTACTTCAGTAGCAGCAACGTGCCGATCGCATGCACGGTGTCGCATTGTAAAAATCCTGCTTTTGGACGCGCTCTTCTGGCGCATTGACCAGATATAGAGAGCTTTAGCGCCATAATACACTGTGTCCCAGTGACCCTGGAGTCGTGTGCTCAACAACTGCATCGAAGAAAGTTTGAAACGACTCCGGAAGTTCCTGGTGTAACGGAATTGAGCCAATGCACTCTCGGTAGGCGGCAGATCCTATGACCTTGTGCCCTCGCTCGTCGCCACGTAGTCGAATACATTGCTCCTATAATGGCGATGCCAGGATCCCCGGAAATGAGCGCTGAACCGTATATAACCAGAACCAATGAGCTGAATCAGCCGGTGAGTCAGTTCCTCGGTCGCGAGCGTCAGAAACCAATGTGGCGTCCACTGGCGTATCATCCTGAGTAAGGTTTTCCCCAGACATCGAGAAGCACGTACAAGTGCTAAGTCTTCATCTGTTACCGCCAGCCTCGTACTGTGGATATTGCAGTGTAAACAGGCTGATAGTGATTACCCGGTCGATCTTTCTTGGATCGATGTAACCATCTTGGAAGAACGTCGTGTGATGCGGGTAGGACGCGCGGAAATTGCCTCATCTTCTTGATATATCCCGCTGCTCTCATAATATTAGTTGTCTTGCATGGTTCAAATTGGCGCTCCAGAGAACCTGTGAATTGAAAAGAGCCCAGCTGACTCGCGGATAATTTCAGATTGATGATATCCACGGTGTCGACCTGGCAGAGGAGTCGTCCCCCTCCCTTGGCAATCCACCACCCAAGGAAATCATATTGATGCGAGACTGCCCAGGTTTATCTAGATTCTAGACTATCCCTCTGACAACGCACGGAGTAACTGCTCCTGAATCAGAT